TCGGGGGGTTTTCTAACTCGGTGTTGTGGTTTGTTTGACCCTAAATTAATTTTACGCCAGAATATCCCTTTAACAGGAAGTGAACAGTCTCCCATGTCTCTTCCAGTGTCAAAATCCTCACAGAAAATAGGGCTCGTAATCCCTACTGACAGCAAGAATCGATTCAGTTCTGGTTCACATGATATGAAAGAGACACCAATTATTTTTAGTCTTTGACCAAAAGGGACAAAAACAGCATCACTGTGAAAAGTAAGCTTTTCCTGGTCAACTGCAAATTCTAAGAATCATCTTCAAGCTAAACTTAGCACCACAATGTTGGTGACAAGGCCCATTGAGAAGTTTAAGACACTGGTGGTGCTTCTAAACAGCAACAGCTTTTAGTTTAGCAAGATGCTGCTTGCTGCCAAGTAAAGTGCTGTCCCTGCTGGGGAACTGCAAGAACTACCAACACCTGCACCAGGCACTGGAGGACAGTTCTTTATATTTGCAAAAGACAGGGACCTCTGTAATTAGCTATGTGTAATTAAACGCCTATGTGCTTTAATCCTATTTGGACTTTATTAGCTTTTTAAGCTCTGACCTAGTTTACTGACTCAATAGATGTATGTTGGCACATGGCTGGAGGCTATCAAGAGACCATATTGAAATGTTTTTCATTGAAACAGCTGTGCTTGACACTGTACGCTCCTGTAATCAGTAAGATTTGTTAAACAATGTGCTGGAAACTGGTTATGCAATGGCCTCAGAGTCTAAATGCTAATAACTCTTTAAAAAGTAGACTCACAGAAGGCCAAACATTGTTAATAATAATACTGCATTTATATTCATAGGTGCTTTTCAAAGCACTCAAGGTCGCCCTACAAGAGAGGGTGAAAACAAGACAAATAAGTCCACAAAATAAGTTAAAACAATGAATGAAACAGTTTAGGTAGACTGAAAGGATAAGATTTTAGATGGGTTACTTTCATTAGTAACATTATCAAACACTGTCACACAGTGTGGTTCAAGTATATTGATGAAGATGCTAACATTTTCAACAACTCTAAGCAGATTCATATCCTAGCATATGATAACTGTGACAGCTTGGTATGCATGCTCATGTGCTTCGTGATAATGCATAAATGTGCTCCATCCCCCCAGCAGTCAAAAGTGCGGTGCATTTAAATGGCACTCAATCTGTATTTACAGTAAGATCACAGCTGAGCGGCTTTAGCCCAAGAGTAAATCCAGCAGTTAGGAGACTGACCCAGGATCTAAGAAGGATGTTTTAAAGATTCAGAAGTTATAACTTTAATATATATTCATGATAGTGCAACATTGTTTACATTTGCAAGCTCTGTTGATGTGTCTGCAGTGAGCAGGTTTGCAGCAGCTAAAAATATTACAGTTCATTAAATAAAAGGGCCACAGAACAAACGCTCCATTTTCTCACCTTCAGGCTACAGGATGACAGAAAACAGCATCTGATGACTGCAGGGAAGTAGTTTTATCCTTTCATATTTATCTTTTAATTGCATGGTGGCCATGTATGTATCACTACTTCCGACTTAATATGGAAAGATGATATTATGATTGATGATATAGATTATCTCATTATAGCCATATCAAAGTTGCTGGGGCTGGACTTTCTGTTCACCAGAGACCAAGCAGGAAGAAAATGGGTAAATCATCTGGTTGGCAAGAGTGTTCAAGTGGCTTTTAAAACTCTCCATGCACTTGACCACTTGCACTTGGCCACTCCCCAAGCATTATAAGCACTTGAAGCTGTATATCTGGCTGATGCTCAGATATACAGATATGATTTCAGAGGATTTCAGAGATTTGTTGTACTTCTGCAAATTTCTATCTTCATGTTGTATATCTCGGACGTGGCTTTGCTTTTGTTCATGTCTTGTCACTGCACACTTCCTAGCAACAGAATGTCACCAGACACGCTTGTTTTAAGATTAGTTGGTGCCCTCAGTGGTACAGCTCTGTGTCATGCCATGCTTGTGTTTGAGGTACTAACCGCTCATGTGGCCAGATATCACTGCACAAAGGCTGGTCTCACAAGATAAGGAGTCACCCACAGGACAGAGAATTTTATTAAAAGATGGATTTAGGATTTTATTGATCAATATCTCATCCCTCAAACTGAAAACAAATTTGAATTCGATACTACTACTACTACCAATAATAATAATAATAATAATAATAATGCATGTGATTTCACTACTGACAATTGGCCATGAATAACAATGCCTGGGGTTAAATTATTTGCTGCTGCTAGCTGTCTTTATCAAAGGTTATTTACTGTAAGAATCAGTATGCACAAGAGCAGCAGCCAGGTGTCCTGCCCTTGGGTAAGGACCTGGACACTTAAGAGGATCCTTTAAATGAAATTGATAGAAGACCTTTACCGCAGTATGTTTTATTCATGCCTGTTCACAGCAAGGTAATGAAAATCCCCTCAAAACAAAACCACAACTCTTACACAAAATAACACACATTATTGTGGGTTTTTGAAACTTGGGGGGAACCACAGATGTAAGTATTTGGTCACTCATCTTGGAGTTGAGACAGCTTAGACAGATTCAACATCAAAGACACTCAGCAGATACCTCAAGTACACCGGGATAATCCAGATCACAGCATCACAACATCTGTCAGGGAGAGAGAATAATTCCTGAGTGTGTGTGTGTGTGTGTGTTTTAATCTGTGACCTCTTTTTGTCCCCATACTAACCCAAATTCAACCTGGACTATCTTATTCCTCCTCACAGCATCCTGCTCGGTGCTGGGAACTTTATGATCGATAATAATAAAACGTATGAAGACAGTAAATATCACAGTCTGTGCTTGTTTGTATGCTTTGCTGGAGATTGATGGGGATCTGTAAAGCTGAGTTCGTCTTCATCTTTTCTATGTTTGGCAGAATTATGACTCTGAAACACCCACAAAAAGCATTCCTACCATAACACAGAGAGATGACATGTAGGTCAGCATGAAAAACATCAGCCCTTATTCAGTCCAACTTACGTGAGGAGCAAGATAAAACCTGGCTTGTGGCTCATAAAAGTGTTTATTAAATTTAAGAGGAAAAATTTTCTACATTTGACTGGATAAGGTGAAGCAGAACACCTCCATTACCTGAATGATTGATGAAAAGCTTTGAATAACTGTACTTTGATTTACACCCTGAATGTTTGGGTTAAATAAACAGACTTCAGGCTTCATTTCCTCCAGTGTAGGAGCTGTGATTATTCAGCTAGTATGACTCATACAAGAAAATTAAGAAAATCAAAAGTACATTTTGATTTTAGATGATAGACTGTATAAACTATGGACAACTTGGCTCCGCCTTCCATCATTATAGGAATCTGAAGCCCAATTGCTCTCAGTTTTTCTGAGATTTTCTTCACTTCCTGGAACCACCATTTGCACAGTAGCATTGTATGCATTCGGTGAGAGAGTCTCCGAGAGTCGCTGTGATGACACTCGGCTCACACAGAGTATCCCCCAGGAGAGCTATGTATGCCCATATGCTGTATCAAGTGTCAATCATAGAAAACATCAACCCCCTAATAACTTTTAAAAATGGAGCTGTACAGAAAAAAGAGGACTTGAACACAAACCAGTCTTACAGTAACTACATGTCAACATCTTAAGCAGGGGGAAGAAAAAAATTACATTCTGTGTAATAAATTTCTAACGTTTGTCCACAGCTCCATGGGGATTGCTGGGGGAGGTGGGATTTATGACCTATACTGCTGCCCGTCACCAGAGGGTGCTGTTCTCGTGGTGGCTTCACCCAGCAAGGAGGCAGGCTACATATACATATATATATATATATATATATATATATATATATATATATATATATATATATATATATACATATATATATATATATATATACATATACATATATATCCATATATATATACATATACATATATATATACATATATATATATATATATATATATATATATATATATATATATATATATTCTATATACAGTCTATGTTTCAGACTCATCAAAGGTTCTTACCTCCACTGAGGCCAGGGTTAGTAAGTCCTACTGTTCTCCCCACCATGACACCTTTAGCTGTATGTTAATTTGGACAACACACCCCCATCTCCTCCTACTGTGAAAAGTGAAACCACAAATTAAGTTATCATGCAGGCACCAGAACCATTGGACCTGTGCCACACTTTTACTTCTGACAAAAACATAAATTTAAGTTCAAAGACCAATCAGTTCAGTACAATCTACAACTGTTAATTAATCACTCAACACAAAATAAGTAATAGAAACTCCACGTTTGCACATAAATTAATATGATAAGAGCTAACTTAGATAAATATTTTTAACAACTTGTGCCAAAAATATTGTAGTTTTGGTCTCTGAGTAACTCTGTGTTCAAATAAAAAAAGAGGGCTTGTTGCAAAATGTGCATGTCATGGTGGGGTGGCTGTCACTGCTGTGAGTCTGTGCAATCCACCAGGGCTAAACAGGAGACTGAAAAAAGGTTAAAAGAAAAGCTAGAAGTAAATCACAAGATAGAGCATGCCGAGTTGACTGATATAACTTATAATTTGCCAACGCTGCTGTTACTTTCTCCACAAAATTGCACCTTTTGTAAATGATATTACAACAACAAAATTACATTCCCTGTCTTATCTGACTGCAACAGAGCACACCTGTGACAATAATCACACTGAGCAGGGTTTTTAGCCACAGTCACCATAGCAAATCAACAAATGAACAGATGAAAAGTAAACAAACCAAATCCCATTGAAAGGAAATAAAGGCTACACGATATTTATGCAAAATTGCAGCTTACAGACGGCTAACCTCAGAGCAAACATAGAGGCTGAATCCCTACTGCATGTTAAAACGTCAAAGCAAAAATAAAGGCCGCTCTGCGACTGGAGGCACAAAGTACCACAAGACAGCACAGCTGCGCTGACCTGAGCTGCACTCAGAGGCAATCTCTGAGCCGGGATCTCTGAACGTCTTTGACAATCAACTTAAGGTACACAAACAAATACCCCCAGCAAGACAACTGAGGTCGAAATCCGGTTATAAAAGATGAAGAAAACAGACTAGTAGTGCTTCTAGAGATGATTCATACTCTGAATGTGAACAGGGGGGACAAGGTTAATGTTTGAACCATCCAGGGACACACTCAGGGTTGTGCCTTTTAAACCAGCTGATTACAGATGATTCAATGTGCCGCTCCTCAGAGATACACAGAAGAATGAGCAGAATTCCTCTATTATTTTAACAATGAGCTTTATGATACTCTGCTGTTATTATCCTTAAAACCTCAATTCATCTCTTACTTCCTTGTCAGGTAAAGGCAATCCTTTTACTTCTTGTATATGTTTGCATCTGTTGAGAAAATTCACGCTTATAAAATGTGAATTGCTCTCTAGCAATATTTTCTCAGTGCCCTGAAACTCATTTCCTGCAGAATAATTTACAAGTTACAAGAGCCAAACATGAAACAATGAAGGCAAACAAAACAACCCGTGTTCAGAATTTTTTAATCCATTTGAAGAAAAACTGTCCAGTTCACACAATTGCCTTCCTGAACCATGATCACAAGCCACTGCATATGAAAGAAAATGTATTCATGAAATATACATCCATCACACTGACAGTTAATTATGAATTTAAAAACATTTCATCCACATCCACAGTGGGTTCATCACTGCTGCTCCTGCAGTGCCTGCAGAGGATTACAGAGGAAAATTGAACCTTAGCAAGTGGCTCTCAGTCTGCACACTCTAGTTTGACTTTTATTTTCCAGACTCCAATTTAAGGACAATTCAGCTGCTGTGATAAAACACCAGCACCACTGCCCTCTGTATTCTGCCAGATCTAGAAACTGTGACCTTCATATTCTGAAAAACCACTGCTAATCTCTGGCTTTTACCAGTACAGCTGGATTTCCCTTTTGTAGATTATGTATTATTATCTAATGCCCTCTATTTCATTGGTTCCCAACTTGGGGTCTGATCTCAAGGGATGCAAGGCTATGTTTGCTTTGAGGTTGTCAAAATTAAATTTGCACATATTAACCTAAATCATGAGAACACACATACTGAAGAGTTTGGACAGTTCTGCTTGTGGGTAGAAAAATCTCACTTCTCTTGTGAACAGGCACAGGGGTTGGCCTGATTTTTACCCAGAATTCTTCTCCCACCCTGACCTGAGCTGTTAATAAGGTGTGATAACCTCGATGGGTGGTAACTCAGAAGACAAGTACAGATCAGCTAGATCTTTAACATGATATTTCCTGTTGTACTGCAGGGGACAAGAGGTTCTAGACTTTAATCTCTTGATTCATGTTAGCTTTCCAAGGGTTGTTAGAGCCAATCTAAAAGCTACAACCAATTACAGAAACAAAAAAATGTTCTGAAGTAGCAGGTAGCTGGAGTTTATAGCTTGTCCAAACTTTAAATAAGTGTTGCTTTATCTTTTCATGATTTACAGAAATATGTTACAGTATAGTTTAGAAACAAACAGTCATTGCAGTGTGTTGTACTTCACAGTTTGTTAAATGCTGTCATATAAAAATATGAACAGCAACATAGATCCTCTATTATGCAACCATAACCTTATGGCCTTATGCTGAATTGTTGTAATAATAATACTTCTACAACTATTACTACTACTACTACTACTGATAATAATAATAGTAATAATAATAATAATAATAATAATAACTTTATTTGTATAGCACTTTTAAAAGAACAGATGTTTACAAAGTGCTTTGACATGTAGTCGTAGGGCACAAGGAGAAAGACAAATAAAAACAAAAGGTTCAGTAAAAACAGAATTGAAGGCCATTTTCATGTCATAAGGAACCAAGACAATTCAAGAACCATGCAACATAAAATGAGACCATGAGGAAAGCGGAAACAGGATAGTAAATATAAAAGGCAATATCAACATTGAAAATAAAATAATAACAGGTAATCTGATAATAAAAGTAATGATAAAATAGAGCAGTAGAATGAGCAAGAGATAAAATAATAAAAGGCCTAAAAGGTTAATTAAGAAAAGAGTACAAGTTTAACTAAAGCTAAAAAAGAAGGTAAAGCTGAAATAAGAGAGGTAAAAGATGACAAATAAAAAATTGAGATAAAAGATAAAAGACGGCATCACGTAAAAGCAAGTCTGTAAAAGTGAGTTTTTAAATTTGACTTTAAGAAGTGACTGCCTTTGCACGCCTAATCTCCTTCAGGCAGGTCATTCCAAAGTCGAGGAGCTCTGATGGAGAAAGCTCTATCACCTTTAGTTTTGAGCCTCGACTTTGGGTGTTTATTTTGTTGTGGGATGGTGTTTATTTTTTGGAAAAGGTTAAGTGATAATTTTATGTGATGCTTAAAAAAAGGTTTGTGGTGTGAAAATTGACAGCCCGCAGAAGGGATATGCATCAGTCCTGCAGCTCCAGCTTCTGCACATGCCTCAATTCCAAGAGAAATGTCAACAGCACAACTTGTCAGTGCCAATCAAGGCAGTACTTTACCCTCCCTTGATACAGTGGGAGTAAAAAGGAGTGGGCTTTTAGACAGTTAGTATGTCAGCCTCAAATTTTATCTGAACAGCAGCCAATTTTTTTCTATTTACACATGGCCTCGACAGCACTTAAACAACACCTCTATCAAACAGTTTTGATTAGTCATACATGCATTTGCAGATTTGTTTGGTCTCCAGGCTGTGTGAACTTAACCACAGAGAGGGTTTTACCATCAAGAAAAGCTTGTTATGTGTTAATCTTACTCACTGGCATTTTCCTCCATGATTTTGAGCTAGAGGATGTTTCCCAACTCTGTGTTTTAAAAGTATATTACAAAGAACATACATGTCTTTCTTTCTGGTGAAGAAAATCATCATTTGGGACAGCACAAAGCCTGAGGTTGCAGCTTCAGCTCCTGTGTTCAAGTTGTGGCTGACAGAATTTGTTCTCGCCCATGAATATGCTAATAGAAGAAGAGGATGCCATGGGCTGTTTCACAGTCCTGTAACACCTCATCTTTAGGAACTCTGAGTCAGTCAGCAGTTTGTCCGCTGCCAGCATTGACAGTGATTGGTTTGGAGTCCAGCCGTGTCCTTAATGCATTCAAGCACATCTTTGTAGTGAGTGAAAAACTCTCTCTCTCACTCTCCTTGTCTGTCTGTGTAATGAAGAGTGAGTGCTTCAGTGGCCACCAGGAAAGCAACTGTCCATCTAAAGAAGTATCAATGTTATTTTTTTTAGAGACGGTCTTTTTGGTCAAATCAAGACTCGCTTCACACTTACCTTCCCCTCTCTATTTCACAGATGCTTCTTGGATCTGTTTCGGATCTGTTTTGTTTATCCAAGGGGCTTAACATTTTGCTGGCATGCATAAAGAATACAACATAGATTTATACTTGAGTTTTTGTATTGAAGTCATTCATTTATATGTATTTTTTCAATCATTCTCTTCAAACACACTGTAATTTTTTAAATCTTGGTACTTTTCTCACATCTTGAAGTACTAGATCATAGTAATTAGAGTCTTAATTATATCTGACGTGACCCAGGCTGAATACACATTATTTTGTTACATTGCAAATAGCCTATAAAAACATGATAAGAGCGTAAAACATTGTTGAAAAAATAAATTTTGGCACAACTCAATGTGATCCACAGAAAAAACTGGGTCCAGGGTGATACAAAATATTTCATATTAGACCTGAAGCGTAAAAGGAAGATAAGCCTGCACACTGCCTCAGTCCTACAGCTAGCTAATTAAATCCCAGTGGTTTGATCTGCTGCTCTTTGTCAGGTTATAGCTCTCTGAAAATGGGGACTATACTCATCTGCACACTTTTAGGCTAATAAGCATGATAATGGCAGAAGTTGTAGAACATGAAATGCACCCCAAAGTGAAACACGTCTATTAGAGACATTATTCAAGTACTACTGTGCAATCCAAATAAACAGGAACACGGCCACTAAACATAATATTCACTCAGGCTGTAGTCATGTTCAAAATATCTTTCAAAACAAGCAATATCAGTTAACAAATGTGAAACAAAAATAATTCAACTTACAAAACAACAACATAAATGTCTCCTGCCTTAATAACTCATCCAGGTCTACATTCTCTCCAGGCTGCTATGCTCTGCCAGTGAAAAGGTGCTCCCATCACAACAAGGGCCCTTAGTCACTAGCCAGACTCTAAACAGTCCCTCTCTGCACTTTTAAGACCCACTCTGATGAAAATCATGTTTTTCTTGTTGTCTGCATGTTCATATGGCAATTTTCTGATGCTAGAGGACATATCATGGGATAAGTAAGCGCAAAATTGCATTTCTGAGTATTTTTTCATTCAAATCACTGCAAATCTCCAGCAGACCCAAATGGCAGGTTCAGATACAATGAGATTTCCTATGTCACTACTGTAAGCTCCACCCCTGAGCCCCACTATGCAGGCCAGAATCTGAAAAGTAGAGAGGACAATCGCAGAACAAGCATGTGCGATAGCGCATTACAATGCTCGTAAGAAAGCTAATTATGATATTAGCTTTCAAAGACATTAGTGTCTTAGAGCTGAATAGCTCCCATGTTACTTGCTACTTCTGCAGCACCAGCAGTGTTTAGGCTGCAATCTAGCATAAAGAGGATTGTGCAGAGCAGCGCTGTCTTTGCTCACAACTCAGAGGCGAATTGCCAACAAGCTACTGAAGCTCTGCAGAAGAAAAGCTCTTAAAAATGACCCAGGTAATGTGATTTTGGCTAAAAACTTCATAATTACAATCGAAAGGCCACTGACAACACTTAAAGTAGTTCAAAAAATCTGAATGGGACTTTAAGAAAAAGCTAAAGACTCAGCTCTTTAAAGATGATAATGATGACAATGGCATTGCCGATGATAATATTGTGATTTCATGGTGATATTGATGTATTGTTTAGTTCCTCTAGGTGACAATAATACAATACAATTAAAGATTACAAAAATGTGTATAAATAAAACCCCTCCAGCTCTGAATGGCAGCACTACATCCAAGAGGACTTGAAGCAGTTTGCACGCATAGGTTACCTGAGTTGCTAACCCTGTCAATCCCTTTACAACCTCTTTAAACCATCTTCTAATAGCTACATCCAACAGGATAACTAGCAAAAGTCATCAAAGCTCAAATCATCATAAATTGGTTTCAAGGGCATGATGATGATTTCTGCTGACCTCCACAGTCACTAGATCTCCATTTAATAAAGGATCTTGAGGATATGGTGGAGTAGGAGATTGACTTGACTGTGCAGCCACATGTCTGTATGGTCAAAGATATCTGAGGAATGTTGTTCAATCTATGCCACAAAGAATTAAGGCGGAGTCCTACCCAGTACAAGGGGGGCTAATAAAATGAGTGTATGAAAAGTCATGGTGTTTCGATAATTTCCTCTTCTCTGGGATCTGGCATGCTTTGTGCCCATGGGTGAGACTGTGGGTTGTAATGGGGTCTCTTGAGGAGACCCTATGGGAGAAAATACACAGAGGACCTCCCCAGCTATCACCGCTGAGAATAATCTAACACTATAAAAAAAATTTCTTGCATTTAAATTTTGACTGTTAGCTTCATCTGACTTAAATTCATCAGTTAACATGTTATGTAACAACTAGCTAAGATGTGCTCCTTCAGTCTGCTAGCTAAGCTATCGACAACTAGTGTCCTCACTCTATGTCCTTTAGCCAGTAGTGCACACTCAACCTGGACACAGTAGTGCAAGCAGAGGCTATGTTATTTAGCTGTCTCTCCCCCACATAAGCTAGGCTAACAACATGCAGTCATTTATTATTACAGCATTTATTCATCATCATCTTCCCCACGCTCCACTTTTTCACTGTCTTTTCCCCTCCTCCTCTTCGTTCCTCTTCCTCCTCTCTCTGCTATTGGTGTTTAATGTCCTCTGGGTTTTCTCCTTGTTGTACAGGTGTATATTTATCCTGAATGAGCTGAAAGAATGTACAAATATAGGACAAGAGATATAAGTAGGACTGAGCTGTAAGAATGTACAAATATAGGACAAGAGATATAAAAGAGACTGGTATTATTGCTAGAAACACATGCATGCAATAAAAATATTAGAAATAAAAACTTGCCATCAGGAACAAATGAGAAAATCACTTTTTTTTCTGAGCTTAGTAATTTAAGCTCATGGTTTTTTTTTTGTTTTAATTTTTTATACAGTGTTGCAGGTTCTCTGTCTTTTTCATACATTTTTTACAGTACGACTCTATGTTTATTGATTCCCAATAGAAACTCAATTGTATAAATTTAAATTCAATCAACCATGTTGGTCCTTCCATGACCCCACTGACCTGGCATCCTTTCTACACCAACCTGGCCCAGTAAATACCTGCAATAAAGAGGTTTAGTCCCCCCAAGATCACCGTACATTTATTTTCACATGCTTTATTCAGTGTCCCCACTGCTTTGTAAGTGGACTTGGATTGCTCGAGCGTAAAACATTTAAGTTGTTTGCAGCCATGGTCCAGATGCCTGGGTTAAAAGGATTTGGGGGAAATGAGGGGAAAAATGCTCTTAGAGGGTTTTGATAAAAGCAGTCTCATCTGTTTTTCTCGGCTTTACCTCCTTTGTCCCATCCCCAATGCAAACTAAAACATTAAGCTTGACTCCACCTCTATTAATGAGAGCTTAGAGAGTATGTATGTTAGTGTGAGTTTGAGTATGTGTTTGCTGTTGTGTCAATAAACACTGGAAATGTTCATTAAAATGTATTAATTCCTGTATCTGTTGCCATAGAAACAAACATGAATTCCCATATGGAGGGTGGAGAATGTTGAAAGGTGCATATATCAGTGCACAGCAAATGCATTTAACTCAACAAAGCATTTAATCAAGAGCTTTTGCACGGTTGTGACATGCACTGTGGGGGTCACGGGGTCAGGAAGTAATCATGCAGAATTTCAAATGAACATGCAAAGCCAAGCAGCAATCTGCAAAAGGAGATAGTGCATACAAAAAGACAACACATATGTATGCATACTCATACCCATGGTGTCAAATGTGTTTGTACATATTTAAGTGAGGTGAATGATTCAGGAGGGAAGCACTATCTTCCTGAGCTGCCAATGAGATTGTCCTAGTTTGTGAACAAATCAATGGGGATCAATAGTATCCTTTTCATTTAGAAACAATTGACAATGGAGGAATAGAAAAGTGTACTGTGCAGTAAAATTGATGCTTGGTTGTAAAGAAAGGATGGATCAATGAATGGGACAATGATTTGTTGAAAGGGAACGTCTTTACTTTTTTTACTAAATAATTGATTTATTCCTGATAATGATGGGTAGAAGAGTGGATTCATATTTTCAACAAGGAAGTCAAGCTAAATGATAGATGATGATGTTAAAAGGAGAGTGTTTCAAAGAAAGTTAATACATGAAGGAGTTATAAATCCTTTAACAAGATGAGAACAGATGAATTTATTTATAGTTTGAAATGATAGGTGACATCTTATGATATGAAGGAGGAATAAATAATAGATAGATGAAGGTATCAAAGGACTGGTGGATGATACTGAAGTGGCAGAATGACAGAATGGAGTTCAATAAAAATTGGATAGGAACTGGGACAATTAGACGAAAAGATGGATGAAGAATAAAATGAATAGTTGAATGGATTAATGAATGGATGGATCAGGATTAGTCCCACTCTGATCACTCTTTTTTTTCTACTATTTAAAGTGTTCTCAGTGATATTTAGATTGTGATTATTCAGTTAATAATTGAGTTATTATTCAGTAGTGCTAATGGCATAGAGGCTATTCAGTTCTCGGACTCTAATGTCTTTGGGGGTGTGCTGAAAGCTAATATCATAATTAGCTTTCTTACAAGCATTGCAACCCACCTCCGCAGACACTTGTTCCACTGCCATCCTCTCTACTTCTCGGGGTCTGGCCTGCAGAGCGGGGCACCAGGGGTAAAGCATGGATTGTGAAATAGAAAATCCAACTGTTTCTGAACCTGCCACTTGCGTTTTCTTCTAGGTTCACATTGATTTGAATGCAGAAATACTCAGAAATGCAATTTTGCACTTTGCACTATGATATTTCCTCTAGCATCAGAAAAATTCCATTTGATCATATAGACAACAAGAAAAACAGGACTTTCATCAGAGTGGGTCTTTAAGGAATGAATTGGTTGTTGGTTGGTTGGTTGGATGGATGGATGGATGGATGGATGGATGGATGGATGGTTGGTTGGATGGATGGATGGAGAGTAAAAAAAGCTGGCTGATATGATTGTTTGCATCATTTCATCTGAAATTGCACTCCTGTTTCTTTTCCCTTCAATTAAACTCTGCAGTGATTGAAAGCTCATGAGAATATGCCAACATTAAATCAGTCAGAGCCAAAGCAAGTGATGGCTTTATGGTTTGAAAGACGCAGGGCAGAGAGCACTACACTGATGATTGCCTTTATAATTTAATCATGACAATTTAAATGACAGACCAAAATGGTGCCACCTTCTCATTCTTTCCTGAATGTTAATAATGCATCCTCATATCTGGGATTTTATCCCCTCACCCACCAACAGAAGCGCCCACGTAGCAGCACTCCTTTTATTGGCTGCCTCTTTGCAGCATCTGAATCCAGGCATGGAATAATGCGTTCACATGGCTCTAATTACTTCCTTTTTAGCTCCAATATTTAGCTCTCCCATTAGTGTAAACAAACAACCACTATCCTCCAAATGGCATTTTTGAATTCAGTCCCTCTTTGGAAATATTGCCTTTAAATTGAAATGGTGAGTGGCCAGAGCGTTCATGGATTTGTCTCATCAATAAACTATCATGCTTCCTTGCAGTCCTTGTGTGGTTTTAAAAGAACTAGGAGTTCTAAGAGGCAGAGGATCCTTCAAACACAGTTTTCAAGGAGCAGAAAGAAGGCAGATGTGCTTCCGGAAAAAAAAAAAAAAAAAAAAAGGAGAGATGATGTGTCTTCTCTCTGACCATATTGGGTCTTTGTGTTCATAAAGTACAGATACTAATATTTTCTCCCCTAAGGCTGTCCAATATCATTAAAGGCCGAAGACATAATTGGTTTGTGAGGTGCCTGTGTGTTCACTGTGACTGCCAAGCTGAGGTAAGATTCTGAGCGTTATTAAGCATGACCAACCTACAACCTTACAATGCAGCTAACTTTATATTTCACTTTTTTATCTGAATAACAGGGAGTGAGAAATAACACAGATGGACTCCTTCTTGCATGAAAGTGTTTTGTAATAGAGACTTGTCATAGCTTGGGGCAGGAGAGGTGCAAAGATGCTTTTGTTTTGCCCACAGTATCAACAACATGTTCTAGATGTTTCAAAACCGCAGAGAGGGCTCACATAACTCCCCTTTACAGATGACATTGTCGTTGAGGGATTCTCAGCTAAGAGGTGCTGAAGAGGAAAAAATCAGAAGCAAGCCATGCAGGCTGGCATGCTATGTGAATGCAGCAGCACACAGCAACTGAAGCACAAGTATCCTGCCTCATTTATTCTGTGGGAGGAGCAGATGTTGGCCCAACGGTTGGTCCTCAATACGTCAACAAATCCCCAGGGCTGTTAACGGTTGGGCTTGGTTTTATGGAGACTGGGCAACACATCTTCCACTTGCACAGCTGTGTCACAAAAACATCCATCCATTACACAAGACTATAACCACGTATCATTGAGGAGCATCCAGTCAATCACAGGATGACACATATATAGAGGGATACACCCCTAACACCTATGGGCATTTTAGTGTCACTGTCTTACCTAACCTGCTTGGTATTTCAGCTGTAACACAAGCAAGCATGACTAAAACAGCTGCAACTATTAAAAAAAAAAGTAAATAAAGATGTTATACACATATAAACTGATGACTTCATTATAACCAATAACACAAAAAACATGTCTAGAATTGTGCATGGTATCCATGTGGGGAATAATAGAATCAATCCAAGGTATTGATGCGGACCTGAGACATAATAAAACATTGATTTCTATGATCAGTGTGCCATGTAAGCGACAGAATGGAGCAGTCCGTTGGGTTTAGTAACGTGGCTGTACCCACTGAGATCATTGAATTACAAGAATAATTGTGCAGATTGAAGCCCCAAACAAAAGGTCACATGTTCTCCAAAATTGATAGGCCTATTCTCTGCTTGATTGTGTGCATCTGTAAAAAGACTTCCTTGCATGTGCAATTGATTCATTTGTCGGTACAGTATGTTCCTTTCTCAGAGAGAACAATATCCATGCTGACACATCCACACCGACTGCTTCCTTGAGCTCATTTAACAACACGGCCATGCTTGGCTTTGGCTAATCAATGCAGTTTTGAGTATTAATAGAACACAGCTAGGAGGGGCATTATGCATGATACTAGATATAAGCAATTACGCAAACACTGAGGCATACATGTTAGAAAGACCAAAATTAATTAAGAGATGAAATGCCTCAAACCGCACCAATCAGCATCAGCAGCATACAGCATATGTTTGTGGATGATACATCATTCCCCTAAGTATGTCAGAACCTGATTACTGGCATCTAAACTGCTTTGAATGGCACACCAAGACCAGTCCACAGTCCCAACCCTCCTGAATATTATTGTACTGTGAATTTAGTCAATGCTCTCTACACCAAATAATAGAGCTTCTTAGTGTACCCTTCTGTAGAATAAAACTTTATTATTAATTCCTGCTGTTGCAAAACTAGCTTCTGACAGCCTCCCAATTCTCACATCAAAGAAGCTGAGACTAGAGCACGTCTGCTTCCACAGAGAGCCAAAACCACACGTTTGACCCACTTTTCACTCGCTCAACAGTACCAGCTCATCCAGAGCATCCCCTCAAAGGAACATCACAGCAAAGTGTTCTGACAGGAGCCATGTATTAAAAAACATTATGCACACAAGGCCACGTCAAATCCTTTGGTTTTGGATTGACCGCTGCTCTGACACAGATTAGACTCAGTTTTGTCGACAAACCTCCGCATTTTCTTTCATCCTCCTTTCTCATTGTTACCGCACAGAAACCCAAACTGATACCTCTCTGCTCTGCACCTCTACCTAATTATGCTCTCTCGCTCTTTCTTTCACCGACTCTCTCCCTGTGTCCTTTATTTGCTGTGCTGAGAAGAATTCAGTTCAGAGGAGGCAAACAAGAAAGGAAAAAAATTCAAAGGGAAACGCTGACTTGAGTTTTGAAAGCAGTTATTATTAGAGTCTGGCTTCACACCTCTCACTTCCTCTCAATATGCACCGATCTAATTGTAGAGTGTGTATAGAGCGTATGCACAACATGCCATTACACATTTCACTCTCGTAATTATCACATTTTGTTGACAAATTAGAAATTTGCAGTCATTGGATGGATATACCACAGTGTGATTATTTCATGTGCAAGCTGTGATCATGGAAGGAGGTGTGTTACCAGACATGCTGCTGTCAAAGGGCACCAATTATTATAGTGTAGCAGTAATAGGAGCACAAGTCAGGGAAAAGGGCAGTGAGTGTCCTCCCTCATTATCTGGAGGCCTTCCGATAGGAAAAAACCAGGACCAATTATAAATCTCTCCGTCATTGTTAGCAGCAGCTAAACCAGGCTCATGGGGCCAATTTAAGTGATATCAAAAATAGTAACGCAAATTAAAGCCAACACACCCATGTGACCACAAACGGATCTGTATGTCACCTCATGAATGCTGTGGAAAAAAATGTACTTTAAAGCTGTCCGTGGGGACAACTTAAATGTTTCCACCCCCGTCAATTGCTCATTATTGAGCCTTGTCTGCAATGTGATCCGAATTTTAAAAATGTCAACAGACCAGGTGTGATTGAGATTTGAAACCTTGATATTCTGTGCTGAACAAAGGTGGCACTCTGCTGCTGTTGTCTGTGTAAGGGACAGAGATGGAGCTGAGAGCTGTAGGAGATACAATCCTTTCTGCGCAGTAATCTTATTTGAAGATGGTGTTGGATGACGGGGAGGCACTCCCAAAGGAGATACATTAGGGAGCTGGTGGTTTGGGTAGATTTTCTGTTGGAGTGGATCTCCTCTTCACATGCAGCACACAAACAAACAAACAGTAAACACATGAAGAGAAAAACTGTGTGGGAAATCATTATGACCCAAATAAAGTGGAATCGCTGAGAGGAGGAAAGGTTTAATAAAAATTCAATTTATCTGAAAGCACACAGACATAATTAGACTGCAAGATAGTGGCTGACTCTCTCATACAAATATCTTATTTGGGAAATGTGCTGACTAGTTGTGAATCTTACCATTTGGTTTCCTGGCTGAGAGTAACACAAGAAGCTTCATTTCTTATTCATATATAAATATAAAGGTACACTAAGTCACCTTACGGCAAAGTGGCAAAACACAAACACAGGGAACCCAAAAAAGTTATCAAACAAACTCACACGCCTAATAGTTAATAAAAAATCATATCAAATTTGCTTTTTCTGGGAATAGCTGAGTCCCAATCCAGGACCAGCATCTTTTGAAGGGTGCATTTGAAGACCGATTACGTCACAGCGGTGCGTCAAAGGCTGTCCTAGTTCGAAGGCTCCTTCATATGCGTTCTACTTTCCTGGCCTGTGGAGGAGTTTACATTTAGTGCATCCTTTGTGGTCTCATGAGTACTGTGATTCTTTTGACGCCACTTCAAACTGGATGGCGGACCTTTAAGACGCTCAGTAATACGCTGCTGTTTATTTGTGGTGCTAAACTTATGAGCCCGATCAACCAAATAAGCATAAGTGTTATTTACTAAAAGGTATACTTAAGGTGATCATACATCTGTCTGGCCTTGTCCGAGGAAGTTTATAAAATCCTTCAACTGTTGTATGGAAGTTTTGAGTTTCTGTCACGTGGACATACTGAGTTAAAAGCGTGTAAAAAACACTCAATCCGACCCGAAAAACTCTCAAAATTAACTACGCGCAAATCTGTGAATCTGCCCCTGCGTAGTCGTGTCCTCTTTTCGGGGATTCAGAAAATGGTCACCCTAGTACACTACAACTGTCTGTACATAGTGGAGAAAAACTGTTTAAAAAGTGCGCAAGGACATTCTGTGCCACATTGTATCCCAGTATGCTTTGCATTGTACGGCAAGCACTTGTTTCTTTGAGCGCCATCTGCCAGCTCAATTACCATAAAAAATACCTCTCTGTATTTCTGTGGTATATTGGTATAATTCTGACGGCAAAAAAAATGTCTGGTGGTTTGTCTTTTATACCGAATTTTTATGGAACATCTTTTATTCAACAACTTTTTGTTTCTATTTTCAAGGATTTGGGTCTTTTTTGTGATTAAGTGAACTTGGCAGCTATGTCCAATTTCCATGTTTTTTTTTTCTATTTTTGTTTGAGTGTGAAATATACTGTTTTGTGTTAACGTCATAGACTGTGGACATCATGTGCCTCCTCGCTGTGTGAAGCCACCACCAGAACAGCACCCTTTGGTGACTGGTTGCAGTATAGGTCATAAACCCCCCCTCCTACAGCAATCTTAATGGAACTGTGTACAAACTTTAAAAATTACTACAAGTCATATTAATTATTCTCTCCCCTGGTCACAATGTTGACATGTACAAAACCCAATTCCATTAAAGTTGGTAAATTGTGATAAATGTAAATAAAAACAGATTACAATGATTTGCAAATCCTTTCAACCTATATTCAGTTGAATACACTACAAAGACAAGATATTTCATGTTCAAACTGATAAACTTTATCGTTTTTATTTGCAAATAATCATTTACTTTAGAATTTGATGGTAGCAACACGTGACAAAGAAGTTGGGAAAGGTGGCAAAAAATACAGAGAAATTTGAGGAATGCTCATCAAACTCCTATTTGGAACATCCCACAGGTGAGCAGGCTAATTGGGAACAGGTGGGTGCCATGATTGGGTATAAAAGCAGCTTCCCCAAATATTCTCAGTCATTCACAGGCAAGGATGGGGCGAGGTTCACCACTTTGTGAACAACTGCATGAGCAAATAGTCGAACAGTTTAAAAACGTTTCTCAAAGTACAATTGCAAGGGATTTAGGGATTTCAACATCTCTGGTCCATAAATCACTGCACGTGAGCGGCACGGCCGGAAACCAACATTGAATGCCCATGACCTTCGATCCCTCAGGCAGCACTGTATCAAAAACTGACATCAATGTGTAAATGATATCACCACATGGGCTCAGGAACACTTCAGAAAACCACTGTCAGTAAATACAGTTCATCGCTACATCTGTAAGTTCAAGTTAAAACTCTACTATGCAAAGTGAAAGCCATTTATCAACAACATCCAGAAACGCCACCAGCTTCTCTGGGCCCAAGCTCATCTAAGATGGACTGATGCAAAGTGGAAAAGTGTTCTGTGGTCTGTCGAGTCCACATTTCCCAATTGTTTTTGGAAATAGTGGACATTGTGTTCTCCGGGCCAAAGAGGAAAAGAACCATGCAGACTGTTATCGACGCAAAGTTCAAAAGCCAGCGTCTGTGATGTATAGAGGTGCATAAGTGCCCAAGGCATGGGTAACTTACACATCTGTGACGGCAACATTAATGCTGAAAGGATTTGACAAACAGGATTTGGAGCAACATATGCTGCTATCCAAGCAACATCTTTTTCATGGATGCCCCTGCTTATTTCAGCAAGACAATGCCAAGCCACATTCTGCACGTGTTACAACAGCGTGGCTTCGTAGTAAAAGAGTGCGGGTACTCGACTGGCCTGCCTGCAGTCCAGACCTGTCTCCCATTGAAAACGTGTGTCACATTATGAAGCGTAAAATACGACAACGGAGACCCTGGACTGTTGAACAACTGAAGCTGTACATCAAACAAGAATGGGGAAAAAATTCCACCTTCAAAGCTTCAACCATTAGTCTCCTCAGTTCCCAGACATTTATTGAGTGTTGTTAAAAGGAAAGATGATGTAACACAGTGATAAACATGCCCCTGTCCCAACTTCTTTGGCACGTGTTGCAGCCATGAAATTCTGAGTTAATTATTATTTGCAAAAAATAATAAAGTTTATGAGTTTGAACATTAAATATCTTGTCTTTGTAGTGTATTCAATTGAATATAGGCTGAAAAGGATTTGCAAATCATTGAATTCTGTTTTTTTTTACATTTATCACAATTTCCCAACTTCAATGGAATTGGGTTTTGTACTTACTGTAAGACTGGTTCATGTGTAATTCCTCTTTTTTCTGTGTAGCTTCATTTTTTAAAGTTATTAAGGGTCATAAAATTAGGATATGACATCATATTTTCTATGTTTGACACTTGCCCTTCTTGCGTGGTTCTTTTGTGAATATCAAGACTGCGTAGGGATTCAATCTCTTTCACTAAAGAAAGATGATTCACCAGCCCACTAATCTTCATTTGCAGTAGTTATGATAATATTTTGATTGACATAGACAAATTTAACATAATAAGATGAGAAGTGGAGCTCACTTGGCCCACAAGCCTCGGTTGCAATGAGCGGGAAGTTTTTGGCGGAAGCATACAGTCTATGGGCGTAAGACAGTTGCATAGGACATCCTGGGGGTACGCTGTTTGAGCAGAGCATCATCCCTGCATTCTCCCACCGAAAGCTACTAGGTAAATGCCATTTTCAGGAAATGGAGAAAATTCCCGAATTACTGGGAGCATTTTGGCTTCAAATTCACACAATAACGGGAGTCAGAGTCATGTTGTCCATTCTATATACAGTCTATGGTTAACATTTAACAAAAGTCTAAATTAATTTATAAGTATTTGAAATAATATAAACCTTTAAAAAACAGTCAAAGATGTCGTATTTCAAGATTTTTCTTAATGGCACTGCATGTAAAATATGGTTTGATCAATATTCACCTGCAAGACATAAGATAGACTCTTATGAAACCATCTCATCGATCATTTGAGGGCTTTTTATATCACTCCAAACAGCGAGCTTCCTGGCTGCTGTTGACATTTTTCATTTTCACCCTGTAGGCGCAGCGCTGCCCTGTGGCGATGGTGCATGTCTTGGACACACTATGGGCACACATAGGCTAGACGACGTGGTTCAGCCAGCTGGCAGATCTGAGGGGAGCTCTCATGCCAAAGTCAGCGCATCCAGGCTGCTGTTTCATCGAGAGGAGCACTTTTCATGTACTATTTATGATTATTCACTGCTGATGAAGCACAATGAGGTCAGTGGTCTAGATAGCTTAACTGTATTATTTGTAATGTGACCAAATCTGGGTCAGGTGGGAAATGTGAAATTTAATAAAGACAAGTGCATCATCTGTGCAGTTTCTTCTATTCATGAAGTCATGTGTGACAATATTATTGAAAAGACACAAACTTGCACAGTGATCGCAATGACCTTTTATTGAACTTTGATTTTTATGACATGGGCTGAACGAAGGAACAAGCAGTCAATGGCTGTGTGAATTGGAAAACAACGTATTTCCATGGAAGAGATTAGTATGCTTGAGGACATGTCTTTTATTTGTGTATTTTCCCCGTACCAGAGAATTTCCATGTAAATTGCAGAGAGCTACCTCTATTCCCGGCGGCTGTGATAGCTTAAATGCTTTTCGGGGCTTGTTGAATTGTCCGGGGGGGCTACATAAGAGTGCCTGAGTACTCTCATATTGCGCTTTATCAAGGATTTTCGATAAAGGTCTTTGGGTGACAGGGCCAAGGCTATCCATCTTGTAATGTTTTTTTTTTTTCTTCTTTTTTTTTCTTGCAGTGGCCCTTGTAATATGTTTGCAATTGTATTGCTCTGTGGCCCCGGTCTTGTTTGTGATGGCTAAACACTTTCCTGGAGGGAGTCCTGGCTAATAAGAACAATTCCCAGGTCTTACAATGTTGCCAACTGGATCAGAAGTCTGCTGAGAGCACCACTGCAGTTCATCTTCAGGATATATTATTTTTAATGACCAGGCAATATTGTTATTGAACCCAGCTCAGCAGACAAGACACAGGGGAGGAAGGAAACCTTATCCCCTCACACTGGAATGTGTGACATGGCTCAGTGCTTGGTTCTTCATCCAGTAAGTGGGAGCCTTTATTCAAATTGCCCTGTGCTAAAAAAAAGGGTTGAATAACTTTACAGGCTGTCAAACATCACAGTGGATGATTTTGTTTAAAGCAGTCAACCCCAGAACTGAAGAGCTTCCTTTGACCAGTCAGACAAGCTTGAGCTCAGATTTTGAAGGCCATATTTAATCTGTGGACATTTGTAACTGAGATATCTTTTATTATACTGAGCAGGAAAAAAATCATTGAGCTGCAGGGTCTGTCTCAAAAGATTCAAGCAAACTGCACTCCACTGGTCACACAACCCCACATGGCAAAATCTGACATCTTTACTGAAGCATTTCCTCATTCCTTCACTCTGCAGAGTTAGCGTGGTTTAATGTTGATCATACAAGTATCTCTCTGCTGAAAAAATTAATTCAAGAAAGGCCTTGATAAAAAAGAAAAGAGAGGCTTTCTTCAGTGAGCTAGAAGGGAGCTTTTATTCCTCAAATGTGCCTGTTTGCTCTGCAGTGAGACACAGACGGGGAACAAGCACAGACAGCATTATGGGGTCTGCGTTAGCCGTGTTGAGCATGTCTGTGTTGCCTGCTTTGAGTCTTTAAGCTGCTAAAAAGAGACACACAATAGAGAGACAGCAGCTTGAAATGATGGAAATAAGCCTCTCTCTGGATCCGTTTGTGACTCTAGACTGAATCACTAGAGCACACGCGAACAGCGACGGGAAATGTGCAGGGAATGCAAACTCGATTGTGAGGTTATGCAGGTGAAACATTCGGAGTCGCTCTCAGAGTCAATCAAATTTGCCTAAGCTTGTAACTTCACACCATTTGCTCTGTAAAAATTGAGTACTCATGCATTACCACCAGGCTTGGGTCCATAATGTGTCACAAGCAGGTCTAATGCCAATCACCAACAGCAGACCATATGGCTGCTCTCTTCTCTGTGTCTATTGGCTGACCTCTATACCTCATGATGCTGCTCACAGATGGAAACCGTCTCCAGTGGAGTTCCATACCATCACACAGAGTCCCCAAGTGAGAACACTGACTATACCCTGCTTTTGGTTTGTATTATTTCATTTGATCACATGTCTGCTGTCAGCTGTTACAGCGAGTGAGCCTTGTTCACCATCTGTGAAAGCTGTACATGCAGCACACACTGTCATTCCTGCATGTGAATGATGAGATACTCAGGGTCACAGAGCTGTAGCTGCACGTGGTTTCCTGCTTTGACCTCTGAACCTGTGCATGGAGCACAAGATGCCCACAGTGCTGCACTTCAATTCTGTTTGCAACGCTTGGCTACTCTAGGTTTATTCTAGATATTTCTAAGAAAGCAACAGGAGAGGTTATTACGACATCACGGGAGGGAGTGTATTTCATTTCATATAGCTCTTTAGAAAACTGCAGATGAGTTTTTTAACGTATGATCAATAGATATCAACCTCAATGTTTCTAGTGTTGCTGATATAGATTTCCGATTAGAGGGCGGTTAGGGTGAGCCTGGGGCTCAGAGTAGAGGTCTTTGAAGTCTGATCACATGGCCTGAATATCTTTTTGTAATGCAGATTTTTGCTTCTCTAAGGAAGTTTGAAGGCACAAGGAAAAATAGGTTAGAGGAAGACACAAGTAGGGCTTTTACACTCTGTGCTTCCATTTCTGTGCCACCATTTACTTTATCTTGTGTCTCCAAGGGAATTGTATACATATGCTACACTTATCCCTGCTATTTCCATCAGCTCATTGAGTTGTTTCACTGTCAGGTATGCCAGTTTAGTGCCTTGCCTCTTTTCAGAACAATGGGCTGCAGAGCAAGGTCCATTAGCACTTGAAAGGGCAGAAGAGAAACGGTGCGTGGCCTTTTAATAGAAGATGAGAGGGAGTCCAGGGCACCTCTGCACCTGACTTGTGTGGGACAGTCCCACTCTACAGAGGGCTGCAGCAGTGTGCGTGTTTTCCTCTGCATGGGAATGGGGCAGCCTCACTCATGAATGGAAGCGATTCATTCTGATTCACACCAAGATTAAAGGCTGTATATTAACAGAATAAAAAACGACTAAAAGAGCCGAACAAAGCTATTTTTGGTATCTGCGTTGTTGCTTTTGCTTTTTTAGCCACATAGTGAAGGAGAGGGGGGGCGGGGAGCACCCGTACGATGCGCAGGAGCTGCAAATGTGCGCGCTTTCATCCACAAGGTAGTTTTAATTTCTCTTTGTAGCAACCTACTTTTCCATTTAACAAAACTGGACAGGGGATGCGCCCTCTTGGATGAATCGGAGCGCATGGAAAGGATGCTGCTCTCACTTGGAGCAGGTGTATTCAGCCAAGTGGAGGCGCAGGTCACAGAACAGGAGCGACGCACGACAACCATCGAACCACAACAACACCTGCTTCAAAGGAAAGCACTTCATCCTTAGACATGCGGCCGGATAATACGTTACTTCCAATCAAAATAAGCGGATTTCTCCTTTTGAGTCATATACGGTAGGAGGAGAATTTGGGCACTGTGAACCTGCCGGACGCGCAACACCAATGGAAATACAGTGGTGACAAGAGAATCCAAACAAGGACTGCTTCCCCGGCTTTTCATTAAAATCAGTTTTATTTTTATAAAGGACAGAACCATCTGCAAGTATGCCTGGGGCATTTCTCTCGGCGCAGTCGCTCTACATCGGGATGGAGGTGCTGATTGCAGTCGCGTCTGTAATCGGGAATGTGATGGTGGTTTGGGCGGTGAAAATTAATAAGTCGTTGCGAGATACCACGTTCTGCTTCATCGTCTCCCTGGCCCTGGCGGATATTGCAGTGGGAGCCCTCGTCATCCCTTTGGCCATCACCATCAGCATCGGACTCCAAACTCACTTTTACAGCTGCCTTCTGGTCGCGTGCACGGTGCTAGTGCTGACACAAAGTTCAATCCTGGCCCTGCTGGCTATTGCAATTGACCGCTATCTCAGGGTCAAGATCCCGACCAGGTAATGGGGGTTATATGATTTTAATGATGATGTTTTATTCCTCAGAGAAGCCCACTCAGTCTCACGCAGCTGAAGTCACCACAGCTCCTGCTTCGTGTGTTTCTGGGCACTGATGCTCTCATGGGTCTTGTTTCACTTCACAGAATATCTCTGACTCACTATTACAGACATGACAGCTAACCAGAGCATGGCTGATCAACCAACAGCTTTAATTAGTCTCTTTGCATGTCCTGCAGATTGTTAAACACTATCACGGTGACAGAATCAGAGCATTTGAGGGTGGGGTTTGTACAGGAGGATGTTTTTCTGTGTTTCTGGAGGGCATAAAAGAGGTCACGTTTGCTGTCAGCTATGTTCCATCTCTCTTTCTCTCTCCCTCTTTATCTGATGCACAAGATCACCAGGGTTTTATCTTGCCAGGCTGAAACAAAAGACCCAGCAGTGGTGCTGAAAAGCCAAAAAGATAAGCTTTGTAGAGGAGGAGAATATATCATCTGACAATTCTGTGTATAATAGACTCAAATTTTAATCTCCAGATTTAGACTACTTAATCTTCCAAACTCATGGTAGCACTTTATCAGAAAATGTTGACTTCCTTGTATTGCTATAATGAATTGAACCATCTGAGCTTAATGGTGTCTGCCACAGCAGAGAATCAGTGATTCATCATTGAAATAAGAAATTTACTCACTAGGGAGTTGGTGCTTCCCTCTTCCCAGAACTTACATTTAGCTTTAGAGGAAAACTGATTCAAACTCGGCTTTATTACATCACCTTTCCATGATAACTGAATATTTCAAGTTCATGACATTCATGAGGATTATACTTTTTTTCTGTACAGTAACGCCAAGACATGCTGATTTTCTCACTTTCTCGCTTTCCCCACACTCCGTGTTTATGTATTAGTATCTGAGCCGGCCAGTTCCAGGCTGAGATGGTGAACAACAGTCTCCTTGTTCTTCTCCACTCACAGACTTAAATCAACATGTACAACCTTAATCGATATTGATCCAAGACGTGTTACTTGTGAGAAGAGTTGAGTTTAACTTCAGACTCCACTTTAGCAAAGGTTGCATGGCTTCAATCTAACATCCTTTCTGTTCAGAAATTACAGACCATGAGTAATTCAAAACAGGCCAACCATTGATCTACACACTTGCCAGTATAAGCTGAATCAGGTTTCACCACTTCCTCAGGCTGAGTGCTTCTGTGTCACCTCTTGTTCACAGGAGAGATGTGATAAGATTTTAGAGCTTGTTCACCTTGCACCGTTTTCTCCCCTGGCTTCGTATTCATGTAACATCTCAAAAAGTGAAAAGGCGAAATCTCTAAAGCACGTCCGTTGAATGCCAATTGTTGCGGTTTGTGTCCACAGTGCTGTTGCAATAAAAATCAGTCAATAGTGGACCATTTTTAGGAACTTGAACTCAGTTTTTTCCTGTAGAGAAAAAGTATCAAAAGAAGCAGAGCTGAGAAGAGCACGGTTTACTGATAAAGGATTACAGAGGCTTTTAAAGAAGAAATCTGTGCGGCAAGCTGCAAAGAGCTCTGTGTGTGTGTGAAGTGTCTTGGGGCTTTGTACATAAAATAATAACTCTTTCTTGTTATTTCTTCCATTTGTCTGTCAAATGACGTAGCTACAGTGAAAAATGAAGTGAACATTCAGCATGCAGGCCCTGAGAGGGCTGTATGAGAAAGTGCTGACATGTGTTGTTTCCTCCTGCAGGTACAAGCGGGTGGTGACCCCTCGCCGAGCAGGGCTGGCAGTGGTTATCTGCTGGACAGTTGCCTTCATAGTTGGCCTGACACCCATGTTAGGCTGGAACAACCTGCGGCGCCTCCAGCAGAACGGCTCCATCAGCTCTGACCTTGTCATTACCTGCCAGTTTGAAAATGTCATCAGTATGGACTATATGGTGTATTTCAACTTCTTTGGATGGGTGCTGCCACCTCTGGTGCTCATGCTTGTCATCTACGCAGAGATCTTCTACATGATCCACAAGCAGCTCAACAGCAAGAAGCTCACCAGCTGTCACACAGACCCCAACAAGTACTATGACAAGGAGTTGAATCTTGCAAAGTCGTTGGCTTTGGTGCTTTTTCTCTTTGCCATCAGCTGGCTCCCCCTCCACATCATCAACTGCATCACACTCTTCTGCCCCGATTGCGAGAAGCCCATCGTCCTCCTCTACATTGCCATCCTGCTAACCCATGGCAACTCTGCTGTTAACCCAATTATCTATGCTTTCCGTATCAAGAAGTTCCGCTCAGCTTTCAGGAAAATCTGGCATCAGTACTTCTGCTGCAAGGACACACCAGCTCTGGAGATTCAGCCCAGCGACAGGAAGGAGATGCCCAACCTAGGGCCACAGCAGGCAGCACCCCCGCAGAAGGAACTGCTAAAATCAGATCCTCAACAGCAGCAGCAGCAGCAGCAGCAGCCTCCAATTGAGCAGAATCTGGACCAGAAAAACGAACCTCCACAGGAACCTAAAGAACACCCGCCTTCCCTGGAGCAGCACACAGTCTAAGCCACGAATAGCAGATTACTGCTGTTAGAGAAAGTGGTAATCAGTGCAGGAGCGCTGGTTCTCTCCTCGATATAATGTATTTTATGAGGAGCATGAGGTGCTACAATGCTAGAGGGACTGAGGACACTTGGATCAAGAACCTCAAACACTGGAAGATGGTGTAATGTCTCTTCAGGAATAATAGATTCACTGGGATTTGGTTTGATCAAAAAAGGCAAAAAGGGTATTTACAAACTTGCAATAATGGCGGTCTTTTTGACAGTGACTGTCTATCTTAGTAACAGACTGAAGACATTTAGCTTTAATGTTTTATTTATCATGGTCAGTTGGTGTGAATGCAAAAAATGTGCAATATAATTTTTTGTGGTTGATCAGTATTTGAGTGAAAGTTTCTGTGTTCATCTTACTACTGTAGAAATGTATGTGTGTGTGAGTGCGTTTGTGTGTGTGCAAGTGTGTGTTAACTGACGGAGATTGAAGTACATGAATGTAGTCATAATGTAAATAAGTGACTGTGTTAACTCTTCTTCAGGGTCTTAATCGCACAACAGTGGCAGAGCACGTGGCAGTACTAGACATTTTCTTGCAGAGAGGAGGCGTATGTGTGCTAATAGAAGGGTTTTGTAATCGCCTAACTCCTCTCCTGGAGCCGAGTCCCTTCGTGATCCAGCAGCGCCGGTCCATTACAGACAAGATGGACATGGATAAGACACAGGCAGCTGAAAGGAACAGGAGGCTTTAACCTTTTTAGAAGCCGCCTGCAGGAGACTCATGGCTGCAAGATGACAGCTACTTATGTGGGAGAAAGACAAGATGCACTTAAAGCTCATGTTTATCCAGCCCTCATCCCAGCTGGAGTTCGGAGTGGGGCTTTCCATTTTTTGAAACCACACAAACTGATTATAACCTCCTCACATTTTACCACTAGATACAGTGGCTTCCATGGCCTTATTCAATCATTTCCAGTAGTATGGACTGAACTAGTAAAAAAAACAAGCTGAAGATTGTGAGTATCTTTCATACAATGTAAGCTCAATTTCATGCAGTATAGAAAGTTGGGACATCTGTAGAAGAGAAATTAAACTATGTTCAATGCCACTGATATCAATGTATGAGAATGTAGTTATTCTGTTTTGTTTACTGTTAAAACTCTGTCTCTGGCCACCAATGACAATCTGTTACACAAATAAGGACAGGACATTTTCTCAAAGTTGTCTTGACTGACATCTTTCCAGCAGGAGTGTGTAGATAGATAAGTGAGGAAGCAGTATCAGAAAAAACATTCAAGAGTGTTCCAGTCAGGCACTCTGTTAATGTCACAAAGTGGAAGATAATGAAAAACATAATGTGCTTTATGTAAATGAAAGAAGCTACAATCTTGGTTTACAGCTCTGATAGTAAAATGCACACATTTTAGACGTACTTGTTTTCTGTAATTTCATAACTGAATTAATGATTTTCAGTGTGATTAATGAACGCCAAGTTTAATCTAGTTACTCAGAAATTACATTTCTTTCTTTGGTAAGTTTGCACCTGCAAAAGTTTGCATGAAACTTAAGCCCTCTGATGATTTCTGGTACCAAATGCATTAGAAGTCCTGAGCTTTGTGTGGTAATTAACTACCATAGCATAACTTCTTCATAAACAAGCTGACTTGAATATGCTCCAGGTTTCCACTGTATTGGTCCACACAATGTAATTAGGGAACCAATTAAGGAGACATGGTTGCAACGTCAATACAAATTCCTAGAGCACTCTTCCATTTATTTTAAAGAGGTTAAAATCAATACGTAAAACCAGCAACAGATCAAATAAGGACTTGTTTATCACAGGGGTTGCTATGCCCTCTGACATTGTTCTTTGCTCTGTTGTTTATTGAATATCTTAGAATGAAAAACAGTTTTTTTTTTTGGTCCAGCAAGAACTTTTTTTATACGATTCTGCAGTAACATAAAGCTATATCATCTTGTTAGCAACTGTCTAACAAACAATAACAGTTTGTTGGTGATTAGAGGGCTTTTGTCAGCCAAGAAAGACGTTGGATATTTTGTCGCAGAGTTTGTCAAGACCCCCCCCCCCCCCAAAAAAAAAAAAAAGTACATTGAGTGAGCACTCATATTTTTCTAAAGGCTGAGCTCAAATAAATGTTATATTGCTATGTATCTGGTGGCTATAGTACCATATTAGAAGAAGTTATTTGTCAAATTTATCAAAATTATATTTGAACTTATTGCAATTATTGTAAAAACAGTCACAAATCAAAGCTAAGTCTAGAGAGCCATTCAGACAACAGTGACCAACAAAAAAAAGGGCACCTCCCCTTAAATACCATTGTAGAGTTTTATGGACCATTGAAGAGACACTTTTGTGTCAAAGAAGAGTTGCTGTTTTTTTTCCACAATTTAAAAAAATTATATTCCTTCTCAACTATTCAAATCTTTCTGGCTGTCTTAAAGCTGCCTACCCCACTTTAAAAAGGTCATTATATATCATTGGCTTTACAAAGCTGCACCAAAGTGGCCGTCAGTAAAATCGAAAACACAACAAAATCCTTGTTTATACAGTAGATTAGTACAAATAGCTTCTTGAAAGTGTTTATTTGTCACATTAACTCAGCACTTCCTTTAGGCTAACTGAGGACACACTCTGGTACACGCATCAACCCATTACAGGTATTTCATGAAAAAAACGATTATAAATTGGCAATTCCACCGTTTCGCTCCATGACGAGTCAGCGCTTCCTGAACAGTGAACACTTAAGGACCCCAGATATCTCAGCTTTCTCTTTGGGTACCTCTCTACAGCTCAGCAGGGCTGTCAGACTTCTCATTATTGTTGTGAGATAACAGTCGAGAGTTGTCACAGCTCCAAGAACCCATTTCTCCTTTCAGTATCTAAGAAGTCCTTTGATATTTGGCTCTGCCGAGTCAGGAAAGATCTAGTCCAACTAAGAACTGCTCACTCCTGCATTGTCTGTGAGTCAACAGAGTTGTCAACAGAAGAACTACTGTTGCCCCTTTCACACATCCATCAGAAATCCCCTGATTATGTGAGTAATTTAATGTGGTGTAGTGCTGAGCGGACAGCTTCTATAAATCAGTTGTCTGGTTCAATATTCAACACAAATACCAAGTCGTTGATGCTGTTTTGGGCTTATTGACTCTATTTTGGTGGCAATTTGGGGAAAGGATGGGATGTCAAGTCAAGTGAGACTTCAGATAAGGACTACAAATAAAGGGAATTGAATACTGAAGGTCCGTATTTCCTGAAGAGCAGCAGAGGTGACCTTTTCCTGCAGCAACCTGCTGCCCTTGAGGCTAAAGTGGATGCTAACCGCAAACGCTGAGAGGGAGACTAAGTATTCACATCCTGCGGTAAAATCAACACAGGTTCCATGTGTACTTACCACCTATTCCATCTAATGGCAGGAAAAATCATTGGTGCATGTTTGAGAAAGGTTTCAAGAAATGTGATGCCTTTCACTGCTAGCAAAGTAAGAATTGCAAGTGATGGCGTATTCACTTTGTTTCCGTCAGTGTACTTCTATTCTGATCAATAGTTCCTGAGGATGGATTGTTTCAACCATGTGTCAGGTCAATATTTCACTCTGTGCCTAAGCCGAACCTCTAACTGACACTGGTCCTCTAATCCCCCAAAGATTTCTTGTTCTTGCACCAAGGGAAGGCTGATGGAGAAATGCTCGGCTTGATGTATGTGTCCCAGTAAAGAGCTTTTTCCCATTAAAAATAGAGAAGCAGTTTGATCTACCTAGGCTCTGATCTGGCGTCATGAATAAGCAAGCGTGTTGTGCCCCTGGTGCTGCTGCACAACAGGAAACAAGGCTCCTGTCAGAACATTTTATACACTCTTAGGACATCTGTCTTAAGGAACAGCTGTAACACAGCTCTGATGTAGGCCTTTGAAAAAGAAAGCGGGGAAATTGAGTGCACAAAATGAGCTGTACACATGCACTTACAGTACAATGGTGTTATACAGTAGAGCTCACCATCACATACAGTATTATGTTGACATTGTTATGTGTGATTTCAGAGAGAAGCAATCAGTCATAAAAACGAGGCTGCCAGCTCTGCCTTTGTTGAAAAACTATGCGCATCAGACTCATCTGTGTTATGACACAGCAGTGCGTGAACATCAGCTTCTATAGCTGGCTCACAGCTAATGAGATGCTGCATCCAAACCAATGAGCATAAAAAGGAGGTTAGAAAAAAAAAAGGTAAATGGAGGCAAATTTGCATCCAGTGACAAGAGAATGTGATTAATTAAGATGCAATGGCATGCCTCGTGTTTTAGATAAACAACTGTGATAAAGCAGAGCAATTACAAATCACAGATTATCTTCCATCATCTTTGGCCGTGAACTCAAACTAACAGAGCAGTGGCAGTAAAACTGTGTGATCAATTGTCCTTCTCACTCTCACTGTTGGGTTTCATCCCGTTCACTGCACCTCAGAGAAAAAGCAACATAAGCTCAAAACCTTCAATAAATCAACACAAGGTCTTGCAAATATAACAAACCTCTCTCCCATTTTACAATTAATTATTCACCAATCAGCCTTACAAAATTAGAGCAACATCAATATTTGATCTTCTTTTATCTTGATCAAATCTCTGCCTGAGGAGGTATTTCTTACAACACAGCGTGGATGAAATGTTGTTAAATGTAGAGGAAGAGAAGAGAGAGGGCTTTTTATGGTTTTGAGGATTTCATTTGTAAATCTAGATTTTTAAGAAGCGTGTTAATTTGAAATGCCATTATGCTGCATGAAGTAGCATAATTCACCTGCTTGTTAAAATGAGAGCTATTCCTTAGTCAATCCAGGTTCTAACAGCTTGGTGCTGCTTCTTTTTACTGACACTAATTCCCAGCACCAGAGCTTTATCTGTCTTTTGGCCTTCGTAGCTGTCCTTATGCCAGACTGCCACCTGCTGGTAAAGACAATTTAGGTTTGTGTGATTAAAAGTGGACAGGGCCAGGCAGACTCGCTGTGCATCCGGCTCTCTGACAGAGGGTGAAGAGGTCACATCTGGCACCTTCATTAGGCTTCTCCCTCAGGTTCTGATGGCCTCTTCTTTATCCAGAGATTTTTATTTAAAGTCTTCTGATGGCAGATCCAAAGACTGGCTCGGCTAATTAATATCCTCAAGACACAGGAATAAGATCTCGAAGAGAAGATGAAAGCATCCAAAAAAAAAAAAAAAAAAGAAAAAAAACCACTTCATGCATTTGCAGATTGGAGTCAGAAGACAGTATAGTCACTCATTTTGCTCAGAAACAGAGGGATATGAATTTCAACCACCCTTCTCTACAAAAAGAACAACACGGTTGTTTAGCATTTAAACAATGAGAATTGTTGGGGAGTAAAAACAGGAGAATGTGCTTCAGCTAGATTGTCTCTCTATATAAATGTTTAGTACACTGAACATCTTTATCTTCATCTTTATAAAGACTTAAAGATAAGAAAAGAAGCTGGAGGAATAGTGGTATTTCTAAGGTAGTTTGTCATCAGTTTGAATCAAAAACAGGATATTGTATCCTCCTGGGTTCATGAACAAGAAAGAGTTGTTTGAAGTTCTGGATTATCTCACAGAGAGATCCTTAAAGTATGAACGAGAAAATGTGCCCACATAAACATGAAATTACCCACACAGTGTCATCAGGTCAAACTATTAGTCTCACAAAGCAGACTCTATGCCATTGATGAAGAGTCTTTGAATTTGGTTTGTGTTTGATTGTTGCCTTGTAACTGTGGCTCCTTAAAGAGGTATAAAAATGTTATGCTTTAGATAAGCAAGTCCACAGGCAGCGTCATCAGCAAATGTAAAAACCACTAATGTCAGGGTTCAGCTTGTTTTGCTGCATTACTGGAAGATGACACAGATGTGCCCAGCTACCCGGGTTTTTTGTCTTGGGGGTAAATGATGCATTTATCTTAGGCCACAGGAGTTCAAACTCTGGCAACTCCACATGCAGCACCACAGAGCTAAAGGCCTCGCAAACACACATCAAAAGGAGGAGTAACTGCCTGCCTCAACAAGTCTGGGCTCAAGTGTGCAGGGGCAGCTGAAGTGCTGAGTCTGACTCACTTACCACTCGCTATCAGCTGCTTGTCCTTTATCAGGGAGGGGAAATTCCCATTCCTTTTCCCCTTTTTCACGAGCAGTGATTTTAAAAACCTGTTGAATGGACTTTACCAAACATTACCTCCTTTTTAGATTTCATTGGAGAAGTGACACCAGATGCTCCTTTTCTGATTCAAAGCTCTTCTCTTGTTTTGGTTTACAACCTTTCTTCTGCTTGTGGCAGATTTTGAAAACAACTCTTTAAAAAGTTATGGAGGCGTTGCTCCATATGGAGTTAAACAAGCTATTATAATGTTGGGTGCACTCGGAGCTCCCATCATGGCCCATGCTGTCACTCCCTGTGGCTGTGCTCTGGATGGCGGAGGATGGAACGCCCCTGAAGGCCACTGCTTATGACTGGCAGTAATTAGCTTTTAACGGTGGTGGTGAAAGATGGCTGCACATAAAGTCAACACAACTCCGCCCGCATGGATTTTCTCTGCAGCGGCAGCCCACGCCTGGGCAGACGTAGTCTACCCTCATGCATGGCTCCCTGCCGGACCCGCCTGCTGCTCTTTAGTGACATTATATAATAAGATGAACTCATTCGAACTGTCTACACTATCATTCCAGATTATGTCTCCCTGGGGTGGCCTAACAGCTCAAGGGTTGAGGCGCCCACCAGGAACCACAGCACCCTGGCTCATTTCTGGTCGTGAAACCTACACTGCACGTAATTCCCATCTCATAATCTTATTTCTACCGTCACTGCTGGATAAAGGCAGAAATTAGCAGAATAAACCTCCACACATGCATACAGTGAATGGCACGTCATGATCATTGTTCACTCTCAGGCTCCTCTGGTTTGTGATTTCACAGTAAAACAGAAACAAAAAGTGAATTTAACTAACTATAGATGGACTTTTATTTATATGCAGACTCATCCATATTGTTGTAGTCCCGCATTCATGATGGTTTTCATGCTCACACTGGGTTAACCATCATATGTTTGGTTCTCGTAAATCCATAAGATAGTCAGTCAGGCACCAAGAGTGCTCCTGTCAGGGTTTTTTTGTTTTGTTTTTGTTTTTTTCCCCCATACAACAGCACCTTACGGCACATGCATCCCTCTGCTTTTAAGAGTCTCTGTCACATCCTGTTACAATCATTGGCACTAAAGTGACCAAACTCTGTAGAGTACCTGCATGACAGCAGAGGAAGTGTGCATTTTTAGGCATGTGGTCACCACCTACAGCCAGAGCCAAAATCAACAGGAAACAGATAAGCAGTAATGGCTTATATGGCGTGCACTGTTTTAGAGCTTTTGATTTGACATGGCGCTGAGCTTTGATCTCTGGCAGTGTAGCAGAAATCCACTCCCCTATATCAGATTGAGAAAAGTTGGTTGTTGCTATTGTGAGCAAAATAAAGCCTTGAGACTGAGTCAAGGTTGTAATATGTGGGATTACATAAACACACCTATCAACTGTATTTAGTTTTGTTTGTTTGCTTTTGGTGTGAATCAGGCTGGTCATGTTGGAATGATTAAATTCAGCTGAGCCAACAGTATATTTGACACTGTTAACAGGAATACACCATCACTGTTACACTCAACATTATTGTCATTATTGCTCTTTCAGCGTCTCTAAGTGCTAATATGCATCTCACAATGCCTACATCATTTGTACTTAATTATCTGTGTCTTACATGTTGAATGTCAGTGTTGGCAGACTCAGGAGTAATATTCCCTGAGGTGACTAATAGTCTGGATTCTGATAAAGGGCTTGGTGAAGCAGAAGTAATACTCCTGTCTGCATGAGTCAAAGCCATATTCTTTTGTGCTCCTTCAGTGTCATTCATATGACCTTAAAGCTACCGTTTAAAGTTGGTTCATGGAATTATTTAAGTAAAACTTCTCATGCTGACTTATGAATCATTGCAGACAAGCTGCTATATGACTGACAGTTGAGGGTTTGAAAGGCCCAACATGTTTTCCGCCCTGCCAGCTGCTTGTTTGGATCAGTTTTGTTTTTGGTTGAGTCATTTGTTTTGCTTGTTGTTGGCTTACGATCCCTGTGCACCACTTTTAGCCACATGCAAGGATATATATCTTGACAACCTGAAAGTGTACAATGCTCATTTCTGGTTAGTTTCATTGTTATCTGAGTTATGAAGTCAACTTCACAGAATGATTAAAAAAAAAAGAAAGAGAAAAAAAACTTCTTGGAAAGCCAAAATAAACTGTCCTAAGAGTTTAGTAGGGCATATAAATAAAACTAGTGCCAGAAAATGTTCAGCTCTCAGCATGCTCAGCAGGCCCGGGTAAAGTACCTGGACATAGTGTTGGGGTAAAACTGCTCCCACATCAAATATTGTAGTGGCTCCGTGTGTATCACAGTCTCTGTGTCCCACCACAAAGTCAACAAACCAGCTGTCATAAAACTCTGTGCAGCTGAGCAAGGAAGCAGGCCAAAGAACCACATCAACTGTGGCAGACAGGAAGTGTTCCTGTATTTATAACTGCCTGTTAGAAACATACCATAAGACATAAACAGTTGGCTTTAACAGGGCCGCTGAAAACCAAAGAGGGCATGTCACAATGAAGGACTGAGTTGCAAAACGATCCAGCACAGAGCTGTAAACACTCAAGAATCCAGGCCAGCTGAAACAAAGAGGAGACACATTATAGGCGAGATTTTTGGTGTGAAAACACTTCCTTTTCATGTGTGAAACTGCACACTTTACCAAAGTCTTCCCCTTGAGCTCTCGCTGTCTTTATCATGTCAACATTAAGGCTGGAGCCTGTAATGGATGGATAAGGATTTTTGTGTCTTACTGCATTCTGGCAACCCCATAAAACACAGAAAGTGTTGCAAATGATGTTTTTTTAACACTTCAGTTCATGGCTCTGTTGCTCCACACTCCAAAGCTTTACATTGACATTATGCATCTCTCTGATGACGCAGTTTTCTACCTTACTGCTGGCTATATGGCATGTCCTAACAGGCTGTGCTGTGATTAGGGGAAAATTTGGGGAAAAGGCCACACAAAAATGTGTATTTTGCAGGGTTCTGTGCCATTCGTATTTTTAGACACAAAGTGGCAAAACCAAATGAAATGTGGCATTTGTTAAAATGCATGGAGCCACATTCATTAAACATTGACGCCATGTAAAATCAGAGGCAGATGTTTTCAAAGGAGGCCTGGGGATCCTCAGAGGAGCCACACATAAACAGAAATAACCTTCTGAGTGTGTCTGGATGAGCCTAAAAAACAGTGTTACACAAAACCGTACTTGAGACGGAGGATGGAGCAGCTTAAGTGTGATTGAAATATTATTCATGCAAAGTAGCTATAGTTTTTTGTGTTAACCAAATTTCAGTTGTAAATGTCAGACACCAACTGGAAAAAGAGACATTTTTTTAAGTTCAAGTGGAGCTACATTGAATATAAGTGAATAATACCATGACTTCATATGAATAAAGAAATCTCTTTAAAATGAGAGTCAGCAAAATGCAACAGGCAAACAACTGTCTTTATGTGTTTTGACCAGCATGAAACTTGTCTGAGTTTAACTATACTTTGCCATCTAAAAATTTATGAGATAAGTGTTGTAACCGCTGCTGCTTAGCCTCGTGGGAAAGTTAAAACAAATATGAGAATAAAGGAGAAGTATTTGATGCTTCGGTGATTTCTTCAACTTATCAGCAATGATGTGGAAATTGATTTAGTGATGCAAGTGCCATGTATGACGAGCAGCCGTCACATTAGTCAACCACAGATTTAATTGTGAGGAAGAGTAACTTCCTCTTTAAGCAGTTGTTCCAAAACACACCTTCTCTTCATTTGGACATTGATAGGTACAAGATTTCCTTTACCACAAAAGGAAAATTACTGAAGACTCAGTGAGAGAGAAGGTTCAACTGAGGCTTCACAACTTTCTACATAAATCAAATTTGCTGTAATACTGGCTTATGGTAGTTGTTTTAGTGGATTTGTTTTACATAGAATATTCTTACTCCTTCAAAAAAAGTTGTTTACTTTCCTGAATCTGAAAATGCAGCAGCTCAACTAAGAAAACATGTTTGCACAGGAATAAAGGATGTCAGCATTGTGATCATTGCATAAAAAAGCCCCTCATCTGCAGTTTTGGCCATTCAAGTGGGATTACTGTGAGTCATGACATGCTGGCTGAGACACATCCCTGCCCACAACACCTTGATATACACGAACCCCAAAATATAAACAGAAACCACATAGACATGGCTAAAAATAGCTGTTACTTTCAAAATTACAGATAGGCCGACAGACAACTGGTTAATCAAATGTAAAGTAATTATTTCTACGTTGTTCTTGGCACATGGCTCAAACTCTTACACAGCAGTGTGTGTATGATCCTGTTCTTTAGAAATACAGAACTATTTGGTGTAATAGTAATTACCGAGTAAGATGAATAAGTTGTGGCCAATGAATTGACTCACTTTAGGCATCCAGCCAGATGTTGCATCAGCAGCTTATTATGATGATGATGCAGGTAGTTCCCCAAATTTGTGGCCAACAAAAACAATGTGGCAAGGCAACGGATGCACTCTGAAGACACAATGATTTCCTAATTGTCTGCAATGAGTCTGATTTAATTGATTAGAGAAACAGACAATAAAAAGTTCCTATCTAACAATGTTAAACCACTCATAACAAATGTTCCACAGTATCCACAGAAATGCTCTTTGTCCTTGACCCACTTTTTTTCCATTTCAAATTGAGATATAACATTTCTGTTCAGAAAAAAAAGTGGAACTGCACTTTTTTAAACATGTATACATGACTTTGAGCACAGAAATAACTGGATCCCATGATGAATGCGCTGTTCTCAGGCTAAAAAAAAAAAGAAGTAAAAAAAAGGTTTTTGTACAAGAAACATCAAGACAATGAAAACAGAACGGGAACATCTTAAGCCTGTGCTTATGCTATCTCTAGTTTATCTCATCAAAGTTTTTTCACATCAACATCTTTGATGTAAATGCAGAAGTTAAAAAGAAACTCTTACAGCTTAATAAAATGTCAAAAATGTATGTGGGTGTATAAAATAAAATTAACTAATCACTTCTGTATAATTGCACCGCAAGGATTTTCCATATTATTTTTAATCTGCCACTGAAACTGCTCTCACCCCCATCCCCAGTTTGAAATATGTCCAAAAAAGGAGAATCAGTTAACCATTTGTTGGCTGTTAACAAAGTCTACAAGTGGATATTTTGGAATTTCCCCACGTCCGTTCAAGAAACATAGTCTGTCAGAGTTAAGTGGGAGGGTTGAGGTTTGTAGGCGGGGGGCGAGGTTAAGTGACTAAGAGTTTAAGTTGCATAAAAACAAGATCCACAACCCCAGTTGAGGGCACAGAGCAGAGACAACAAGAGCCTGCAGTCAAAACACAGGAGGGAGACAACACTGAAGAAGAAACACTGACAATCATCTGAGGAGAAGCTTTCGAATATTCTTTGTCTACCTGAGCAACTGTTTGCTGCAAAGCCATCAGTTTTTTTTTCCCACTGCAGTAGTCTACGATAGCTCTCATAATGAGACGCTTTGCTTTAGCTGTGTGCTTAATTTGGGGGATAAGCATGCAGGTTGGATGGAGCATCCCACTAAAGTCTGTCTTTGTCAGCTTCCCAGGAGACATCATCAAAAACGTGACTGATACCGAGCTGGCAGAAGTGAGTAGCAGATGGTTCATTTTGTTGAGATAGACTGTGATTCCCTAAACAGTGTGCCATCAAGCTGTGCAGGGATGTCATTATTTAAACAGAAATCTCTTCCATCATGTAAATAAGAGAAAAACGTTTTTCTGCTATAGTCAATCCATAGGAGGCACAGAAACATTGTATTTAATTTATAAGCTAAACTTTACCTCAAAAGTACCTACTCAAACCTGTTTACTGCTTATCATCACCTGGCTAGACTCATTAATGTGCCTTTTTTGTGTTCTCCTGCCAGAGATATCTGAAGAAGTTTGGCTACATAGACCCAGTGAAGCGCAGCGGCTTCCAATCAATGGTGTCCACTTCCAAGGCTTTGAAAAGGATGCAGAGGCAGATGGGTCTGGAGGAGACTGGAGAGCTTGATAAAGCAACCATCGAAGCCATGAAGCAGCCCCGCTGTGGGGTTCCTGATGTGGCCAACTACAAAACCTTCGATGGGGACCTCAAATGGGACCATAATGACGTCACTTATAGGTAAAAATAAGTACCCAACTTGAGCTGATGACATTGTAATGCTTGTGCATTGTGATTCAAGGCACAGCATTCAAACCGTATCCAAAAGGTCTCTAATAGAGATTAATCACTCATTTCATCCACTGTCCAAATATCATTCAAAAGTTTGACAGCAGAGTGTCATTCTGCTCTTCCCTAGGGTCATCAATTACTCCCCAGACATGGACAGTGCTCTGATCGATGATGCCTTTGCCAGAGCCTTCAAGGTATGGAGCGATGTGACCCCTCTGACTTTCACCCGCCTTTATGATGGGACAGCTGACATCATGATCTCATTTGGAAAAGCTGGTATGGCTGAGTCATTCAATTTGTGGTCACATATTCAATATTTGCAGAGCCTAAGTATACAATAAAGTGCTGACATGTATTTCATTTAAATTCTTTATTCAGACCACGGAGACCCTTACCCATTTGATGGTAAAGATGGCCTACTGGCGCATGCTTATCCCCCTGGTGAGGGAATGCAGGGTGATGCCCACTTTGATGATGACGAGTTCTGGACTTTGGGAACAGGACCAGGTAATCACACATACTACAATAAAGTGACAGAACCATCCATATTTGTGTAACTGTCTCCCCCTAGTGGTCAATGTATACATTGCATTGAAAGTGGATTATTTTTCCCTCAGCTGTGAAGACACGCTATGGGAACGCAGATGGAGCCATGTGCCACTTCCCCTTCACTTTTGAAGGCAAATCCTACACCACATGTACCACTGAGGGCCGTTCTGATGACCTGCCATGGTGTGCCACCACAGCTGACTACGGCCGAGACAAGAAATATGGCTTCTGCCCAAGTGAACGTAAGCTTTACTTTCTATTCTAGAAGAGGACCAAAGGTCAGAGGTCAGAGGTCAGCAAGATGTAGACATTTGTTGTTTTATTTTTATTATTCTGACTGGCTTCATCCTATTCACCCTTTTTCATTCTCACCCAAACAGTTCTTTACACTTTTGGAGGAAATGCCAATGGAGCAGAGTGTGTATTCCCCTTCGTGTTCCAGGGGAAGGAATATGACAGCTGCACCACAGAGGGCCGCAGTGATGGCTACCGCTGGTGTTCCACCACAGACAATTTTGACAGGGACGTAAAATATGGATTCTGCCCCAGTCGTGGTGAGTGACAGGAACCACAATGAATAGATATTGTGCAGTGCTGTCACAATGACTTGTTTTCTTACAGTTGATTTTATGTGTTTGTTTTGGTCAGACACTGCTGTGATCGGTGGTAACTCTGAGGGAGAACCCTGCCACTTCCCTTTTGAATTCCTGGGTAAAGAGTACAACTCCTGCACTAGTGAGGGACGTGGAGATGGCAAGTTGTGGTGCGGTACCACTGAAAGCTATGATGACGACAAGAAATGGGGATTCTGCCCAGACAGAGGTAAGTAACAATGACAGAAGGTAGAATAGCTAAGACGCCTTATTTACAACTGTGAGTCATTAATATTTATTACTGTTTGTATTGCAGGTTATAGTCTGTTCCTGGTAGCCGCCCATGAGTTTGGACATGCTCTCGGCCTGGATCACTCCAACATAAGAGAAGCTCTTATGTTTCCTACATACAGCTATGTGAAAGATTTCTCCCTTCACGAAGATGACATTGAAGGCATTCAGTATCTTTATGGTAAGGTATTATTATAATTACTTATCATGTCATGTTACTTTATAAAGTTCAAACTGCTCATTAGTTTTGCCTATTTGTTTATAGGACGCGGAACAGGCCCTAATCCCACCCCACCTCAGCCTGACACCCCCACCACCACCGAATATCCAGACCATGGTAAGACAAACCCCACAGATGCACCTGAACCCACCGACCCCTCTGTCACCACCACTACATCACCTGTGGATCCAACCAAAGACGCCTGCAAGATCACCAAATTTGACACCATCACTGTGATTGGTGGAGAACTGACTTTCTTCAAGGATGGGTGAGCAAATCAGTTTGAAGAAAAAATAGTCATACAGGACAATCTGGTCGTATCAGTATGTTCATTTTGTGTGTTTTGGTCTTCAGACAATACTGGAAGATGCCCAGCAGAGGTGAAGAGGGACCCAAGGGACCATTTTCTATTTCTGAGAGGTGGTCAGCTCTTCCAGCAGTAATTGATTCTGCCTTTGAGGATGCTGTGACCAGGAAAATTTATTTCTTCTCAGGTAGAAAAAAAAGCGCATACTGTGTTACAATTGACATGTGAGAACAAAATGTAGACAATTTACTGATTGTTTCCTCTCTGTAGGAACCAGGTTCTGGGTGTACACAGGAAAGAATGTTCTGGGTCCTCGCAGCGTTGAGAAACTTGGCCTCCCTAGCAGCATTCAAAAGGTGGAGGGAGCTCTGCAGAGAGGCAAAGGCAAAGTGCTGCTCTTCAGTGGAGAGAACTTCTGGAGGTGAGTTTTAACATTTGCCTTTGTCATATTTAGCTTTTTGGTTTCTGTAAGATTTTCAGCCAAATTCCCCCCTCTCTGCTGTGTATTTGCCCTATGTTGGTTTATTGGGAAACAACATCAGCGGCTTTTACTAACATTTTCTGGTATGGTTTTGTGTTTGATCAATAAAGGCTTGATGTGAAGAACCAGAAAATTGACAAAGGGTACCCCAGATACACAGATGCTGTCTTTGGTGGAGTCCCCAATGATGCTCATGATGTATTCCAGTACAGAGGTACATAATCATGCTTTTTGTATTGACAGAGAATGATGCACAAAACTAGAATACTGCAGGTTTGAGTTATTATGTTCCATGATAATGATGCGTTCTCAATCTTTTATCTAAGGTCACATGTACTTCTGCCGGGACCGCTTCTACTGGCGTATGAACTCCCGCAGGCAGGTGGACCGTGTGGGCTACGTCAAGTATGACCTCCTCAAGTGCACAGACCATTCAGTGACTCACTACTGAAGAGAACATGGTGGGAAGAGCTGAAAATAATCTGTAATGTGGTAGCACCTTTTTTTCTTCTTTTATGAGCAGATGTCAAGGAGAATGTGATGCAGTATTGGTGTTGCAACTGATGTATGTTTGTGCTTTTTGGGATGCAAATTATGAGCTTTAATTGCTGTTGGCTTTTAAAACAAAGTCAAAACCCCAAAGAAAGCAATGCAAAACTAAAATCTCTGGCACTGCCCTGTCCTATCAGTCAAAGTCTGTGAACGGACTATGTTGGTCTTTGACATCCATGAACTACACTCAAAAGCTGCCTGGATAACATTCCAGTTTTGATTATTTTTGTCTGACTGGTTCAGACCCTCAACAGTATTGGAATTTTTTGGTATTTATAACAATATCTGATATTATTTTTGTGTCCTGAAGCTTGTTTGTTTTGTATAATTGTTTGTTATTTCTATGGCAAAAGAGCCAGTTACTTGCACTGGAAGACAATGCATGTCTCCTTCACTGTAATTATTTATTAGACTATATTTTGTATTAAAATCTTAAATTTCAACGCAATAAACATTCCTTCAACTGCCTGCCATTGTCACCTGTCTCAATCATACATTAAACCCTGATAGATGTGTTTGTTTATAAATGATGATAGTGGGTGGTTACTGCCCTTGTAGTTTATTAACGTAATTAGTAAACAGGGGGGGGGGGGGGGCACAATGTTACTAACACTTTTCAATATAATGCACTTTAGTACCCCACCAATTTCCACTACAACTTCAACAGTTGATGTAAAAAAAAGTTATCACTTGTATGTTGATGTAAAGAACAGTTATCACGTGTATGCCCATATTCACAAAAATCACAGAGAGTTCGTAAAAGTTTAAATGATGATAGAGCTGAAGTGATGGGTTGCATTAGGGCGCCCATAGTGTTTGTTAAAAACGGCCTTAGTGAATGCATATCACTCCGCACCCAGTTGCGAAATGCGCCCTCCTCCAAAAACAATAGTCCACTTAGCGAACATAAACATCCCATTTTCGAATTACTCATGTACAAAAGATCCAAGCGATCACACTCACGACTTAAATAGTGTAACTTGAAAAAATATATTGAAGATTAAAAGCACGATGGGCCACTCATATTTTGACAATAAATAAGATCCGGTAGCACGGACAGGAAGCAAGGAGAATCTCATGGCGCCCGACTAGAATGAGGCAACAATTGTCGGCTGCTAATTTCTGTTCCGTTTAGCGCATCTTCACCAAAGGATACCTTCCTCTTCGTTAATACACGGTAAGAAAAAAAATTGGTGATTCCAGTGCTAAGGATAGAAAATGTTTTCATTTTCTTCAGGGAGAGCATTTGGACGGTCTACCGCAGTTCAGGCCCTCGAGGTCCCCAGTAGAGCTCTCAGAATGCCTGAGTGGAAAAGGACGCTGCCTGCTGTAAAATGGCGACGCCGAGCAGGCAGGATGAAGGGCAGCTAGGCCTGTTACTGAAAGGCTAACACCAACACACAAGTTGTGTCGGACTCTGTTCAGCCTTACGCGCTTATTATTTCCACGATAACACAACCTACATTGTTAATCTTGACTTCGTTCAACAACCTTAATCTTTCATCGTTGTCATGGGAGTCTGTAGGATCAGTTTGACAGGCTAAAAACGACACGAAGCTGACAACATTGCGGATTAGCTACTCAAAGCTAACTTTAACTGTTGTGATTCATCGATAGATTGGCTAGTCTTACTGAAGCAGATTTAGTGTTTAAAGAAGTGTCTGTCTCATGTCGATCCACAGATCCAAATAAACGTTACATCGGCAACTGTGGGAACGTTTAGTTTTTTCTAAATTTGACGCGTCTATCTGGAAAGCCCGTGGAGACACAAGAAGCTTAAACTTTGGCCAATTTAAACGTTACTGTTTCAAAGAACTCCCAGAGCCGTTTGTTTTACATGTACTGAAATAAACCCTTGTCCCACACAGTTTTCTGTAAACGGCTGATCAAACTCCTATGTGATACACATCAACCAGCCAGAACATTGATATCTGGGTAATCTAATGCAACGAAATACACAGCTCCACCATAAACTCTACTTTCACAAACTTCTGCATTTTCAGCTCTGGTTGTCATGGTCAGGCAGGCGATCATTGTTCTTTAACGTTATTGCTGAAGTTGTTAGTATACTTGAGTTCTTTGTATTGCAAGTGTATCTGGGATTGTGCTCCCCCGTGTTTGTAAATGAAGTGGTGACCGTGTTATCAAAAACTGGAAGTAAATGTATTGGGTTGCCCAGGTGTCCATAATGTTATGGCTGGTCAGTGAATGTAAACATGAAGTAAAAAGTGAATAAAAGATAAACAAGTAAGGTGTGGTTGGAAGCACAACAATTAAAGTGCAAGAAACAACAGTACACAACACTGCTTAAGCAGACTCTGAAACAGGTGAACTAGAACATAAAATATCCAGCATCAAAAACCGAGTCATTGTTTGATTAAAAATCTCCTGTTTACATAACTCATCATCATGCATCCTGACTTTGTTTTTCTTTGAAGAATTTGTACAATATTCAACTCCTACCTATCCATCAATCATTCTGTTTGCTGTTGATCCAGTGATAAATGAGCTGGAGTAAAGATATACTTAAGATTGTTCAGATGCTCACACTACTGCTACCAATAGATCAGACCTAGAACAAGTAATCAAAGACCTGAATGTAAGGTGGGGTTGTTTCAGGTCACTTGTGAAAATAAGATTGGATAACACCATTGTAAAACCTGATAGGCTACTGATTTCCTGTATTCTTTTGGGGGACAGCTATGGATTGCGATGAGAACGAGGTGGAGAGCAGCAGTGATGCAGGTCCCTCAGGGATGGAGGAGCCATCTGAAAGTGGCATGGGTATGGAGTCATCTGAGGCCATGTCTGCTGACAGCAGTGATGCTGCTGCCTCTCATACACACACCCCAGAGTCTGACTGCCACGTGGGGCAGAGCTCAGAGGGACTTGTGGTAGGTTTTCTTTAACCATTTGCACACACAAAATAACTCATGCCTTAAGTTAATGTGAGGAAATATAAAACACGAAGTAATCTAAGTTTTTTTTGACTCATCATCACATTCGCTATCAAGGTGTTCATCCCAGAAACCAGCTCCAGCACAGATGTCAGAGTTTCATCCATCCACCTTCCAGACTCCTCCTCTGTGGCCCAGTCCACCAGTGTGTCCAGTGTCTCCACAGTGACTCAGTCAGTGCTGGTGTCTGAGTCAGCCCAAGTTTTGGTCCACTCCAGTGCCGTGTCTGAGGGAGCCATGATGGTTTCTGACTCAACCGCTTCTACCTCATCAGATCTAGGTTCTGCCATCGACAAGATCATTGAATCCACCATCGGCCCTGACATCATGAATGGTATTTCAAGTGACACTACATTTTATGTGGCACCAGGGCCTAGAAAAGCTTAAATGTAGTTATAAACTATTGTTTCCAGTTTAATACATCTACAAAAAAGTAGTAGATTTCTGATCCTGCCTGCTCCTTTTTTTGTTAGGATGCATAGCAGTGACTAGTGCAGAGGATGGAGGGGTAGAAACAACCCAGTATCTGATATTACAAGGACCAGATGATGGTAAGTGTGGATGTTTACGCCCAATTTAAATAACAAACAGAATACAAACCAAAACACTTTAGAGAATGTGTCAATAAAGACAGGGACAAGTTAAAATTTCCATGAAAACTTGAGTGAAAAACTGAGTTTTTTCTTTTAAATGAATTATTCCCTCTTCAACTGATGACACACTGTGGGAGACTCCTTCATTCACTTGTTTAATCAATCTGCATGTGTTTATTTGTTAAAGGGGCTCCCATGGTGGCCCAGATGTCATCTTCAGCTTTATCTGACCGTATAGCCATAGAGGCTCTTGCAGAAGGCCCAACATCCACATGTCTGGACCAGGGAGACCTCCAGAGTAACCTTGATCCTGACCAGCCTGATGATCAGCCTGGTCACTCTGGGTACCCAGAGGATAGCAGCAGTCACCCTGACCAGCCCCAGCACTCTCACCCCTCCCAGTACTTGGATTGCAGTGCAGATGGTCCAGACCAGACAGGAGAGTCTTCATCCGGCTATGTGGAGTGCTCAAGCGGGGAACCTGACCAGACCCGCTCTAGGTCGAGTTTTCCTGACTACAGTGGGGATAACAGTGACCAGGACCTGCCTGGATATGTGGAATGTAGTGGGGCGGACTCAAACCCTATCAGCCGTGGGCACTATGTAGTGGAGTGCAGTGCTGGTTATCTGGGGTGTGCCGCAGATGATGAAGAACAGCCTCATCATTCACGCAGTTATATTGACAGCAGTGCAGACCACAGGACTCAGACAAGTCGACAGTATGGGGATGAGTACAGAGGGGAATGTGTTGCTGCTGCAGATTCTGAGCAACCAGGTTGCTCTCAATATCAAGCAAGAGATGATGATGATGACGATGATGATGATGATGAAGAAGATGAGCAGAACCAGGATCCAGATCAGCCTCAGCACTCCCAACAGCAGCCTCAGCATTCCTGTTACATGGAAAGCAGCAATGGCCCTGAAGCTTCTCTTTATAATGACGACAGCTCCTCTTCAGACCTCCCTCTGGCTGACACAGCAGGCTCAGGCGGGCTTCCTGAAGCACTGGAGTGCAGTGAGAGCCAGCCTGGGCCCTTTATTAGCAGTAGTGGGACTTACACCTCTAATCCAGAACCCGAGCTGGCCCAACAGTGCTCACCCAGCCAAGAGGAACCTCAAGGCTCTCAGGGGCCTCAAAATGAAGCCAGCATGGTCAGCGAGATGGAGACATCAACTGTGGGAGAAGGTTCAGGAGACAGAGCACCAAACCTGGCTGAGCTAGAGGAAATGATGGAAGTTGTTATTGTGCAGCAGTTCAAGTGTAAGATGTGTCCGTACAAGAGTTCCTCCAAAGACACACTTATTAACCACATGAGAGACAAACACTTCAAACCTGCAGGTTAGGCACATTTACATGCTTGATTATGTTCCTAAAAGACAAATCTCTTATTTTTGATTTACAGTTTTCTGCTTGATGTCCGAATTTTTTTTAGGAGACATGCCAAAGAAGCGCAAACGAGGCCGACCTCCTAAAAGTGAGACGTTGGCTCGTCGCAATGCAGAAAAGAAGGAAGCTGAAGAGAGGAATGCTGCAAAGGTCAAGGCGTCTGAGCCCCAACAAGCAGAAGAAGAGGAGGATGATATTGTGGATGCTGGTGCAATTGATGATCCTGAAGGTCAGAGAAGAAGCTAGTAATTGATAATGGAAAAGACAAATATTCATACTATTCTAAATAAGAGAATTGGTTAAGAGATGAGAGTCATTTTAGATTATCTGCTTTACATTCTTAGAGGATAGTGATTACAACCCAGTGGATGAGGACAGCAATGGGAGACTGCCTGTCATCCTGAAAAAACCTGCTCCTCCAATCTCTTCCTCAACTCAAGGGCGTCCTCGCCGTAAGGTTGGCCGTCCCAGAAAGTACAGTCTTTTAGAGGAAGGTTACAATGGCAAAGGTGAGAGTATTATCAGTCAAGAATAGTGTCTCAATCACAGTGTTTACACTTCAGGGTCAAGTGTTGTATTCTTACCTTTTTATTATAATTACAGAGGCGGAGAGTATTGCAAAGAAGCCAAGAATCAGCACAGATACTTGTGCACCTGAAGAGGCGAGCTCTTCAGGTATGAAGAATGGTTCTGTCCCGGAAACTGATGGAGACACTGTTGAGGCGGCAATTAGCCAATCAGACTCTGAGAACAAAGACCCTTCATCCAACTTACAGCCAGAGGAGGAGTTCTTCCCGAGGAAACGTGGTCGGCCTTCCAAGCGTTTTCTTCGCAAGAAGTATAAGAAGTATATAAACCGAAAGTAGGTATCACTTTAGCTGAAGATGTGTTACATACATATGAACATAACAATTACAACATGCTGATAACTCCTCTCTGATCTTTCAGTCGGTACTACAAATCCCTCAAACCACTCCTGAGACCTCACAACTGTTGGATCTGCGGATCACGCTTCCTCACTCAAGAAGACTTGCGATTCCACGTGGACTCTCACGAGGGCAGCGACCCAGAGCTCTTTAAGTGCCTGCAGTGTAACTATCGCTGCAAGCGCTGGTCTTCACTCAAGGTCAGTGCGACAAAAAAAGTCAGAACAGTCAGGTTCAATGCAGTCCAGATGCATTTTAGTTCGGTGTCTTAAGTCTTGGTGCTGTTTTGCAGGAGCACATGTTCAATCATGAGGGTACTAAGCCATTCAAGTGTGAGGAGTGTGAATACACAAGTGTCTACAAGAAAGATGTCATTCGCCACTCAGCAGTTCACAGCAAAGACAAGTAAGTTACTCAGACAGTTTCAACTCACAGAACAAGCACCGAATGATTCGCAATACCCAACTCTTTTTACAGATGGGTTAATTTTTCTCCCTGTCTTTCGTCCTACAGGAAAAAAAAGACAGAAACAGTAAGTCCTTTTTGATGTTTAATTTAATTTCAATAGTCTGCTTCTTTTTTAGCTGATTGTTGCTGTGCTTTGGCTCATTTAACTCATTGATTGGACACCTTTGTGTTTTGTTTTGTTTTTGTAGGTACCAAAGGTGTCTGAGTTCCTCTGTCCTGTGTGTCACAGAGTTTACCCCATGCAAAAGAGACTAACTCAGCACATGAAGACTCACAGTACAGAGAAGCCACACATGTGTGACAAGGTATGAGATTTTTATATTTTTTTATTTTGGTTATTCAAAGGATCTTATATTTAGGAAATAATAAAGTAAATAGTACAGAAAGGAAGAGCATGTTTGAGTAGATACCTACCTTAACAGCAATGATTTCATCTCATTTTTCTTCTTTGAACATTTGATTTACTTGATTAGGGCAATTTTTATACCAACAATGCTGGGCACTATTGAATAAATCCTTTAAAAAAGTAATAAACACACATCTTCCTAAACCTCATTAACTATAAGTTTTCTCCAGAACACCTGTTGAAGAAATTTCTCTGTCTTTGCAGTGCGGCAAATCCTTCAAGAAGCGGTACACATTCAAGATGCACCTACTGACCCACATCCAGAGTCTTGGAGATAGCAAGTCAGTATTAGCTTTTTGCCTCACCTCTTCAGTTTTGTTAGTTAGTCTTTCAAACACATGGGTGTAACCACATTTAGGCTACTGACTCAACATTAGTCACCTCGTTGGAGTTAATGGTTTCACAATAACCCTTGGATTTGCTTCCCGTCAGGTTCAAGTGTGAATTTTGCGACTACACTTGTGACAACAAGAAGTTGCTGTTAAACCATCAGCTGTCACACACCAACGACCGTCCCTTCAAGTGTGACTACTGTAAATACTCCACTTCCAAAGAGGAGTTCCTAGTGTCCCACCTGGCCATCAAACACACAGGTATCATGAAGTTCACTTGACCTGAGCATGTTTATTACCACTTAACAAATGCAAAACTGGAAATTACTCTCTGCACTTTCTATTAATTTGTCGTCTCCACAGGGGAGAAGCCTTTCTCTTGTGATATGTGTCACTTCACGACCAAACATAGGAAGAACTTGCGACTACATGTGCAGTGTCGTCACCCTGAGGCGTTTGAAGAGTGGTCAGTGTCTCACCCCGAGGAGCCTGTCAGGAGGCGACGCAGACCCTTTTTCACCCTGCAGCAGATCGAGGAGCTCAAACAACAACAACAGCACGATAACACAGAGAGCTTGCAGAACACGATAGTAAGTCTTTGAGAAAGTCTTTGATCCCAGACTCTGACTTTATTTCATTCCACTGAGGCTTGTCTCTGATGTCATGGGGAGATGATACCAGCTAATATTATTTTCTACCTTCATTAGGTTGCTGTGGATTCTGCAACGCTACAAGCCATGCAGGGCATTGAAAATGCATCAGTGTCCCAGGATGCATTAGGAAACACCACCATCATTTATGAACAAGGTCAGTCATCTCATCTTGAAGAGATACATTTTATATTATCTGTGATCTTTCACTAAAGGTGGCTTTTCTGCATTTGCTTCTCAGCTGAATCTAGCGATATGTCCGCCCAGAATGCCCTTGACCTGCTGCTGAATATGAGCAACGCTCGAGAGTTGGTAGGAAACAGCTTACAGGTTGGTTATGCGCATTTAATTACACTTCCCATAAATATTAATGTCAAGTTTATCAAGACAAGAAAATGATGTTAAAAAATGCCTGATCCCCTCAGGTGGCAGTTTTAAAATCTGAAGGCAAAGCTTTGGAAAAAGGCACATGGAGCACAGTGACTGCAGCACCGGGCCAGACCCAAAAGGTAGTGACCTTCCATGTATCAGAGAACGGAGAGACGGTGCTGCAAGAGGCCTACGAGGCCGCCACCTCTGAAACAGGAGAGTTAACCCAGATCGCCATTGAGGCCTATGAGGGAGGAGGAGAGTTCAGCGTAGTGGAACAGACAGCTGAAGAGAATCAAATATCTGATTACAGGTAACTGAGCACACCATGTGATTGTTATTCAGGGAGAAAATAATGCTGAGCTAAGAGTTAGAATAAGACTGAGAGTGATTTGTCTCTGATGTGTTTGCAGTAATGTTGAGAGCAGTCCATCTCAGACAGCAGAAGTCTCTGGATCAGAGGGCCTAAAAAATGACAAGTTTTACCTTTCTTCAGTCCTGCCTGATGGTGTTCTTCAGCAGGTGGAGGTAAATATGGGGGAAAGTAGTTTTTCTGTTTTAAGATTTATCAGCTCTTAGTGTTTTTACTCACAACTTTTTTTTTTTCTGTCAGCTGAGCAGTGAAGCGCCATCCTCTCCCTCTACCGTGAGCTCTCCTGGTCTGAGCAGTAAGAGGTTTTCCTGCAGAATATGCATGGAGTCTTTCCATGGACGCTCAGATATGGAAAACCACAAGAGGGCGCACTTGGATCCCAGCACTTTCAAATGTCCTGATTGTGACTTTACCTCAAACTCCTGGCCTGAAGTAAAGGTATGCAGTACCTTTTATGATCTTAAAAATGTCTTCACAAACATAAAACCACACAGAAAATAATCACCATGTAAAATCATCACTTAATGCTAATTGACCCACACGTTTAAATTGAATTTTTAACAGCTTATCAAATAGTATTCATAGAAGCATAGCCACCTTTGCACATATTCAATATATTTCAGCACATATTGTCACGCCGTCAAAAGTATTGCTTCCTACTTTGAACCTTTGGCTATTCAAAATGTGATTTATATTCTCTCTTTTCATTCTGTGTTTTTCAGGCGCACATGGAACTGCACTCCTATCTCCGTCCTCACAAGTGTCCAAACTGTAGCTTTGCCTCCAAGAACAAGAAAGACCTGCGCAGACACATGATGACACACACCAACGAGAAACCATTTTCTTGCACACTTTGTGGACAGAGGTGAGAGAAACTAATTTTCATCATCACAAAACTCCTGTGCAACATGTATGTAGCACAAGACTTTAGAGAGGTAGTGATGAGCTGTCAAGTCACCATTACTGTTTTTTATGCCGGGCAGGTTTAACCGCAACGGTCATCTGAAGTTTCACATGGAGCGTCTCCACAATCAGGATCATCCCACTCGTAAGAGCCGAACCCCCTCAGCTCAGCAGACCATCATAGTCAACAGTGATGAGGAGGCACTGGCTACACTACAGTGTAAGGAATGCAACAAAGCACTCAGAGCAGATTTTGTGTGAAACCTTATTAGATAACAAACAACACAATAAATAATGTCAATCTTGTGTGTGTATCTAACAGCTCTGCAGGGACATCAGGCAGTGATCACTCCAGAGCGGTTGCACGCCCTTGGTCAGGAGCACATCATCGTAGCTCAAGAACAGGCTCTTTCAGACCAGGTACCCAAGGGTTTATGACACTGGACTGATCTAAAAATCTCAAATAGATTGTTTTTGTGTTCATCATACAACCCCAATTCTAAAAATGTAGGTACACTGTGTAAAGTCTTAACCAAAATGTTATTTAATGGTGTAGCAACTGCTTTCCTTCAACAAAAACAGGCCGCTGGGGTTTGGTTTGCATGCATCTGTGACTCGCTTGAATGATCAGTCCGATTTGAGTGTTAGAAAAAATGATTTATTGTTCAAAAAAAGGGAAAGAAAACACACTGCAGGTGAAATGAGGTTAAAACAGGATGAATGAATGAATCAGTGAAAAACAATGAGAAACGTTCAAAAACGCTCAAAACGTTCAAAACAGTCAACAGAAAATTATCAGTGCTGACTGCACCTGTGAGTTTTTAAATAACCCGCCAAACATCCCAAAACCCCACCCCTCAGTGACGATCCCGGAAGTGACGTGCCTACAAAAATAAAACTTTCAATAAATATATTTTGGCTACTACAAATGGTTTGAAAATTACTTAAACCAAATTAAAAATAGGTAAGACTTAACGTATCAAATGTTGAGACTGATAGAAAGATAGAAGAGATTCACTGCTCTGTGAGAGACTACATGAGCTATTTTTAGAATAATGTTCCTCAGTATAAATTTGGAAAGGATATGATGGATTCATCATCTACGGTACACAACTTCATTGATAGATTTAAGGAATTTGGAGAAATCTCTGCATAAATAGACCCGACTGAAAACCTTATTTCTGGGCTCTCAGGCAGCGCTGCGTTGAGAAGAGATGTGACTCTGTTCTGAATATCACCACATGAGCTTATAATTTCCTCTGTCTTCAAGCTGAGTTTTTTGCCGCATCCACAAATGTAGGTTAGAACTTCACCAGCAACATAAATTCAGAAATATTTGTGGTTTCTCTGAGACCAAGCCCAATGAAGACAGACTGAGGTGAAGTAGAAAACTGTTCTGTGGTCCAACAAATCAAACATGACCTTTTTTAATGTCAGTGATGACAAGAAAGACTTCTCAGCTTGTTATTTTTCTTCTTTTAATTTTCATAAAACAATTACACATTATTAATTTTAACATTTGATATGCTGTCCTTGTACTGTTTTCAAGTAAACATCAAGTTTAAATAATTTTTGAACCATCAGATTCTGTGTTTGTCAACATTTTAACAGTATCAACCAACTTTTTTTGGAATTGTTTTTTTTTTTTTTTAACTATCTCTGATTTTTATGAGCAAATATGTACATTTTTGTATTCATCAGGAGGATGGCACATACATCCAGCAGATTACCACCATAGACGGGCAAACAGTTCAGCACCTGATGACAGGAGACAACCAAGTGGCTGAGGTAATTCAATAGATACAACAGTTTCATGTTTGAATGCACATGCCTATCAGTGAAACTGATAAGCATTAATATTTTTATTCTTGTCCTTGTTGTGTTACAGGTTCAGTACATCATTTCACAGGATGGAGTGCAGCACCTTATCCCTCAGGAATACGTGGTTGTAGCTGATGGAAACCACATACAGGTCAATATGCCACCTCACAAGAAGAGATAAGACGAATACTTTTTTCAAGTTGTCCTGTTTTAAAATCTTTTGTCTGCACCACAGGTACCTGATGGACACATTATCCAGTATGAAGGTGATGGAGCTTTTCTGCAGGAGCAACAGGTGAGGCAGATACTGATCACCCAGAAACTCCACAGTTAGAGACTGAGCTGGATTTGACAAAGCTAGGTGGATGATCTGAAGCGCTCTGCAGTTAGAGGATTGTTAATTGGTCTTTGTCCTGTCTGTGTTCAGATTGCTGTGAGTCATGACGGTCAGATCCAGTACCTACCTGTGAGCTCTGAGCAACAAGTGGTGAATGCTGAGGATCTTGAGGCTGCTGCCCACTCTGCTGTCACAGGTAAACACATAAAGTCCTTTAATCAGTTGTTTAATTATTATATGCTAATGATTATGTAAGGACCGTTTTACTTACCTTAACACATGTGTCTATGTTTGTAGCTCATCTCCCTGTGTTTGAATTTCTCCCATTTTATGGTCAAATCTATCTGGTTAAATATCTTAAAAAAATACTTTAAACTTTGGTCAGTGTTAGAGCTCGCCACCAATATAGAAATGAGGATCAATGTAGATTAAGCTTTCTCTAATACTCATTTACCATTTAAAAGTAAGCTTTCAAACTGCGCTTCAGTCAAGTGCTGTTAAAAGATAATTTGACTCATTAAATTAAACATGCTGCTATGTGTGTCTGTTAGCTAGCTTGGAAACAAAACAGACATTATTGCACGCTTCAAGGGATATTCCGGCTTAAATTTAAGTTATGGTCAAACACACCATTACACCAAGTTAGACACCCCCTCGAGAGGTGAATGTTGCCGACTGCTTGCTTCTCTAGTTATACCAACTTTAGTAACAACCGCACAATAGCAATACACAGCGGTCTACGTCTCCACGCACAAACCTCAACCAAAATGCCACTTTATAGCCACAAATTATGCTCAGAACAGCACCTCACTTCATCAACAGTGCATATAGGGTCCCAGCCATAGTACTATGCATCAAATATCTTTAAAGCTTTGCCTGATTTCTTTAGCAAAGAGACCAAACAGAACTCACCCACTCTCCTCCAGCAGCCGCTTGTTTGTAAGGGAGCCCTGACAAGTCGATCACCGTGTGCAGCAGAGTTTCGCAGCTCAAGGAAGAACAATTATGATTATTATTTAATGGAAATGCAATCAGACTGAGATGCTAAGGCAGAAGAACTACCGCGTCTGCAGTGCAAAATGATTATTATGATGATTATTACTTCAAGGAAATTATCCACTGCACTCAGTGATTGACTTGATGATATTGCTATTGTGCGGTCATTCCTAAAGTTGGTTTTACTAGAGAAACAGGCAGTCAGCAACATTCATCTCCTGAGGGGGTGTCTAACTAGGTGTTACAGTGTGTTTGACCCCTAACTTAATTTTACGCCGAAATATTCCTATAAAAGCACCAATCAAGGGACAAACACAGTAAACTGAGCAGTTTCATTTTAAGACCTTATTTATGTGCTGAAACATGCCAAATCACCTATGTGGTCCAGTGAAGGACTTGTTCATAATCCCATCCATCATGATTGATTATAAGGCTGGTAATACACTGAATATTATGTCAACAAATTAAACTCAGTGGATGATCTCTGTTCTTGCAGCTGTCGCAGATGCAGCCATGGCGCAGACCCAGACGGTCTACACTGAAGCAACACCTGAACAGCTGGAGCAGCTGCAGCAACAAGGCATCCACTATGATGTCATAACCTTGGAATAGACTGCTTTCTGAACCTACAAACTCTAACCACTATGAGCTGACAAGTACAATGACCTCAACTTATTTATGCATTCAGTTAAACAAAAACTTTATCTACTCCACATTTTCATCTGCAGCTTCAGCAGTTGAGCTCCTCAATAGAATCTATAGATTTTGTAAATTCAAAAGATTGCACCCATTGCTTCTAACTTAATCATAGAGGCTATGCACTCAGAGTCTGTTTAAGCACGGCTGGTCTCTTCCATCATTATTGATAATTATTCATGTTTACGTGCCTCAACTGCTTCCATTTGCTACACAAGAAAATCAAAGGAAAGTGTAAAGGCTTATGTCATGTTACAGGAAATATACCGAGTGTCCAAACGAGCTTTTGTGTTTTTGAACAGGGTGAACTGAAATGAAAGAGCAGTGCTTATTTCTGATCTAGGATGACTTGTGTTTAGTATGAATGCCACAACATTTGTGTGTACCTAATTTACATTGATGTGTACATATCTTTTGATTTTGTCTTCTGCTCCATGATGGAGGATTTGTGTTGATTTGGTGATTAGGGAATGTTTAATAAGCTGAAAGCTGACACCAAATAAATCACTTTGTGTATCCCTGGGCATTTTTTTAAATACTTGTGATGTAGAAACATTTTCTTTTAGTGCTGTAGACAATGTGAAAGGAAGTAATTACTAAAAAAAAACACTATTACAGCTCTGCAATTATGAAGAGGCTGTTTGTTCATTATTATGTGTAAATAGTGGCTGTGATGAACCCTGAACGGCCTCTTCACAGCAGTGCTGCCACTATTCATGTTATTAGTTTGATTTCGTATCATAGTACACCATGTCCCTGCTCTGTGTCTGCCCTCCAAATGTGAGCCTTTCAGAAACAGTCAATGTGAACTCAAAAGGAGAAGTTTAACATAAAGATAAGTCAGAAGTGTGCCAAGGAAACACGCAAGGATCCTGCAGCCACGTGAGGGAAACATCCATCCAAGCCCTTCATCTGATAAAAAGAAAACTTCCCTTTTTCACCCAGAAGGAGGAGCTTGAAATTCTCTAAAAAGACTGGAAAACTGAAAAAATCAATTAGCCTGGAAAGCATCCCGCTCAAGATGAAGATTGTACTCTTTGTGCTTGTGGTTTCAGGTGTGTTTAGTTAAATTTCACATTTTTCTGTGAACTTTCTAATCCCTAGAATAACATTTTAATAAGAATTATTTTCTGTCTCTAGGTATCCCGCCTCTAAAAGGGCAGCAGAGGATCAAGGAGTTTGAACACATTCAGCTCAGACTCGCCTTTCCTTCTTTTTACAACAGCTACAACAAGTCATGCTGTAAACTGTATCCAGGAGGGTGTTACAAGCTGCTGGACAGTGCAGGATATACCTGTGATTTACTGAAAGGAAGAGTTACCAAAACAGAGAACAATGGCTGGATAGAGTTTAAAATATCCAATGTGCAGATTGTGGATGGAGGATATTACAGATGTATCGTGCTGGGGACTGAAAACCACATTTACAAAGATTACTACGTGGAGATATCTGGTAAGAATAACATCCTTAATTTTCTGTTATCATTTTTTATTCATATGCCTCTTGTATTTATAATAAAGGAGAAAAATGCACTGTTGCAGCATCATAGGATACATTTTTACATGCAAACTGAAAATTGAAGGTAATTTACTGTCTAAAAAACAGGGAATGACTGTAAAATTTTAGTGCAGCAATCATCTCTTGAAGCTTGTGTGGTACTCTTACATGTCGCAGAGGTTTCAGGTCACTACAGCCAGTCATATCCTTCAACAACAACAACAACTGCAACTCAAACAACAACAACTGTAACAACAACAACAACTACAACAGCAACAACATCTGCAACCAAAGCACCGAACACTACCACAACTCTCCCAGAACCCACTGGGCCTGCTATGGCTGAGGATCGCAGTGACAGTCCCAGGTTTCCACTCTGCACATAACAGACTTTCTTTTGCTCTCTAACCAAACAGCACTATCTGACCAACATTTACATTTTCATCACAGAGTTCCCTGGAGTTTTGGTCTGCCACTGGCTGTCATTGTGTCAATCACAGCGATGATCTTGATCACTTTGGTTATCGGTGTCGTTTTCTGCAGAGTCAAGGCAAAACATCAACGGTCAGGTAAGCAGATACCTGGTGAGCATTATCACTTAAAACCCGCATGCCCACTAGTAAATCATGTCTTTTGTGTACTATTATTTCTTTGCAGACAAATATGGAGACACCCAGCGTGAGTCACTAAAACAAGAAGCGTCGGTGAGTGCTAAAATAAGAAACGTGCAGCCTCTGTGATTCATCATCACTTGTTTTGAAGTGTTTATTCTTGAAAACTTCCTCCACAGCAGTGTCTCTTGTTTGTCTCCCCAAGGACACCAGTGGCATTGTCTACACCACAGTGGACTTCAGAGCGTACCAGAAACCAACAGAGGTGTCTGCAAATCCCAGGACACACAAAACACAGTCCAGAGTCCCTGAATCCATTTGGAAAGCAGAGCAGGATGGGATGGTGGAGTACTCCACACTAGCAATACACCAGTAAAGTCAGAGTCTAAATTTAGAGGGGCAGACTTTACAGATTAGTTTTTATAGTTATGGTATTCTTCTTAGCTCGTGTGGACTATGAGAGACATTTGCCTGCTGTTTTGTTGCTTCATGGGAAGGTTTTGATCCAGCTGTTCTGTAACTTAATAATCATGATGTCTTCACCTGTTCTGGCTACTTTTTGTGAGTTTTTTAACCCCTTAACTTTACTGATATGTATTATAATGTATGTTGAGTGTGGTTGAAAAAAATGAAAGAAAAGGGATAATACTTTAATGAAAGAAATCAACACTGCCTTTATAAAGCCTGTTATTCTCTAAAATGAAGACTCAATGTTTATATTTTTCTATTTAAGGTGTTTTCTTCTCTGTCTGCTTTCTTATCCCTGGGGTAAGACTGCAGACAGGTTGTCAGATGCTGTCACCAGATCATCTTTCATTGAATCAGTGTTGGTCCTTATCAGTTTCTTCTCTGTTACACCTTCAGTGGAAACCTTACTCTCTTTTTGCTATTCTGAGCCACTCAATGATCTATTCTCAACCTGCTCTTCCTTGGCTCACAAAAAGCTGGTGGCAGTTCCTTTTGTATCATCCAAGGAAGGTCAAGTTTCTCTAAAGAGCAGATAAAAGAACAGATTGGGTAAATTCTAGTTCCTGTGACATTTCAGTGCGAATTTAAGATGACGAACGATGTGTCTGAAGCTGTACTGATATAAAATCTGATATAAACAGACAAACGTTTCTACAATGCTTTTAAAAAACAACCTGTTAAACACAAAGGCAGATGTTGTGTATTATAAAATATTGCAATTATTGTATAAAGATAAATCACAAATTCTTCCTTATCCTACTCAAAAATAATTTGTTCCTCCAGTGTTTAGATATGAGTTAAGAGATACCTGTACATTTTTGTTACCAAAAAGCAGTCAAAGCAAGATGCATGTCAACTGTAGGCGTTCAGTTCTGGACCGATGCAGAAAAAAAGGAAAAATGAGCCCATCACTGAATATTTTCAAAATAAAAATCAGTAAAAATATCTTTGAAAGTTATTATTGAGCCTCCTGAGGAATTGTTGACTGTTAAACTTTGTCTCTGTTAAATATTCAAAAGCATTATTTGTGTGTATTGAAACTCTTTGGGTATATATGATTTTGCTTCTGTTGATTCAGTCATGAAGAAAATGAATTTTTTTTTTTTGTAAAAAGATACTGTCTTTGTGACTGAATAGTGAATAAATAAACTGGAAAAATTAAACTGAATATGATGTAGTATTCAGGGGCGGATCCAGGGGGTCTTCTAAGGTGATCATGCCCCCCTACCCCCATCCCCCACCCCACCCCAAACACAAACACACAAAATCTAACGCCCATCCAAAAATCCATGATCATGACTGGCTTTTCAACTTTTTAGCTGCATCACTTTTGTAAAAGTAAACTTTTTGGCCCTTGTTGCAGCAGTTCGCTTTCTTTGCTTGGCAATGTTTAACATTACAATTTCACTTTTAACTGTGGAATTTGACAAACACATCCTTTTCAACTCCTTCTAGTTTTTAACTAAAATGATTACAATTTTTTACTCTTTTGTGTGGCTTCCTTAAATCTCCAATGTGGACTTCTGTGACATTTATAGAGTAAACCTTCATATTTATACTGATGTCTTTCTATGAGCCACAGAGGCAAACAAGAACAGAAGCAACAAGGATGATGATTTCTATATGCCTAACACTGATGTGGGAGGATAAGTGTCGATCAAGCACCTGCAGAAACAGCCCTGTTTTTACATTTTCCTAATAAAATAATCACAATAAATATCAATTTGTTGTTAGAAGTCAGAATGAAGTCACGACAAACAAAGACTGTGCTGTCCATAAGTGATGCCAAATTTGACAACTCAAAAGTTCCTCACAGGAGCTTTAAAGTTCCTCACAGGAGCTTTAAATTCAACATGTGTTCATTTAGCTGTATAGTAGATATGGTGTGATGATTGAAGAGGTCAATGAGTTCTGTTCATTTCAATGAGTGTACGTACTCAGGGCCAAAAGTCAGTACCCCAGTTCAGTCACAAAAAAAGTCTGATTCTGCTCCTGATGGTACTCCCCCATGAGGCCAAATCTAGAGCTGGTCATACCACTGTTGTAGCTGCATTCGCTCCATGCTGAGGGAAAAGCAAACAGATTCACTTTTCTTGGTTCTTCATTGTGGTGTTGAAAACCTTTCTCCTGCAGAGGGAACAGATGACCTAAGAGGCAGATGCAGGTGAATACAGTGCAGCCACAGATCTTGTATTTATTGGTACTTTACAGGTTTCCAGCATAGCAAGGAACCAAACGCTAATTGTTTTTACTGAAGAGTTTTGACGTCAGAGTATTAGATGTGTGTTTACTCTGGGATCACAAGATGAGGAAAACCCACCAGGGTGTGATGGCATGACTCAGTTTTTCATGCTGGCTGGTTTAGGCTCCAACTCAGGCATTTACCTTGTTGATGTCATCACTGACGCAAACACGGTCACAGGGGACGAAAAAGGTGGATTATACCAAGCTCTGATGAACATTGGTTTGTGTTTGATATTTTTATATGTATTTTCCTCGTACCTGTCCATTTTTTTGGCAGAAGAATCTCATTTGAATGATCTGTGGTGACTGGATGCTGTCGGCACCTCTGAGGATCTGCTCACAGCCTAGCTCACTGTTGCTATGAGGGCAAAATAAAACCAATGTGAAATGTATACTTAACATCACAGCAAATGAAACACACACTTTCAGCCTACTTATTACCCAAGTCCCTGCTTGATCATGTTGTTAAACACAGGCAAGATGTCTTCAGAGGAAAGTGAATCTTTGCTGCTGTCAGCATGTATGTGTGCCATTAAAGAGGCCACTGTCTGACTTTATACAAACACCTGTGGTCACAGAGACGCTCCAGCCATGACACACAAAACAGCAGACAGTCACACTTGAACAAAGTGTAGGTACATGCCTGGTTTGAGTGCAAATTGACCTTACTTTTTCTTTGCCCTGGAGGTTTTGGTTACCCACAGTAAATGGGCGTCACTGGCCAGATATACAGTCATACTGGATGGACAGAAACTGGTCTTCCATTTAGAGGGGAAAGACTGTATTGGGTCACAATTCACAGGGTTTTCCTCAGAAGAGCTGTCTCTCTTTTAAATCTGCATTTAAGGAATTTTGCAGGGCAGTCAATCAAGTAACTTAATGGTTCATGCCAGTGAAGCATTTATACTTTTATACTGTTGTTATAAACTGTTGTTTTATAAAGTTTAATGTCTCTGTGCTAGTCTTCATCATGTTTACTATCACTGTTCTTTGTGTACTTTGCTGTTCTGGTTAAAGATGCTGCAGGAGCTGTTAATCATGATGCCCCCCCTTTTTAAAAATAAAACCATCAAGTAACAAAAATAAACTTCCATTTCTTTGAATGATAAAATTTTGCACATAAAACAGATGATGAAAAAAATGACTGCTGAGACACAAAAACACATTTAAAGGGATATTCCAGCATAAATCTAAGTTGTGGTCAAACACACCTAACACCGAGTTAGACACCCCCTTGAGAGATGAATGTTGTCGACTGCTTGCTTCTCTAGTTATACCAACTTTAGTATGGTATTATCATAAAGTAGAAAATTAAAATACATCAAATATTTCAAACGATTCTCTCAAAGGGATTTTTCGGCAAAAATAAAAAGTTTGGGTCAAACACATTGTAAGAGTGTGCAGCAGAGTCAAGGAAAAACATTTATGATTATTACTTCATGGAACTGCAATAAGACTGAGACGCAAAGGCAGAAGAACTACTGCGTCTGCAGTGCAAAAGGATTTTTATGATGATCATTACTTCAAGGAAATGATCCGCTGCACTCAGTGATCAAGTCGTCAGGGCTCCCCCACAAACAAACGGCTGCTGTAGGTGAGTGGGTGAGTTGTGTTTAGTTTCTTTGCTAAAGAAATTAGGCAAAGCTAAAAGGATGTTTGATGGCTAGTACTATGGCTGGGACCCTATATATACTGTTGATAAAGTAAGGTGCTGTTCTGAGCATTTTTTTTTTGTGGCTATAGAGTGGCTTTGGGTTGATGTTTGCGCATGGAGCCGTAGACCGCTGTGTATTGTTATCGTTGCTGAAGTTGGTGTACCTAGAGAAGCAAGCGGTCGACAACATTCATCTCTTGATGGGGTGTCTAACTCGGTGTTACGGTGTGTTTGACCTAAACTTTTTATTTATGCCGAAAAATCCCTTTGAGGGAATCGTTTGAAATATTTGATGTATTTTAATTTTCTACTTTGACTCATGCTCAGAGAAGGCGGGCTTCGTGACTGATGCTACAGCCAATCAACAAAGGGAGCTCTGAAGGTTTTGGCTTCATTTAGAGGGAATGTTGAGTCATTCATGTTTTTAAGGCTAATAAAACAATAGAATAATCAGATTCTAAACCAGGATTTAGATTTCATTTACTTATCTCAGCAGTCAAACAAGTTTCAGAGCTTTGGGTAAAAATTTTGTTGTAATAATTTATGTGATATGCTAATAATGCCTGACTATTATCAGTGATAATGATATTTGACTTATATCAAGAACTTCAACTTTGCTGCTGTCGATGCAGCTTGAACATCGTGGTTATGTTGGTGCTTTTCTTGAGTCATCATACAGGCCTGTCTTTTCCTTGATCATGGGGATCCCACACGTAAAAAGAAGTCCTGTATGTTTGAGTTGGCTAACCCAGACAGTGTGCTCTTCTTTGAGCTCTGTGCCAGTTTAAAGGTGTGACAGCTTACGACAAGTTGGCCTTTAAGACTTCCCCCTCAGGAACATTAGATGAAGAGGCTGTATTAAACAATTCAGCCTTCAGCTGTAAAATGTCAAAGGAGTAAAGGGATTGCTTTTTTTTCAAGCAGCCAGCTTAGACTTAGTCATGAAAGACAAAAGCTACAAGATATGAACTGATGAAGAGCTGCCTCATGGTGTCGATCATTTCACTTTTCCTTTCGATTATCTGACGGATCTCAGAGTACAAAAAACGGTTGATGGGTATGACACATTTAAGGGTGCGAGATTCAATGTCAGCACTTCTGTTTTAAGCTGATACGGAAACTTTTTGTGGGTTTTCAAGAACAAAAATTAAGATTGCATAAGCAGCTCTGTCAGACAAAATTATTAAGTCCTTAAGGAATGGACTTGTCTCTTAATGTTATGAAGTTGTTCAGCTTACAGTGCAACTTATGCTGATGAAAATCCAGCTCATCCTCTACATTACTATGGTTGGATACGTACATCAGTTATGTAAAAGCAGTGTTGGGACTGACCTGTGTTTGTATGTTTAAAGTCTTTTTTTGTTATATCAGATGGAGCATGTGTGTTTTTCACAACAGCAACATGTTAATTCATGTGTCAGTCAAGTGGTCGACAGCGGCTAATCAGCTGGCTGTCACACTGCGGATAAAAAGCTTGTATCCTTTTCACTTTATACCCACTTATCTATTCATTTAATATTGCAGTGTGATGTAAATCCTCTTATTCAACACCAACTTGATGATGGCAGTGCACGACATTAAAAATAACTATAGAGACATGATCAGTCTTCATGCTGATGGTCTTGTTTGCTTTTTAATCATGTAAAGGTGTTCATATGGATTACAGTGTTCATAGCAGATAAAAACTCCTCACAGGAGCTTTAAATCCAAATATAGAAATAAACACTCCAAAGCACATGTACAAGAATATTATTGTTATTATACTTTTATTGACAATGATATTTTACATTTCTTTGATAGATTAACATAAAGTGCACACTGATAACCACAAAAGTAAATATCTCACTTGTTCATAAATAGTGTAGCCTCTTGTTTTTACTCAGTAAAAAGTGTCCAATGTCTGCTGTGACTCTTTTTATGTTACTCTGTCTTGACATTTCTTTTTCTCTCCCTGATGTGGTAGCTGACAGAATGGAAACTTTGTGTTACAGTGCATAGAGTACACAGATGAAGTATACAGTCAGTGTGGATTACATATGTGCTTTTTTTTCTGCTGTGCTCCACCTCCTCTGTGCATCAGTTAAAAGTCCATATTTTTGAAGTCCTCTGTACATTTGTACTTGCTCTCTGCATATCTGGTGCACACCAAGTGGGGCAGGCAGGGACAGGTGTGGTGTTGCCTCTTTCCCAGAAACGGCACCTGAAAGTGGGAGAAGAGAAGGAGGGATAATCTGGCAGTTTAAATCCTTCATCACCTGACAAGTGGGGTCTTAAAAGTCTGGAGTTAGAGGAAAGATTGGTGTTCGCAGAACTAATTGTAGCTATCTCTGGATAATCAAAGTGATGTATGGCTCTGATTGGCTGCTTCACTGAGGAGAAGATCGATACTCTCTGCAGCTTCCAGCAGTTTTCTAAAGCTTCAGCCAACCTGCCAGCCCTTGATATAATCTTAGTTTCCTCTGTGTGGGCGAGAGAAGAAAGTTTGTGTGTGTGTGTGTGTGTGTGTGTGTGTGTGTGTGTGTGTGTGTGTGTGTGTGTGTGTGTGTGTGTGTGTGTGTGTGTGTGTGTGTGTGTGTGTGTGAGAGAGAGAGGGAGATCACGATGCAGGCAGATTAGTGACATTACATTTCTCCCCACCTTGTGGCTAAAAGGGTGGCATTCATCTCCTTCCACTCCCCTTGGGACGCACATCCTCAGACCCCGCAGCCAGAGACTGACGGCACAGCAAAGTCCAAAACCACACTGCAGGTCTCTCTCACAGGCCTAGAAGAGAGAAAGAGAGAGGGGGAGTTGATAAAGCGACAGACAGAGGAGAATCCAAAGGAAACAGGACAATCTTTTAATGACAGAAAATCAATTTGATCCCCGCTCATCTTTGAGCAGTCAAATCCATTTTATCCATGGCTTGTCATCACTCTAATTCACTTACAAATGAGTATCAATCACTGAGATAATATCCTCTTGTTTTTTCCAGGGGATAATAAACGGGGGAGGATGCGGTCATGGGAAATCAAATTTAAGCAAACAGCTGAGAAAATATATATAGGGTAAAAGAAAATAAAAGTCAAAGGAGAGTAGCTTTACAAACACAGAGTGTGAGAAGAACAAAATCCAGAGTTAAAACTGAAGTGTAAACATTCACTGTAATTCATTTATCAAACATAGAAACAATTTAATGAGAGGAGTTTTTCAGAGGTCATTTATAAAGAGGAAAGCTTAACATTTGTTTCTTCCAGACTCTCATGCATGAGGATTTGCAGCTTTTTTTTCTTTTTTAAAATATAGTAAATTCAATAACTTTGAGTTAACACAGAGAAGAAAATGGAATTAAAAGACTTAATTCCTGCATCTTAGAGCATTTATAGCTTTTTTTCTAGTTGCATACTAAAAAGTCAAATAAGTTTATAAAAGATGATCAACTGAGAGATATAGGTGATAACTGTTTCAACCTTAAAAAGTAAGTACCAAATCCCACGAGAAGAGAGAAAGGGAGAGCATTGTAAGTATTTTAGAGTAAAACTGGTCATAACTTGATAAAGTGATGATTAAACAGTGTGAAACAGAGGAAGAAACCTTGACTCACCCCTGTGATGACAGCTCCTCTGGAGCAGCTCAGAGACAGCAAGAGGAAAGACAGGAGCACCACCCTGAAGCTCATCACAGCAACAGGACAAGTGGACGCTTTCAACAGCTTTTAATGCTGATCACAGCTGTTCACGCTCAGTCCAGCACCTTGATCAGCTCTACACTCATTCATGAAGGGATCCGAAAATCCTCAGAGACGGGAACCACACTCTCTCCCTCCCTTTATCCACCTCAAACCCCCACACAGGACTCCCCCCTCCCTCCCTCCCTCCCTCCCTCCCGCCCTCCCTCCCATCCATCCCTACCAATGTCTAAGATCTCCTCACGCCCTCCCTACTTGTCTCTTCAGAGGCTTCGTCATCTGACTCATCAGTGTGCTGGTGATGGCGGCTTTACTTATAGAGCTTTAGGGTGTGACCATACATCTACTGAAGGGGGATGCTGACATCAATCAAGTGCTTAAGTTCACTCCGAAAGTAAAAAAGATGGTGGATGAAATTTGCATGAACTAAAATGAGCATGACAGTTTTTTGTATGAGAAAAAGGTTACAGGTGTCATAAAATCGAGAGTTATTTGTCAGTCTGAAGGAAACAGGCCAAAACAAATCAGCGTCACAGCTACTTAATGAATTTATCAAAATTATAGGCTGCCTCATGAAGAGCATTATCAGCTGCAAACCTTCATTCTTGTATGAAAGTTTCATTAGTGATGCCAACAAGTGTGACAGATGCAGTCAACTTCGGCTGTCAGTGTTTATCCCTGCATAGAGGAAAAGGCTTGTAATGAGAGGTTGTCACAATCCCTGCTGCGATGCATATTATCTTGACTATTAACAATATTGTGAGATAACAAATTTAAAGTGGGATGTGCTATGAATCTGTCAAATGTGGCCTTTTTATCTTTTTTTGTGACTTCGTTTTGTTCAGATCTGAAATGACACTCCATTAATTACTCGTTCTTATTTATGCAATTTGTATTCACTCCATCTGAAAACTATTTAACATCAAAGCTTAAAGTTTGAGCAAAGTTTTAACTCCTCTTCTCAACACCTCACTGACACTGCTAGTTAAGCTAGAGTGTCACTCAACATAAAATATATTATTAAAAAAAAGTCATAGTATGTGCCAAATTATACAGATAGTTGCATAGTTAAGTGCAGGGTGATGAGAAATTATTTAAGAGTCAGATGTCAATTTCAGGTTAAAAATAAATGTAGATGGAGGGGACCATGGACAGCAAATAGTACTTTCTTTCTTTCTTTCTTTCTTTTTCTTTCTTTCTTTCTTTCTTTCTTTCTTTCTTTTTCTTTCTTTCTTTCTTTCTTTCTTTCTTTCTTTCTTTCTTTCTTCCTTTCTTTCTTTTTCTTTCTTTCTTTCTTTCTTTCTGTCTGTTTTTTTTCCAGCCAAGGCAATTTCTCAATTTGACAATATCGTGTCACATTGCAACATTTCTTACCCATTATCTTCTCTTCATGCTGGATTAATTATGCAGGTGTGTGCCTTGTGTGTCATGTACAATCATGTGTGCATTCCCAGTTCTACAAATATTAGGCTACGTGCATGCTGGGACAGTGATGGGCAGCTGGCTGTCATCTGAAGCGCCGACAGTCTGATTTAAACTGTGAGGGAAGAGTTATGAGTGAGCTAAGAGGAGAGGATAAGATATGAGTATTAAAAGAGGAGAGGGAGCGTACCCCATGCTAGTCAGCAGCATCACCCCGCTGCTGTGCTGGTGATGGATTCCTCCAATGCAGCGGCCACATAATTACATTCACCCATTTATGCCCCATCAGCAGGAGCAGTGAAGCCTCTCTGTCCTGGGACAGGCAGTAGAAATCATGCACAGAGGTGAGCCCAGAAGCTGGCCTCTGTCTAACTTAAGAAAAATAACATATTGACAAAATCCATCAACCAAACACTGCAAGAAATATAAATCAAACTTCAGTCTTGGACTATTTATACTTTTTATGCTTAAAAAAAGGCCATTCATTTCACAGTGGTAAATAATTACTCAACCATCATGCAGAAGAATATTTACACTGTTTACAGCTAAATCTGATGGTCATGATTTTGACTTTAAAAACAGAGATATTTCTTTGTAATTGCAGATTATGCCCCTCATGGAGATGTGGTCATAAACCTCTGCCTCAGACTGTCATAGTCATCTGATTGTGCACACCTAAGTAATGATTGAGAACAAAGTGGATTAATGAAGATTAAACAGTATATAAGAGGGAAGAAATATACAGAGCAATCTAATTTTCTATTCATGCAACTGTAAATACCTCATCTATCACTGGAGCCGGAGAAAAGGGGAAAGATATGTGAATGATTTAATAAACTGTAGATAGGAAAGGTTTTATCACAACCCGGTTTAGAAATGATTCCAGTCACTGATGGCCTGACCCCATGATAGAAACTCAAGATAAAACAACCTGACTGTAAACTTATATTAAGACTATAAATCAAACACATATTAATCTTATTAATACGTGTGGCTTTACGATTTGTTCTCATACAAAAAATAAACATCAATTTCTCAACCCAGCTACATACTTAGTCTTTAAGTATTTGGTCTAAGTATGGCACTTACCGTCACGTTGGTTGCCTTTTAAGGGTTGGTTACTTTACCGCCGCGCGTCGCCTGGTTTGGTCCTCACGTTGGCCCATAGTGCACGTGACAGACAGCTGACTTCACGCGGAAGTGCTGGAGAAGCAGTCAATCACAACAACAAAACTTCTCTCAGAAAAGCTTGGATTTTAATTTAATAACGATTGTTAATAATGGAGTCTACACTCGAACAGCATCTTGATGATACGTAAGTTATTACCACACCGTGTTGAGCTTTGCAGTGTCATGATTTGCACGTTTAAGACGGCTTATGGCTCTTTGTTTGTGTTTTTGGCAGCATGAAAAATCCAGCTGTGGTCGGGGTGCTCTGTACGGATCAACAAGGACACAACTTAGGATGTAAGAAAACGCTGACCCAACTCTCCAGTTAGCTGTAATTTGTGTGTGGATGTTTTTTAAATTATATTTAATCAAATGGGCCGTAAACTGTGGGCGGAGGAGGAGCAGCAGTTTACTTCCCGAGAAGAAGGATGTTCAACTTCATAACCAAAATGCAAAGTAATCGGGTTTTAAGACTGCGAGTAACCATCACAAATGACACATGATCAATGTTTCCAATAACCACGAACAATCATCAGTCCAGTATTCATTGTCCAAAGTTACTGATCTTTATATAATAGCTTTATATGAACAGCTATTTGATTTTAATCTGAATACACCGCGTTTAGGAAAGTTAGGAAAGGGGTAATCTGGTGTATCCACTGACCCATGATGATAAACCTAATCTTTTTTTTATTTTTTTTTAATTAAATTATAAACAAACAAACAAGGCACTTATTTATCATAAAAGAAAATTACGAACATTTTTAGTGAAGAAAATAGGCATAGGGCTTTCTTGTCTGTAACAAGTTTTAAGGATTTACAAAAAAGTAGCCGTTCATTCTTCCATTGAGGTAGGCATGGTCTTGTTTTGAAATATTGATACTTGTAAATGAAAAAATTCCCCAAAATCAACAAAGCATTTAGAACAAAATCCAAGTTCCTATCCTTATTAAAAACACCAAACAAAATAGTTTCTGCTGACAAAGGGAAGTCAATGGTTTTGGACTGCAACCAGCTCCACATGTTACTCCAGAAGGGATGTACCGCACTACAGTGAAAAAAAATATGGCTCAAGTTTTCAACGTCCACATCACAAAAACCTAATCCTTTGTCCATAGTCTGCCTTTATCTGAACGCACACAACAGAACAGTCCACTCAGAGTCTGCTCTCATTCTAAAACAAGCAACTTAGATCCTTAAAAACAGTGTTAGTGTGACACATACGTTAAAATATTGTTTCTCTGTTGTTTTTTAATCTCTGAGACTAAAAGTTATATGATAAAGAATGAAGATCCTCAAAGAAACCCAGCCATCTGAACAAAATGTCTTGAAAAGGCCTCGTATAAAGTCCCCACTGGCTCCTCTCGGCTAATGTTCACATTTGTGATTCCTCCTGTGAAGGACCACAAGCTGTCTCCAACAAAAATGTCCAATTCGACGGGAACTGAAAGATAATAGTTGAATATTGAAATTTGACTCTTCTCGAACACCTTTGTGGCAATCCAAAAACTATTGTACATCCGGCCATAGGTTTCCGTCTGCTGTTTTCTTTTATTTTCTCAATACACAGCATATGCCAAATACCACATATCAGTTATTGTGGTACCTGTGTAAAACTCAATATCCAGTAACATTTTGTTGTAGGTGTTACAGAAATGGCAGCTTCTGACACTATCAGTGTTTGTTAGCATTTGTTCAAAATCACTGATAGTTCCCTCATCTGTACAGAAGTACAGATTTGTGCAGGGCGATAAACATGTTATAGTAAAGAGGACAAAAGAGCTCATGTAGATCACAAAATGACTATATAAGTCCATCACTAGATTTAATTAAAGTATTATTGATTTGTTTAGGCTTTGCACAGATGTAGATTTAAGTTTCTCATATATTTTTATTGGTGTAAACTTTTTTGGACAACTAATAACTGAGCAAACATCATCAGCTAGCTTAAATTCAGTAGATTTTCATCCAAAAAACTTCTAATTGATAATGAGCATTTATTCAGTGGTAAAACCTCTCAAAAACCCTTTGAAGACAAATCAACTTTTATCATAGATTAGAGTACTGCTCAAAGTAAATAAGCCTGGCCTAAATTGTTCTTCAAAAGGAAACATTTATAGCAGTTAAGAGCACTGAAAATAAAACTCACTGTTATTTGGATCATATATAAATATATATATATATATATATATATATATTTTTTTTTCAAATGTCATTAAAAGCAGATCTGATGTATGCACATGTGTTCAATTCTCTACACCTTTTTTTGTCTCCCATCTCTAGGTAGGGGCTCTCTTTCTGATGAACATGGTGGTGTTGTGTCTGTTTTGGCCAAACAAGCTGCAGCCCTCACCAAAGACCCAACAGACACTCCGACTGTGTGTCTGGAGTCTGAGTCAGGGTGAGCACTCACTCAGCCTTCTCGCTCTCTCTCCCTCTAACTTTAATCCGCCTCCTCCTGAATTTAAGAGTTCTGTCTGTGTGGTTTTGATTAAGAATCTAGGGGATCAATAAATCTGGGGGAACCAGTTGAAACTAGTCCAAAATCAAAGATTGAGCATCCATCATTTGCACCTCAAACTGAGCTCAAAGTCTTGGCAAAACTGTACAGTGTATTTTCATTGACAGAGTTGTGGTGCCACCTTCTGGACAAAATGACTTATGAACTCTGGGTACCTGTAACTTCACACCATTAGCAATACTTATTGTTATAAGAAGTTATTCTACAGTTTGACTTTGTTGTAATTGGAAATTTAGAGTAACATAATTTGCAGCTCTGCAGTAAGAATGCATCACAAGCTTACTTTGCTCGTGTGTATGTTGTGGTTTGTACATCCAAACACCTTTATAAATTTTTCAGTTAGAGTTATTCTATCTCTAAATATTGTGCTTTTATTATATTTTATCCAGAAACTGATAGAAGAACACAAACTCTGCATTGCTGGTGCGGATACTTCGAAAGATGATATTTACAATGGTGTTAAGAATATTTTGAGTAACATAATAGGAGGATTTGATTGGGAATCTGGTCCGTCTGGTTATGTTGGTGGTGTATATCATCTTTCAACACTTCATCATCTTGTATGTTAACACAGAACCTGAGGTGGATTATAAATATTGATTGAGTTTTTCAAAGTCCAAAGATATCAGAGGTGTTAATCTATCCCTTTTTTAACCTAAGACTTCTATCCATCATGTTGACGTTTTTCTGACATGTCTGTTTTTGTAGGAACATTCTGGTGAGGAGTCATGGAACCATCACAGTAGCAGTCCACAAGATAGCATCCTGAGGAAACAACATCTACACTTACAAGTTTTATTGTACAGAAAGGTCAAAAGAACAAGGAAGTATAACCACACAGTCTGTTTTTTCCTCATGTATGTTGTGTTTTCTGTCATTTTAATTCAACTGAAATAGTAAATTAACTATAAAGTTCATGATTAGTGTGGTTCTTCAGTATTTTGATAAGAAATATATACATATTTTCCCAGTTTGCTATGTGCAAGTCTGGCTCTGTATTATGCTACGTTAGGAGATGTTAATGCTTTGTGTGCCTTCACTGTAAACATTGTCTTCGCTCTTATGCAGTCATGCAAAGAAAAACAGCCCTCAATAAACTTTAACTTGACTCTGTGCTGCTCTGTCTTGTTAAGTGTTCATTATTTTCTCCTTTGCTCTGTGTTTTGTGAGTAAACCTTTTATGTCAGTTGGTAGCTGTGAAATATTCAAGCACAATATCAAGAAAAGCAGGTTTCAATTATTAATAATTTATTAAAACCAACAGATGTCAAACCTTGAGGTAATATTTCACACTTGGAATTACCTAAAGGGGTTTGTTAGGGGTAACTCAGGATAGACAGGGATGGTTTTGTCCACAAATTTCAATGTTCTAGCCAGCACACGGTTTCTGTCTGTAGTGTACACTGACAGAGCAGTGAATCTCGGTGACAATACCTGACTGAACTCTGCGGTAGCTCTGATGTTTTGACCGCAGAGCTCCCCCCCTTCTTCTTCTTCTCCTCCTCTCTCCCCCCTGAGCCCTCAGATGAGGTTCACTGCTACGCCTCAGTCACGTGGCTCTCCTCAGTGTGGAGGCTTTGCTCTCTGCGGCTCCTCGGCACAAGGCAGCGATGTGGAGGCTGAAATGTGAGATGCAACTCAGAGGGGCTCGTTTGTAGAGGTAAAGTTATGGCACGGTCATCCTCGGAGAAAAACGTCCCGCAGCAGTTTCTCTCCTCTAGAAGGTCCCTCTCCGGTGACGCGCACGCCTTCCTGGGACGCACTAACCAGGAGCGACAAAACCGACAATTACGCGTCAGATTCAATTAGCTGACCTGAAGAACAGGAAAAGACTGAGGGAGTTTCAGGTACGGGATTTTGGCTGATAATTTAAATCAAGACGTCTGTCGTTCTTTAAAATAATCACGGCTAGAAATTCATATGTGAGTTAACTTAAGTCAGTTATACATTTATTTTTTTTATTTTTATTTTTGAATATTTTCACCAGAACAAACTTTCCCACAGTGCATGTTCCTCCCCCACTACTTTCAATCCAAAAGTTATTCGGATTTGTAAACTTTTTTCCCTCACATTTAGTCACTGCAGGTTTCTGCGTCTTTTTCTTAGATGACACTCAGACAACATCTCCTTGAAATTCCCCCTCAGTGTTCCTGGATTTGAACGACACTTTTCTTCTCTCCCGGCAGCAGAGTGGGGCTGAGCTGAGAGGGGGGACACGATGCAACAGGCCTGTGAAGGGCAGATAACAAGCTCACGGCCCTCCACGGTAAGACCTCCCTGTTTTCAGTAATACGGTTTTGTGTAAGCCAAAAGCTCTCAGCTGAACACTCTGTGTTTACTACATAATCTCACAGTTTCTCAGCTCTGGTGCTCTTGGCTTGATTCCGAACTCAGTGCTGTGGTCAGAGAGGGTGGCTCCAGGTTTTGGATTTGGATTTCAGTAAAGTGAGCAAGTAGAGATAAATACATGGAAAAGAGAAATAAAAAATAACAAATAATTATTTGGTTGAAAAAAAGTTGTTTGAGTAACATTGGATTCATTATTTTATAAGTATTACAAATCCACATAGAGAAATCTAAATTCTTTAATTCTTAGAAATATTAGACAAACTTTCAACACATAATCTACACAAAGGCAGGTTATCTGCAGTGCTGGAGCATGATCCAAACCTCTGTAGGTAGACTTTTTGAGCCTTTTAACTCCACTATGCTGTACAGAATTGTTCAGTAAGGATTAAAACATGCACTTGCTCACCTCTGCTGATCAGCAAGAGAGACTCTGCAGGACTTTTCATCTCAGACTGCGGGTTACTACAAATGCTTACAGCCTTTCTTTGAGGACAATAAACACTGCAGAGGGAGATGTATCATTTAACAGGATGTTGCTCGTACAGTGGATACATTATGTGTACTGTAACAGTGATATCAGCAGATATGCTGCAGTAAAGATATTGTAAACCCATAAGTTTAAGAGATTTTACTCAAACAGAAGAGGGTTTTTGCAGTGTTGGGTGAAATTTGCAACTTTTTTGGAGACAAGATCCTCATTTGACCCAGTTTTTGCTTCTCTAACCATAAAGCTGATGTTTTTGTCTTAGCTGTAAGCCCACTTAAAGAATAAAACTGTGTCAAATTGGGAGTTATAGGCTCTTTTCAAGTGGCAGTTATCCACCTAAAGACACGTCTGGCTGTTTGAAAAATTTTGTTTGCAGAGGTTGTCTGTCAGGCTGCACTCAAGACTTTAAAAGAATGCACTTTAACAGGCTGAAGCTGCTGACCCTTTAAACCTGTAGAAGCAGTTGGGTGTGTGTCTTTGAGCACAGCTGTGGAAGACCGGGTGGGGGTGGGGGGTATCCTGCTCTCTGCAGGTGTGGGCACTCTCCTCTGCAGTGGGGATGTGCTGAGTGCACACAAGCCAGCAGCAGGCAGACATCTGGCCAACTTTGTTTGTGGAGGGAGAGCTGAATGAAACATTCCTCTCAGTGCCACACGTGTGTGGGCTCAGACTGCTGACTCAAGCACATATTTTGCATCCCGGTCTGAGCTCAGGTGTATGGAAAACCAAATTTTGCCACTTGAGGGTGATTACCTTTAAAGACTTCGTAAATGATTTTGGGCAAGGCGGCACCAGGAAACTCAAAATGACTGTTTCCTCCACCGTTTCATTAGAAATGCCTCCAAAAGTATTCATTAAAGTTCATACAAGCTTCTAAAAAATGTGGAGTGTCCGCTTTGGTGGCCTCTTTATCTATTTCTATTCCTACCAACAGGTCACAACCCTTGAAATATTTCCTTTAAGAACTGTCCATCAAGTTTGTTGTTGTTGTTTGAAAAGTGCTGCACATGTTTGCACTTACAGGTGTGGTTATGCGCCTGCCTCCATTCTGAACCTTTGTTATCTCTCATGTTTTTGTTTCATTCATGTCTTTACTGATAATTGTCCTCTTCTTGTCTCAGGTGTAAAGCAGATACTGACACAGCCGAGTTACCAGTGCCCTCCAATCAGCTTGAGGATGACATTCAGAGAATAGGACCACCTGAGTTTATTCCTCAACTCCAGAGCCGTGGGGCAAACTACCAAAGCAGCAGAGAAGGTAACTCTATATATTTGTTCTCTCAGAATAGTAGAAGATCTGTAGTTGATGCTGTTACTGCCCGTTTAGTTTTGGAGTCCAGGAGTCACGCTTGAATCTAGTTTTCAGGGTTTGTGACTCAATATGGACTCAAGCACTGACTGCATTTGGATTCAGAGGATGGAGAGGAGGACCCAGACTTTATTATTTATGTAAAGAGACTGTTGTTATCTGTTCACTGATATTTACTGAGTTTTGAGCGCTGGGATCACCTTCACCTGCTTTCACAAGCTGTCTCGTCCAGCAACAGTTCATTCAGGGTACCCAAACAGGTGCCTCAGGTAACCTTACAATGGTTTCCTGTTGGGTAAATATTTTTTCACATTTCCTAGACAGAAACCACACAGAGAAAAAGAAACACTCAATATGATTGATGTTGTTTTTTTAGCCTGACACAGATTCCATTGAGTAGCCAGCTCAGTCATTACTGTCCTGACAGTGACACTTGCTGAGCTTGTTTGGTCTGTTAACATGCCGTCAACTGTCTGTACTGAACAAGAGACTTAAGCACCTTGACTTAAGTGTTGAGCTTTCGCCGTTACACTTTGATTGAAATTCCACCTCTCTGTTGTCCTGCTGTCTCCTCTGCATGTTGAGCAGTCATCCTGTTTCTGTACAGAGGTCTAAACATTGGCAGGGCGCCTCTTAATGGTCTGACCCAGACATCTAAAGCCATGAATGATATTTAGCTGAACTTTTTAAAACTTTGTGGCTTTTGTTCTCAGGATATTTTACCAGAGATTCATCACTTTGTGGCCCCAGTCCTTCACAACATGATTTTTAGCACTTTGTTTCTCACACGTAAAGATATATTATGAGAAAGTGTTTGAATGTCGTTTGATCAGCAGTAATGGCAAACAATTCTGGGAGCAAAAGTCTGCACCTTTGAGCTGCTTTGGACACTCAACCAACTAAAGTCATGTTACTGAGAAGGAGCTTTAAGGCCAATGAAGTTTGGAGATTGCATGACTCAAGAGAAACATTGCCCGGAAAAAGTCAGGCCTCTGCATGTTCACTCGTATCATAATAATTTCTAAAAGTAAAATCAAACTAAATCTGTAATGTGTATTTTCACTGAAATAGCAGGGGTGTTTTTGTCCAATTTAACCCTATGAGTAAGTCTTCCTACCATCCATAGTGCTTCAGCAAAGCAGTTATATCATATTCACAGGGAATAGCACCTTTGGGAGTTTTTATTCACTTTCAAACAGACTGAAAGTAATATTGATCTTGGTCCGGGAGGTCAGGCTCAAGTGAATAAGTGTATGTTCCTGATTTGGCTTTTTCTCATGTTTTCTCAACTGGACTTGAATTTGACTGTAAAAAGAGTCAGGATGATAACTTTGTCAAGAAACACTAAGAACAGAAGTAATTTATAGTCAGTAAAAGCTGCTTTATACACAGTGGGAAGCAAAATCTACCCTAGCCAAAAGTTAATCACAGGAGCTTTGAAAACTGATGTTAAAAAAGTGTTTCGACAGCTAAAGCAAAAGCTGGAACTCAGAGGATAAAAGAGTAAACATCCAACAGTCAGGTCAAACTCAGAGTAGTCAAGAAAATTCTGTAAATGCATCGCAAAAATTCAATGAGAATAAATGCAAATAAAAGCAACAATAGTGATGAAACAGAGATTTTTTTACCCCAGTGTAACAATAAACTAAAGCAAGAGAAATTAATGTAGGAATCTCAGCAAGAACAGACAGCTGGAGAGCCATAAGATGGAAACAACACTATAGAGACAATGAAAAAAGATGCTGACAAGTAAGACTCAGATTTTTGATCTGAGTCTTACTTGTCAGCATCTTTTATTTTGGACCATGATCGCTTGCATTGAAGGTGTTAATGCCAATAGCTATATTTTTTTTAAGATGGTTTAGACCAATAAGACATAGTGAGATGGTAATTAGCTTTTGAGGTTTTTGGTAAGGAGATTTTTTTTACCCCTATGCCGAACAGATTTTTCATCTTTCCCCATCTTTAGGTCACTTGTAACAGTGTCCTGCTGTACAGATGTTAAAGTGTTATCAATGTTCTTAATGGATTTGCCACCCAAAAGCCTGTAATCATCTTTCCCAGAGTGCTTAACTTTTCCTGAAATTCCCTTTTCAATGTATTCTTCATACTTTTTCTATGAAGTTGCTCTGTGGGGATAATTTAAAGTGACACTTATGAAATCACAAAGATATCTTTCTGCAGCTAATTTCAGACCTCTGATCAAAAGTCGGCATGAACACATTGATATTCAGTTATGTCCCAACAAATACAGTGAAGAGTAAAAAAATATGAAACAGAGATGTAAACAATTCAGGGTTTAATTTTTTTAGATATATTAGATTGGACCCAAAATATAGAAGTTACAGCGAGAAACTCGTGGTGAAAACGTGCAACAGCTTGGTGTTAAAACCTCACTACAAAGCACTGATCTCCAGTCCCTCCTCCTTCAAACCCTCAGACCCTCGACACATTCACAAACATGCACTCAAACACTCAACTTGTGAACAGCACATGGGGGGAAATACTTTCCTCGCAGTACACTGGCCCAATTCATTCCCCTTTTAATCCGCTCTGTGTTCTCTGCCTCATTTGGTCTCTGCTTCTTATACATGTCTAAGTCAGACTGAGGTAGTGATGCAGGCTACAAAAGACTGGTGATAAACACAGGTCGACCACGATTTGCCCTTTATTCTTCTATATGTGGAGAAATGTGGCTTCATTAGAATCCCCATAGAAACTGTATTAAAATCAACATTATAGGTTGTTCCTGGTTCAAGACTAGAAAGCCACTTTTAATCACCATAAAGAGGAAAGTGTAAGGAGTTATGTGCCCAAAATTTCAAGGCAAGGATTTTAGTTTTTTTGTTGTTTAACTTGAGGAAAATATAAAGCAGATGATTTTTTTCCTCTGAAAAAACAAGCAAATGTGATCACTGTTAAATTAGAGGGAGTCTCCTCCTTTATATGGGGTCTCCTAAGGATGTCCTCGTATGGGATTATTTTGAAACTCACACGTTTCCTGTTCAGGTGTCAAGTCAGTCTTTATTACTTAACTTCTCACTCTCTTTAGAGGCATGAGCAGGTCTCTGCTGACTCCCCTTACAGCAAGAACAAAGACCCAGCTTTCACTGAGCTGTTATTGGACGGCTTAACTTCATAAGTTACATATATACTACATGTACATACACGCATGTGGAAACACACATGTACACAGGGACATTAGGGAACACCGTACATGATATTTAGTAACCTATTCCTCCCCTTGTTGACTCCTTTGTTAGACTTACATTTAACTGCAAGGCCTCACAGCAGGGTTGTTTATACATCTTCAAATTCGACAATGACATTTACCTGTACTCAAGGGGGACTGATAAGTACACAGGGATCAAAAGTCAAGGACATCACCTACAATAGTTTTTGCCATGATTGAAGTATTCATACACTGATGATATAACAATTGCGTTTGAAGAACGCATAATCTAGATTGTTTATATCTACATTTGAGCGCTTCCATCATACTTCTGGCCTTTGTTGGTGTACCACACTGATAGCTCATTATTATTGTTATGAAGGGAAACCAGCGGGAAGTGCGCCTGCTTGGACTCATGTCCTTGTTCATGTGCAGAAAATACTCACCGAACAGAAAGATTATAAAGGTTTGTGCTTCTAGTGGTCAATACTCTCGAGTACTTTTTCCTGATCCAGGTTTGTGCCGATGTTCTGTCAAGTTGTGCCCTTCAAACGAAAGATGCCATGATTTTTTTTATCATCACAGACAAGTGTGAGTGTGCTGTAAGAATGAGGCTGGCATGTTTTGGTACATCATTATAAAACTTGAAGTGTCTCTCAATAGGCTAATGTCCCTGATCCTTTGATGCCTCCAGTATATTTCAGAGTTTAGGGAGTGTGTCTTAGTCTAGAGATTTCAGAAGAAATGTGTCTTTAAGACTCATGTCCTCTATCAAATAATGATCCCAGTGGTGACAGACTCCCCAGGATTGTGGCTTTGCACATCCTGACTGAATACACCATTCAGTACAACACAAACCAGTGCAACCAGTGCAGCCTTTGTGCATGAACAAAGACTGAGAGCAGGGAAAGTTCTGCTCCGACTGTGTGAGATGGAAGCAACATTTATTAGTTTCCAGTCTTTAATCCGAAAATAATTTAATCCCCTCTTTGTCAAAAACATGAACTTGAGTAGAGTTGAGCAAGTCAGCGTTCACAATTTCAACTCGTTCAAACTTCAGTTTCTCAAAGCAGGTTTACTCAAATATCTTGATCATTTTGCAAATCAACTACCAAAGCTTTACATGTGAGCTCATGAGCCAGATTCAAGAGTTTCTTGGTTTTGCTGAAAAATGTGGCTTTATTGCCTTGCCTCCTGGAACAGACCTTTAGGTTTTTGTCTGCTGCGATCACCTGAGCAAACTGTCGTCCAGCATGCAGCGGTCAGGCTTCACCACGCTGACAGGGAGTTCTCCCATAGATATGAATAATTACCTGACTGTTAGTCCAGCTCAGAAGCTGTAATATAACCACAAAATATAACCAGTTAGCTGTACTCTAACTCTGCTGTTTCACAACTCAGTGACTTTCAAAGTTAAGACTAAGTCCCTATCTCCTGTAAGTTCAGCCTTACAGGATCAGCATGAACCAAGAGTTTATGATGAAGAGTTGACAACAAACATCGGCTTTATTTTAAAAAGGTCAAACTAGTGTGATTAACTGAGTTTTACAGAGTTGGTGAAAGAAAATGTAGTTGTAGAAGTGTGGATCAAATATTGTTTGTTACTTTTAAATGTTGGACTTTCATTAAACATTTTTTTTATGCGTCTCCTATTGAAACCAAGGCAAACATGAACCTGTTCAGGAAGGACGCCATGACGTCAAAGAAGGAGAAGGAAAAAGAGATCCAGTACGAGGACCCTCCTGATGGAGGTTGGGGGTGGATGGTGGTGCTGCATTGTTTCCTGGTATGTGCATTTTAGATGTTTCAATACCATTATATTTTTAACAATAGAACATTGGACCTAATTGTTAAACACGGATTTTTGGAAAATGCTTCAATTCCCAATTTCTATAATTAAAGCAGAAACATTGTGATTACTCATGTGATCTATGGTCTTTTCAAAAAATAGTGCAGATAGATGTATAGCATCAAATAAAACCTTAACCTGTCAGTGACTGAAATGTCTACATGTGTGTATGTTACATACACCAGACAGAAAAAAGAGCATTCAATATGTCAACACTTCTAATTCATTTGATCCCAAAAATGGATTAATTTGAGTTTTTGTCCTCATGTTTACACTTGTGTGTTTGGGTTTGTGTACATGTGCAGGTCAATGTCCTGGTGATGGGAACATTGAAGAGCTTTGGGATTTTCTTTGTGGCTTTCCAAGATGAGTTCGGAGGCTCGTCAGAGAGCATCAGCTGGATCGGCTCCATCATGTCGAGTCTGCGTCTTTCTGGAGGTTTGTCGTGAAATGTAAACTCCAAATTACGATCACAAACTGCACCGTAGATTAAAACTACAACTTAACTCTTTTACAATTCAGACCAATGAATTTGTTAGAGTAAAGCTTTGTTGGCAACCCTGTTTCAAAGAAGTTTCAATGGAGTACGAACGCAGGTTTACTCTTTTAATTATACGCACTGATATATATAGCACTTAAAGACTAGCGTATCTTATTGCCTGTTAAAACTCTACCCTGCAAAGCGCAAAATTTGAGAAAACCAAATCCAGCAACACAAATGCCTCTTCTGGATCCACACTCTTTGGAGGTGGACTAAGACTTAGTGCAAACTGTCATGTGACCTGATAATTTAAAATCCTGTAAAAATCATGGACCCATAGTCACCAGACTGAAGAAGAAGAAAGGGACCGTCCAGCACGTTATTAGTCAGCACCCATGATGGTACAGGGGTACATCAGTGGAAATGGCATGGGTTTACCATTACCATTAACACTACATGATACATACAAATTATGGAGACTACAGTTTTTCCAGCAAAGGCTTATTTTAGCAAGACTTTGCAATCCACTTTCTGCATGTTTTATGACAGCATGGCTCCTTTGTAAAGGAGTCCAGCTCCCTTGTGAAAACAGCCTGTCTGCAGTCCTGACTTACTGCTCAGTAAGAAGATTTTGCACATTATGAACATAAATTATACAAACGGAGACCCCGTACTGTTCAGCAACTAAAATCTTACATCAAGCAAGAATGGGAAGACATCTCAATTACAGAATCACACGTCGAGTTTCCTCAGTTCTCATGTGTCATCAAGAGAAAAGGTGACGCAATAGAAGTGTTACAACTTTTTGAAAATGTGGTTGTGCCATTTTAAGCTCATTTCTCCATGTATGATTATGTTTAAATGTTAAGTGTTAGAACAGAAAACATCTTTTTGCTCCCTGCTCTATGCCATCTTTAGCACCTCTTGCATCCGTGGCCTGTGCCAAAGTAGGAGCCAGGGTGACCTCCATCGCAGGGGCAGTGCTGGTTAGTGGAGGATTCCTCATGAGTATATTCGCCAACAGTGTGGTGTTCCTTTACATCAGCATGGGAGTGATAGTTGGTGAGCAAAAACCCATGGTGAATAAAATACAGACACTGACAGAAATATGTGTTGATAATGATCACTTCAATTATTCCCGTCAGGAATGGGTTTTGCACTACTGTACCAATCCTTCTCCGTGGTCACTGCGCTGTACTTCCGAAAGAGGCTGGCCACAGCGTATGCAATTGGACGATCAGGGATGGGCTTGACCTTTGCCCTCGCTCCATTCACTCAGCTGCTCTTGGATCAGTACGCATGGCAAGGTAATCAGGACAGATCTGTCAGTGAGTAGGTAGTGTAAGACATGGATGCATTTTTTGACTAACAGTTTAAACAGTTTAAAGTGAGATTCTCCTTCACAGTAAAGGTTAACATTTCAGACCCTCAACTTTCTTTGCCACTTGCAGGTGCAATGCTGATCCTTGGCGGTCTCATGCTGAACCTGGTGGCTTCTGGGATGCTCCTGCGGCCCATTAATGTGAAGCCCCCCATCTCAAACCCTACCTCTTCTCCAATCCAAAAGAGCCCAGCTGTCTCCATCAAGAGCTCCTCTGAGAAAGACCATACGAAGAGCTGCATGAACGGCTCCTCTCATTTATCCAATGGCATCTCAAAATCAGACTCCTTCCCCTCCCCGCCTCCTCTTCCTCACAATGAGAGCCTGAAGAGCAAATGCACTGAGGGACTCCAGGACCAGACTGTGAACCCTGAACTGACCAGACTGGTCCTAAATGGTGTGAATGGCCACTGTGACTTGGGTCAGTGTAAACCCACAAGTCCAGACAGTTCTGCAGAGCTGAATGGGAGCATGAATGGATCCACCATTGTTGGATTTCCCTCACATGCCAGCACACCGACTGAGGTGCCGGTCCAAAAAGCCAAAGTACTGGATTTCTCCCTGCTAAAGAACCCTTTCTTTTGCATCTACACTTGGTCCTTGGTCTTCAGCCAGCTGGCCTACTTCATCCCCTATTTCCACCTGTCAGCCCGGGCCAGAACCCTGGGCATAGATGCCATGGATGCTTCCTTCATTATTTCAGTTGCAGGTGAGCACACATTTGTTGAGAATACCTTAAGCTGTTTTATAATGTAAGGACCAAAGTTGATCAAAATATAAGGACCAGTATCTCTAGCTTTGTATAAAGACCAGATGTAATGGGAAAAGTAGTAACTGGACAAGTCCAAAGGTAAAAAAATCCACTTAACAGCAACTAAAAGACAAAGAAAAGTTTTAGATCATCATTTAAAATAAAGATAGACTCCCTTTGGATCTGTGGGTGGTTGTTTTGTGGGTCTACTCGAAGTTCTTACTCCTGTCACTGGGTCAAATTTACCAAAGCTTTGTAAAAACTCTTTAGAAACAGTATGTCAGAAGAGTACTGAGAAGGTTGAAATTACAATAAACCAACAAAGACAACTGTCCATATATACATATGCAGGTATCAGACAACAGTCTTTAGACACAGATGTGATCAATCAGGTGTTTTTTAGTCATGAATCTGGCATCGTATTTGGTCCATATCCAAGAAGAACCACTGTGATGACAAGACAAGAAAAATCTACACAAAGAAAAGGGTCTAATAAAAAGAGACTACTTTAATTTCAATCAAAAGTTTGAGACATAGCTATAATGTTCTTCAAATTGGGTATCAGAGTTCAAGGTCAGAAAAACTTTGCCCTGCAGAGTTACCCTAAAGTGGAGGATCCCAAAGAACAAAACTCTGGGGACTGGAGCATTGATTTTGTGCAGTGGTTAAATTTCATCCCATGATTGGAGGCTGTAGGTCTTGAGTACAGTAGGCAGCCTGGGTTTGATTCTGACCCTCGTTTGTTTTCCACATGTTTTTCCCCTCTCTCGTCCTAGTTACCTGATCTATACACTGTCCAGTCTCTCAGTGAAGTATGGCTAAAAAATACATTTCTTAGTAGTCTGAATTTACATATTTAAAAAAAGGCTGTAATTAAAGCACGCTTTCCTAATTATGTTATTAATAGAAATGTAATGCAACTAAAAGTTTCATTTACATTGAAAATTTTATAGCAGCTATTAACTTTGGGGTATTCGTTGAGTTTCTAGTCTTATTACACTCATTATTGGCAGTGCTCATCTGACAAGTTCACTGGGATTGCTTGTAATGGGTGTAAATATTTACCAGTTGGGGCACCAATGGCTTAGTGGACTAAACTCTATGAACATCTCTTCAGCTGTCCTATGTAATAAAGGCAAAAAAGTCCATAAATATAACTTTAAACTATGTATCTACCAATGTGGTGAGTAAAGAAATCTTTGGTAAGTATCTTAAAACAAGGACTCAAACTTGTTCCTAGAATCTTATGAAGGCAGTTTTACCTGCTACATACTGTAGGCAGATGTTATTTTCTACATCACACGCAGTTTGATCGTAAAATATTGAAATTCAGTTTATTTCAGGACTTATCAGGTTAATGTGGTTAATATTAGATTTAACAGGATGTTTTCACCTTGCTGAGATTTTCGTTTTTTCTGTGTTTGAAGAGAATATTTTCAAAATTAAAGGTTTATATGCAGCGCAACAGACCTCATATGGTATCATGTTAAAATTCATGAACTAAAGGAACATTTTTTAATAAAAAAATTATGTAACATAGTTATTCTTTGAGACATTTAAATTCACAGGACTTTAAAATTTGTTTTAATAATATTTGTATCACATTTTTTATTCTGGATACCAATGTCATATAGCTAAAGACTGTGGGCCATCAGATGACAACAACCACTCTCCTAGTCTAATCTCCTGGGTTTGACAACATCTATTTTTATTGTTTCTACGTGAATTTTGATAACAAACTAGACCCTCTTTTCTTAAACCTTAATACACACAGAATATTTCTGCTGTGTTCCTTTGAAAGTGGCTTCCTGCAGCGATCTCACTGTGACTGTGAGGGAGGTCCAGGTTGCTCTAAGACTGAAGCATTGCAAAAATAAAGGTCCTCAGTCAACTTCAAGGCATTAATAATTTGTGAGCTGCTCAGACTCTGCAGTCTTATGTAATGAATGCGCTTACATAAAAGCTGAACTTTGGTCCACTGGCCAGGACGGCTGGGTTCAGCTGTACGCCATTGATGAGGCCGGTGACTCCATATGAACAGAAAACAGCATCACGCTTCAACCAGAAAACGCATGTGCATGTGATTCTTTAAGAGTGCCTGGTCAGGCTTTGTGAATAATTAAAATGTACCAGATGGAGTCATGTGTTTATGAGTTACATGCTTCTGGTAATCAGTCCTCGGCGGATGGTTGTTGTGTTACCTTTGATGCAAGGTGTCTTTAAAAGAGACTATTTATACATTTATTTAGTATTACACTCTTTATATTTGAAACTCTTATCACTTCATGATATGAGGGATGCTATCAATCTTCATACAGACAGAAAAAAGTGCTGACTCAATTCACTCTTTCACACATCTGCCGATTAATTATTCAAGTTGTGCATCAAGTCTTTAACCTCAACAGGGGTGCTTAAATTTATACACATAACACTCAATAGATAATCATGCATATGAGTTCTTGACGTAACTCTGCAATATTAAGATGATAGTGTATCTTAACTTTCCCCGACACTTTGTGCCGTTACTCTGAAGCTTGGCCCCAGTGATCAGCACAGGCTAGCAGCGTGAGTGACGGTTTCTTTCAGCAGACACGTTTGTTCTGTCACATTCTCCATCACGTGCACCGTAATGAGAGAGAAAGAGGGACAGAACGAGAGAGGGACAGGGTGCCAACTACACCACAAAGCCACCATCCCAGTGTCCCGCTGTCCCTCTTTCCCCATCCCAGCGGCTGTCAGAAAGGCCCATTGACTCGGCTGAAGGAGGGTGGCTGTTATCGTCCGGGTCAAACTCAGCAACCAGCTCTTGGAGCAAACTGGAGTCGCTAAGCAACAGCGAATTGAGTAAATTTGCTGGCGTGTTGACAAGAGGGGCTCCCGGTTTTGTTTGGGTTCAGTTCTAGAGTGGCTGATACTCTGCTGAGGAGCACTGAGGCGGTAATAGGTACAAGAGACAAGTAAGACATGCCAAGTGGCATGTCAGAGAAGCTGGGAAAACCAACACGCCTTTGAAGACCCTTTAATCGAGTGACAAAATGGTCCTCTTTGAAGCACAGGGGACGGTATCTCCCCTCTACATACACACACCCTTCCCTTTACTCAGCTAGTTAAAGCCCAGAAGCATGCTCATACACTTTTTCCACCTGTCCACTCGAAGACAGAGCACACAATGTCTCTCATGCACTTAGCCTAAGGTGCTACCTGGAGTGGCCATATTTAAACTGCATTGTGCTGCATTTGCACAAGAACAGCTGCAGGCCTGGACTAGCCTGCTGAGGCTAAATCACACAAACAAACTCACAACTTGTCTGTGGGCAGGCAGGGGACACCCCAGGATGCTGTCTTAGGTCGCAGGAGGAGAGCACACAAACTTTACACAGCTGCCTCGATCATCTCTGTAACCTTTGAGGAGAGGAAAGGAGAGGAGATGCTGTTATGTAAGGAGAGCAGAGGTGTTCCTTGCTCCCCTGTTCATTCATTTCAGCTCCATTCAAAGCTTAAAGAGTAGAAATGTAGCTGATTTGAATTTATAAAATCAACAAGTCAATCTATGTAGATTTGATCAGAGTAGATGCGAATATGTAGACTTAACATGCTGATACATTCTGTGTGCAAGCTCATGCATATTTATCAGAATTTTGCTATTTTGGGTTCACTCTGAGTGTCAGTGACTGCTCCCTGAGTGGTTGTGGTGCAGAGGCTGAGCAGAGGATGGGTAACTCTGATCTGCATAGAACCAGTATGGTTTCATTGATCAATGGCTCAGCACCGCCTGCTTGTAGCTATTCCTGCAACAGTCAATACACCACTGCAGTTTCCGCACCGCCTATCGCATTCCAGTTGACCTCAGCAGTGAGCAGCGCATATCTGCCAAGTCATCATACCAGGCTGGAGAAAACAATCAATCAGATAGGATGGAGGGAATAATGAGTAGTTTGCCAGGGTGTTTCCAGTGTAATACAGATGTAAACAGATATATGTGCTGCCACCCACTGATTCTGGAAAACTCTCCTTTCAGAAAGCAACAGGGACTTGTCTAGACATCACGTTAATCCTAATGTACCTCTGTGTATTTTTGCTGCAGAGCATCATCCTTTCCTCACGTGCCTCTGTTTCTGCCCCACCCTCACTCATACTCTCTGCCACAGACACATGCTTTGTCTTTCTTAAGCACAAAATAAGTGCATTATTGTGAGGGACAGGTTATGGTCTGCACACGGGTCTCTGCGTGTTTCTTTGGTTAGGTGCCTGTATAGATCACATCATCTGCTCTTAAGCCACTCTTTTCAGCACTTTGGCTGACTTCAACAACAACTCTTTCTGTGTAACTAAGCATCACTCCAGAGTGCAGAAAGGACTGACAGTCTGTGGTCTGCTGCTGCAGTGTTTGTACTGGAGTCCCACCTGGATTAACTACACACAACAACTTGTGTTTTTACTTTTCTTTTTAGACCTAAACAGATTTGGTTTGTAAAGATATCAGCATGAAATCAGAGGAAGGTGTGATGGACAATTAGATGTACGTAAGGAAGAGGTTTATTTGTCTTTACTATCACATTTTTACCTTTTTTGATCGGGCAATAAAGATCCATGTCACTGGGGAAGACAGACTTGGGATGACACGCTTAGTTAAATTAGTGCTCTTGGTTGAAAGTGAATCTGCAACTTCAAATTGCTTAAAATAAATCAAATCCAGTAAGACTGTGAGATTTTTGGTACAGCAAAAACATTTTTGATTCTTTTAAGACACTTTGAGTCACTCACATTTACATGCCAACATGCAAAGACAGACTTGTCATTTTCAGCAGGTGGCCCAAATTTCGGAGGATGTCTTTTTAGTGCTGAATGGTGTGAGGTCATAAAAGTTTTCCACTTCCCCTCGCAGTGAACGTTGAGTCTATTCTGAATCTTCTTTGTGCTCCACATCTTGCCATAGCATTGGTAGTAATCTCAGCTCCAGAAAGTTTCCCTTCTTGACACCATTGTTGTTGATATCAGTACTCATGATTATTGATCAGTGATGGTAAAGTGACACTGGCGAGTGTGGCAGTGTTCAACTATTTACAACTGAGAGGGCTGTGTGGGTGCCGAGACAAAAAAAACAGCTGATCTCAATGGTGATTTGGCAGCAAAATTGCTGAGCAGTAACAACTCTGAGCTGGTTGGTTTTGCATTGAAAATGAGCACTGTTGGTGCATGAAAGCATACCGATGAATACTGGCTGTAGTGATTTAAAAGCAGACCATTCAAAATAGCCAAAAATGTGTTACGTTATGTTCCAACTGTGGTTCAGTAATTCAGAGTTTTGGTTAAATTCATTAGAGATGATCTTCTGCAACCCCCAAACAATGACCTTATGAAATCCTTAAAAAAATTGGCACATACAGTGGGAGTTTCATGATCTAAACATATGCTGTGAAGTTTTGTCTGAGATATGCCCAATGTTTTGTTTTAGACCAAAACAAACCTTGAAAACTACTGGAGGTCTGTTGTAATTTAGTATTTTAGTCAGCATTTTTCCTCTGTTGGTTATAGTTGGACAGACTTGGCTGGACTTGATCTGCTTTCTAGATGTAAAATATGAAACTTCTCAATTATTTAAACCATTTTCATCTAAAGGTGAAGAGAGAAATAACTCTCCTGTTGTTTTCCACCAAAACACCATCACCAAAGATTAGCCTCTCATCTCCATCTAAATATTTTATGGTGAGCAGTCCTCAGTCTGCCTTCGGTGCTCCTCAAAGAAACAGTTTGGAGGATCTTCCTGAAAGGGAACTTCAACAGAAAAACCAGTGTGGTATCAACTATGGTTTCCTACGAGTACAAATACATTTACAATAAAAGATAATAAAAGCAGAGTTAACCTAATCCTTTTTTTCCTGAATCAGGTAATCTGACAATTTCTTCTGTCTTCATCTGTCACAGGAATCACAGAGACCATTGCCCAGCTGGCTTCAGGATGGGTGACAGACAGGAACCTTTTCCATAAATACCACTACCACAAGGCCTACCTGATCCTGTGTGGCCTGGTCAACCTGCTGTCCCCACTGGCTACCTCCTATATCCTGCTGATGGTGTATGCTGTTTTCTTTGCCATCTTCTGTGGGGGATACATGGCTCTGCTGCTGCCTGTTCTAGTAAGACCATAAACCACTCACAAGTTAACCTCTATTACAAGCACAAGGGGCCTTTTTTTTTTCTTTGCAGGTCCCAAAGTTTGGGAGAAAGTGTTGAGAAACAGTGGCAGTTTTCATTTGATCAATGGCAGCTAATGATTTTCTCAAACCAAATTAGAAGATCATTAGCAGTGAAGTGGAAGGTAGATAATTGGAAAAATGAAAACTAAAACTTCAATTGTCACTGGCAGGTGGGTCAAGAACCACCATCATTTTCAAAGTTTTCCTAATGGTGGCAAAATTGTGTACTCAGTCACAACCCTTTATTTTATTTATTTATTCATTTATTGACCAGACAAACTGAATTTCATATTGATGCCTGTTTATGATGTGCCAAAGTAGATAAAACTATCTGCAACTTAATTATTCTTATAAAGTCATTTTTATGCCTGAAATCAGTGTGAGGGGGTGGGTGTGAGTCAAGTAGCTAAAGAAGCAGCCCTGTTTCACAAGTACCACATAAAATATTCACAATAAATGATACATTTGACTGTCAAAGGTCACAGGGGTTAGCTTTTTTTGTCTGTAGACACTGTTTTAGGGTGTAGAGATGTAGAAAACACAAGTCAAAAATCCCTCACAGGAGCTTTAAGATGGCACAGCTTCAGCATTGTCACTAACAACTAAAATTTTTGTTTCAACTGCTGGAAGGTCCATTGAACCCACCATAGCAGTCATTTTAAACACACCCAATGATGTATTTTCATTAAAGTAAGATTGAAAAACTGCACATAGTGTTCATTGGTGAGAAATGTACATTTCTTTCTTCTGCATGCTGCTGCCTGCTCATATAAGTGATCACGTACTGCATTAACCTCATCAGTTGTTTGTCTGTACAGTTACTCCCAGAGGCACTTTCATTTGACACTGTTCCAAACACTCATAGACAAAAAATAAAACAAATTAAACAGTAAAAAATAAAACAAAATGCTGCAAAATCAAGGTACCCTGTTTAATGACAGATAGACTCTTTCTGTATCACCTGGCTTTCACACTAACTCACCCTACACTATTAGACTTTCAGGTCTGGTGAATTCACTGCATGGGCTTTCATGTGGGGCTCCATTACGTCATGGTATATCATCACACAGTGAAAATATCCCTGAACCATGAGATGTTTTTCCAACCACCTTAACAGGTGGAACAACATGTTAAGTCAGGGAGTATCCTTGACAGATCATGTCACACCTGAAAACAAAAAACCAAGGACAGATATGAGGAGAATTCACTCAGCAGTGGTGTGGTCTAAAGGCCAAGACATGCCTCTGGGCTGAAACACAGACAAGAATGATCACCCCCCCCCCCACACACACACACACACACACACAATGAAAACGAATAGTTGACTTTGACAACATCCCTATAGTTTATAGCTTCTTATAGCAAACAATTATCCAGACATTTGTTCGGTGGTTTCTCTCGCAGACATTCTCATGACATCAAAACGGACTATTTAGATCAGCGCTCCCGGAGTGCCTTTATGGTTGAAACTTCTTTCTGCTGTTGTAAATCACAGTTTTCCCAGACATTTTTATTTCCTCTGAGAAACAAGGTCTGGTTCTTGTTTTAATCACCTCAAGTATGCTGACATTGACTTTGAATATTTGGATGAATGTATGAACACGTTTGAGCTGTCTTCCTTATACCAATCACCATGGCTCTGTGTTGTTACTAGATTAACTTTCACAACTCCATATAGTCAGACTTTCATTTGGGACCTGTTGTGGTTTTCTTTGTACACCATTCTCAAATGATGGTGTACCAATTGCTTAGTATCTATCTGTTCAATATCTGTTCAAACCACAGTTTTTTTCTTGTTGGCATTTGATACTGAGCACCATTAAAAGTAATACAACCATTTCATGTCAAATTTTCTATATCAAAAATACACAAATGGGTAACAGGTTGCAGAGTTGGATGTCGGATGTCATGTTGTACTTTTCTTCCCTGCAGGTGGATCTGGTGGGCGCAGAGAAACTCAACAACTCCATGGGCTTCTCCATGTTTTTTGTGGGTCTTGGTTGCCTCACAGGGCCTCCTCTTGCAGGTGAGTGGATGACCTCATGAAAAGGAAATAAAACAATTTGGACATGTGCTAACCTACTTTTCATATGCACACAATGACAAACCTGCATACAAACTGGCCCTGAAGCTGCGGTTGTTGGTGAATCGTTACACAGGGCAAGTTTTGACAAGTGTTTTTAATGTTTCTTTGCGTGTGTGTGTGTGTGTGTGTGTGTGTGTGTGTGTGTGTGTGTGTGTGTGTGTGTGTGTGTGTGTGTGTGTGTGTGTGTGTGTGTGTGAGCTCACCAAATGGAGTGAGTTAGTGGGGGATCAGTGGCTGTGGCCGGCTCGAAAAGCCTTTCTTATGAAGATGTATTTTTTAGGGGGTGCATTCACACATGTTTTCATGGGGCCCTGAATTCCTTGCAGTATGTGCAAATGTGTATCTGCCTTTAGTCACTGTGAAGGATGAAAACACACAGGAGAAAAACAACCTTTGGTTAGTGAGCCCCCCCGGTGCAGACTGGGTTTTTGGGGCTGCCTTGAAGAAAATGCATATGGGGGTTACTGGGTCAAATTTCCGCCCCTGTCTAAAAGCAAGTGGAGCTAAAATAACATGGCTGGGTTTGGCTTACTTTGTTTGAGTGATGGCAGACTGCCTTTGTTCGTCTTATAGAGCTCTGCCTTATTTGAAATTGTTTTCTCTGTTACAGTTTTTTTTGTTGTTGTTGTTACCTTCAGTTGTCACAGAGCTATTCATAAAACTTTTTTCTGGGTCACCCTCACAATAAAAAAAGATGCCAAGACGTCTATCATCCGTTAAACATGAGCTCAGGGAGGAACCAAAACAGTTTCCAGACCTAAGCAGCATGGCGTAACATGATAAACAAATACCATGCACTTTATTTTCTGCATGTGTGTAAGGTTTTTCCAGGTAATGCCCTGGAAGGTAACATTTGGCCTCAGTTAAAGAGAATGTGTATGTGTGGTTGGTTGGAGGGAGGGGGTCCCTTGAACCCACATGGCCCCTTCCCAGGATATTGAGCAATCCCCTCGGTGGAGCTAATGGATTTGAGGGTTGAAATGTGACTAATGACTTTCTTTGGGGCAGTACCGAAATAGCATGTGGCTCTGTTTACCATCCCTGCAGTTAAAGTGAAAAAACTGACGTCAGTCAAAGTTTGGTCCCGCCCTCAGGCCAAAGGGTGGACTCGTCTTACTTGTGTGTATTAACTGTCTCACTTACAGCTTTATTGTGGTCAAACTTGCCTTTTTGACTGGGGGGCATTTGATGTCACACTAGTTTACCTGTCTGAATGGAAATGTCAACGTGGCAAAAGAAAACAGACAACACAGGAAATCAGGATACGTGACGTCACCTACGGTATAGCTTACAATGAGATCACACATGATCAAAATCTGATATCTCAACATGGGGGAGTATCGTCTTTGAGACACCTTCAAGTGACATTTTATTGAATTACTTTGATTATTATTCACAAGCAAAAACTTCATTGTGACATGAGTAACAAAATATTTGACAAACACAAGCTTACCCTCTAGTTTGTCAGCCTTTTTGATGTTGGGCTTTTTATAATTTAATTACTTTAGTAAAGGGATAGCCAGGTTTACATCCACCTGGGCTGAAATCCAACATCGACGATGAGCCACCAACCAGTGCAGACGGGGTCAATGCTGACACATCCCAATTTTAACAACATTTGGAACTAAAACTAATATCAGTTTTAAGTGTGTGCTCAATTTACAAAATAATTTGCGCTTTACTTTGCTGTCAAAAGAGTTGTTTATATCGGCACTATTTGCAGATGCAACTTTATCATGTTCCTCTGCCTGCTGCAGGGCAGTACAGAAATAGCGTGAGTCTGTTTACCATGACTGCAGTTAGAGTGAAAAATTTACATCGGTCAAAGTTTGCTCCCTCCCTGAACTGAAGGTTTGGGATTGCACCAACACTTTGTCACAGTCTCACCAACAGCTGAATGTGGTCATTTCTCCCTGTTTTGTACTGATCATCTGATCATTATAGGCAGTGGAACACCTATGTGCCACATTTATAAATGGTGCAAAAACAATGAAAAAGTAGAGCACTGAATGATTTCTAGAGAGAGCACACACCTACAATCACCTTAGCTAAATGACATGACCAAACCTGCAGTCGTTGATAGCACAGCATCTGTTTAGGTCCTCCAGCTGGTTTCTCAACAAAGAGACTGAGCTGACCGTGATCCCCTGTGGGTAATAAATTTGTTCTGACAAGTACCTCATACAACCCCACTTAATAAAATAGGGGCCTGTTCCTTTAATGTTGTATGTCTTTATAAGCGTCGAGGAAAACATGGGTTATCAAGTTCAGGTTGTATTAAGTTTGTCATACACAAACATTCACTCACTGTTTCAATTTTAGTAGTGAATCAAATCTAAACAAAAGAAAAGTGATTTAACCAAAATGACAACTAACACAAACCAAAGAGATTTCACAGCCTGGAAACCCTGGAGATGTTTAGATTAAACTATATAATCATTAATTTTTTTTGTTGTGTTTTTGGGGTTTGATGCCTTTAATCAGAGAGTTAAAGACAGCAGATAGAGCAGGAAACTAGGGGAGAAAGATACGGGGAAAGGGATGCAGGTTGGAATCCAGGCCACCAGTGCCCACCTGAGGACTAAAGCCTCTGAAAATCTTGTGGAAAAACTCACCCTTAAGGACAACGTAGTGCCTTGATAACTATCAATATTTAACTATTACAAGGAAGTTAACTGCAAACTCTTTATACAGAGTGGTGACTAATCATTTGTAAGGTGTCTGGGACATAAAGCTCGTATGATCAGTGTCTTATGAACTGTGATTAACTTTTTTAAAGATTATAACAGTTAAAAATCCAGCAATGGTCTGCTCAATCATATTCAAAACATGATCCTAGGATGTGGTTGATAGAATTTTTTTTACTATTTTATTTATATGTGTGAGAGGAAAATGCACTAAATTTTGTTTGCATAAATATCTATGGTAACAAAGTATCCATAATGACAGTGATGGTGTTTAACCATCAGTTAAATCCCATGTGAAAGCTTCACAAATGCACCACTGTTACCTCAGCTCATCTCCACTGTATATCTAAATAAAGTTATATTACAATAGAGTAAACATCTACAGTGTAGGTCCTGATGGAAAGTCAGACACTGACAGGTTTTTGTGTTTACAGGCTTCTTGTATGACTACACTCAGACCTATGACTGTTCTTTCTACCTGGCGGGACTCTGCTATCTGCTCTCCTCCCTCTCCCTGTTCTTGGAGCCGCTGGCTCAGCGCTGGAAGGCCCGGAACAAACTGACCCGGGACAAGAGAGCGGAAAGCAGCTGTAAGACCAACGGCTGCTTCACCCCAGACCACCTGCAGAACGGCGCTGTGTAGGAATGAATCCCAGGGAAGGCCTTTAGTCGTGAACCAGCATGCTCAGAACTTGATAGGCCTGCATAACTTGGACCTTGGACTTCAGTTTAAAGTCCGGACCCAAGTGACCCTTAGTTTCAGCAGGGGTGCAACAGTGGCCAACGACAAAAAAGTGTTGGGAGCTCTACATGATGTCTGAGAACTCTCAGTAAATGGGACATGGGTGACAAGACGAATCTGATGAACTCTGAAAAAGCCAAATTTGAGTTATCTTGTCCTTATCTGAGGAACATGCATCCAAACCTACTTGCATATATCATCCTACACATTTTAATACAGCTTTGCGACTGTATATTATTCAGACATGATTTAAATCTATCCTCCAATATGCACTCAGTTTGCAGTCATTTTTTCAGTTGCACAAGTTGCTACACTTTGCAGTTGAGCTGAAAATCCTCCCTTTGAGTTTTTTTTATTGTCATCATTTTATTTTTATCTCTGTCTACTTTATTTCTGAAAAAATTATCTTCACCTCATTTCATTATAAACTGCTCTGTATCTGTAAACTTGTACTCACTGATATGTGCTCTTAATCTGGTTGTAATTATGCTGCATGACATTTTCCCTGGCTTCAAACTGCCGGAAAGTTAAAATACTGAACTTGTAATCACTTAATTGCAGCCTGCTCCTATAGCACAATATCTAATCCTGTTGCAAAGCCAAATGCAGCAACTGCTTCATAGTTTGATAGAGGAAATATCTCTTTTGCCCTGACATGAATAATGCATAGGCACAAAGGTAGATTGTATGGCATATGCAAGCATTTAGAGGTATGGCTTGAGCAGCATCTCTGCCGTGCACACATACTCTCTATTGACAGAATATCCTAATACTCTGGACATTTTCTATTTCTTCAATTCTATTCGGTCAAATTTATTGAGGGCATCTGTGCTCTGCTCAGCTTTTGGGTATTATTCTCAGAACTTTTTTACTTAATCAAATCAATGGATAGGACTTTACAAGTTTCAACCTTCTCTACTCTTTCTCTAAAACCCTCTAAACTAACTCACACTTTTATCCAGATCCTATCCTTTCTACTCAAAACTCTTCTTTAGTTTTCCTCATACTTAGCAGTTTTTCTGGCAGTTTAAGCTTTGAGCAAATTTTGAAATCAAGGAAATTGGTGCTGCTGACATTAAATATCTGGTTAGGCTAACAAAGTAGTTGACCCACAAAAACGTTCCCTTCAGTCCCTTAATTTCAGGTGGCATCGCTGTCAGCTGATGAACCTTGTTTTGACATTCCAGCTTTGTCCGTCTCTTTCATTTTTTGCCATAGTGAAACCGCAGTGAGTGAGTCAGAAGCAAAACAGGGTGACGAGCTTTTGTTTTGAGAAGTGTCATCAAAATTTGCAGGGTGATTTGAGCATTTACAGACTACTGAAGGCTGCTATTTCAGGCCTTAACGTCAAATCCAACCCATTTTAGCACAATAAGCTGCCAGCTGGTACTGGCAAAATAAATAAAGGGCCTGAGGGTGGAGCCCTGTTTGATACAAAGTGGTTCATAAACAATGTTAGGTGTTCTGTCATGACGCATCAGCATCTTTTTTTCAGCTTCTGTCACTGGTTAACATTTAAACTGGGTCTTTTGAATCTTTTGGAGTCTTTTGGACCATCTCTTTAGCTTCATCATTGTTGACTATCAAAATGACAGTTACATCTCTTTTACTGCCTTAACTTGGTGTTGTTCAGCTGTCACTTTACTACACTCAGTGCTTGCATGCTGTTTCCTACATAGAACCAATTTATATTTCAATTTCCCATGTTAACCTCTGTTACACTGTTTTGATCTGTTTTTAACACCTCCGCTATTTTCAATACGCACAATGACAATGATCATTCAAACTATTTAAGTGCTTCAAATGACTCTTGTTGACTAAAATCTGCATTTAAACTGTTTATCGTGTTCGCAGTTGCATTTCAGCATGCACACTTCTTTTTTTTTTTATCAAAATCTCTATCATTAAGTTTTTGTTACTAGAAAAAAAGTTTAATTTGTGTTTGTCAGTTATGATCATTCAAGTTAAATAACATTCATGTTTTTCTTAGCAGCACCCGCAGATGACATTGGTCATGCAATGCCCACAGCTTTTGAGCTGATCTATGCAACTCACCCAGAGAGTGATTCCCCTGACAGAAATGTGCATCATTTTCACTGAATCAAAGTCAGCGGCTCCTCAAAGAGAGCTAGTTTGAATGAAGTTTAAAATGTTTTCATCAAAACGGTTCTTATGGTCACAGGAGCCACTGAGAGGTTTCTTGGCGATTATGTGCAGTTCTGTCAACTTTATCATCCCTGTGTAACTGCGAATCCCTGACCAACTGTGTTACAAGTTATTTTGTTTAATTTGCCTGTACAAATATTTTGTGTCCAAACTGGGCCGGTAGAAAACATTTGCCAAACCTTTACAGTGCCTGCAGGCAGCCAATTAATGGAAATGCAATTTAAATAGTTGTGCTGTGTTTAAATGTGAGAGTTTTTATGGTTGTGGAATCTCTTTTTGAGTAAAGAGAGTTTGGTTTTTTTTTTTGTTGTTTTTTTGATGGGTTCCTTGTTTTTCACCACTTTGCCTTACTAGGTACATCTTTGTATCTTTACTAACTTTCCTGTGATGTCAGCCAAAGACACGTTAGAAACCTTCCTGCAACTTGAAGCAACTTCTTAAAACAGTACAAAGTTTAAAAGGGTTTAACAATTGAAACCACTAAGACTGCATCAGTCAGTCAATTCCAAGTTTTAGCTCTTGGGGGGGGTGATGCAAGAAAAGAAAAAAAGGTAAGGATATGTTTGCTCGTGCTGCCCTCTTGTGGCAGAACATCGCTACTACTCAAAGAATGCTGTCTCAATTAGTACTGAATTATTCCCCCTCAGCTCACTTTCACAATACTGAGCAAGGCTCTTTGTGTTGTTTCAATAACTACAGTCATGCACAAAAGCTCTTTTGGCTCACGAGTTGCATTCACCACCAGTTTGCTTTTGTGATTGAGGACCACTGAATATTTTGTACCATGATAAATCTTTTCTGGAGGGTATATGATGCTTTAAAAATAAATGTTGGTTTAGGATTATTTTACTTCTTAGCTAACAGGATTTTGGAAGGAACTGTATGTTTGAGCAATGATTCTTTGGTAACATCCCAAACACCACTGATGAGGAACTGAGTTCTGTTTGATGGTGTTGGATTTGTTTTTGTGCTGCATATGCAATCATGGGTGAAGCACTGTTATGTCTCAACTCCAGCTCCTATTTTTATGAACTGATAGTTTAGAAAATGCTTAAGAAATCATGGATATCATGTTGCAAGTGCTTGAGGCTCATTTTTAAGTCTTGTAAGAGTGCACAGTCAAAAGCAATAAACTGACATGTGACTTAAGTCTGTTGTTGTGATTGTGAGCAAATAATGCAACTTCTACCTATGCAATAAACACTCGAGAGTCATTTCTTTACAGGTTGTATGGACAATTTATTTAGATACATAAAAATAAAAAACACATTCACCTACAATATTCATTCTCTCATTTACACTTACAAGAAGACTTATAAATACCTATGGTTATCATCAGAGTGAAAATGTTACAAATGTCATTTAGAGAGTCATTATACTTAAGATAAAAGAGATGTACTTACAGTAGATGACACCTGAAGTGTGACAGGACAGGAAACTGTTGTACTGTCTGCTGCACCGTCTGCTGCCCAGTGGAACTCTGTGTGGGAAACATACCAACATGTTTGAACCTCTGCAACAGTGGACAGTCTGTACAGCTGGGTGAAATAATCTAGTCCCTGACTGGTAGCCTGACACTTTACACAGATGCCCCTGATGTCACCATGTGGATATATAAGTGAAAGCTGACATTTAAAACTCTGAGTGGTCAGAAGAAAGCATTGAACAGATGCAGTCTATCTTTTAATTAACTCCTTAAAGTCAAGAGCACTCCAATTAATAACATCATATCTGTAACTTTCACTGATGTGTGTCCGATTAGATTATCTTTCTCAGATCTACTGCATGAGGAAAATATCCTGAACCAGATGTGTTGAGCACAGTGGTTGTTTTATCAAACCCTTTACACCAGTTTACACTTGTGAAGCATTCAGATGTACAAATAAAAGGCACAAATTTAAGATTTAGTAGCTTTACAGAAGCTGACAGAAACTATTATTTGTAGCGACAGCTCAGACTCTGACCAGATTCAGTTTGAGGTTTGCCCCATTTGTGTTTTTAATGTTGAATATTTTCATAACTTCCTAGCCTAATAAGACACACCTAATTTCTTGACACTTTTAATTTCCATTTGTCCATATTTCTCCTATTTTTGTTAAGCATTAAGTTGTACATTTATGTATCTATATTACAGCAAATAATTTTTTAAAGAAAAAATCATTTGCAACTGTTTGCATTTGGTGAATGAACAAACTCGTGTAACTCCTATGATCTTATTTTATTTTTCTAATTTCATTAACATGCCTTTAACCTTTTTGTGCAACTATCTTAAATACCTCTAGTACGGGAGAACAAATGTTCTTCTGCTTCAAGTCCTTTGAATTAAATTAAAGTTGATAAAGATAATGGACAGTTATGCTTACAAAGCTTGAGCAAGGAAAAAAACATACCTGTCTCAGGCAGGATAATAACATTAACAAAATGACCAAGCACTTTACTGATGAAGTCACTATTAACAAATACAAGTCTACAAATTAAAGTGGTTTGAATCTGTATTCTTGACACACACCATTAGAGACGTCCGGTTTCATTAACTCTTTCAACAGTGTGTTTTTTAATTGGTTGCACCAGTCTTGAAGTCAATTATACTAATCCTCACTTGGTTTAACATCTGTACTGAATTAGAAAACCACATGAGAAGTGCCTTTTCATTTCATCAGGGGCTGCTACAGCCTAAGAGTAATACTCACCTACTTTGATCTTAAACTTTTACATGTATTTTGCTCATAGTGAACACCATTTTTCAAGTTTATAGCCTGACAGGCACAAATTAGGTATTAAAATTCATTAAATGATCTCAATTATGTTATTAGCTGTGGGTAATGTACAACTACATTTAGACCATCATTGAACTTTAAAAAGTAATGACCTCAGTAACGGCTTTGTGTAAAAATGACACTTAGCTAAGTTGCATTTGTAATTACAAAACATGTGTTGTTGAAACTTGAAACTTACCACTGCTGCCCATGCCAGCAATACAGACCTGGCAGGCAGCACATTTTCTCCTTACTCACCCTCGTGCTGATTGTATACAGTGTTCACATAGTGATACCAGCTTGTCCCGGGTGTTGGGAATGCATGAGCGTAATTTTGCAGGGGTGGGCTGAGAAGGGTAAACAGGCACTCCGTGGTCCTCAAGATGGCAATGTTCCCCTCGTGAGAGAAGGGGTCCTTCTTAGCACAGGATAAAGCTTTTGCTTTCACACTATCAGCACTAAAATAGATGGCAAAGGGGTGGGTAAACTTTCTTTTCTGTATAAAGTGGCCTTAACTGTAATAAGAGGGGAACTGCAGAAGAAATAAGTCTCCTTTGGAAAATTTGGGAGAGGGTTTGGATCCTTCCAGCAATGTCAAATAGGGTGAACAATTTGGCCTGTTTGTACTTCTTCTCCATCCTGCTGCAGACCTTGATGACAATGGAGCAGACACACCTCTTCACTTATTTCCTCAGAGAGGCTTCAATCAGAGGAGGAGCAAACGATATTCCTAGCTGAGGTTTAGGCCAATCCTCCTCCTCCCTTAGCCAAATGTTTGATCGAATCAAATCATAATGGGGCAAAGCATAAAAAAATGAAGAATCAGCCCAGAGGTTCATCACAGCCACTGCAGTGAGACACCCTGAGATGAGGGAGCTACGGACTTTCAGGGCGATGTCACACACAATCTCTTGAGTGGAGTGTGTGACGGCCAGCTTCCTCTGCTCCTACTCAGAACCAGGAACAATGAACACAAGACCTTTAGAGTAATTACGAGGACGACAACAGGACACCGGCACATGCTGCTGTTTGCTCCAGCCTTCAATTCCAAAACTGCTCTGTCGTCTGAATCTGCCTCTGCAAACTGGATTCTGGCTGCAGACAAAGGGCAGCAGCGGACGCTCCTCGATCCTCATCAGGTGTTCACATGCCAACAGCAACAGTTGAGGGTGTAACCAGGGATCAGAGGGAAGTAATTTGTGATGGAAAACTTAATAGCCCAGAACAGGCCACTAAGCAAACAGCGATCCTCACACGAGATCAGGTTCTCTCTTCATAGGTGCTAATCAAACTGCAAATCGTCTCCCTTTTTTGTGTGCAGAAACAAAATCTCAAGTAAAACTCCTTGGAACACAATAAGGTATGGCAGCGTGTTTCTTCAATTCACTTCCATCGAAGAAACATGTTTCCCTTCAAATGAACAATTTATTGATAATCGGTCACAATAAGTGCCCAAATGCACTTGCAGGTATGTGAACAGCTTCGCATGGGCTCTATGGATTTTCCTCTCCCATGACATCAAAGTGTACATTGCTCATTTTTCCAATTAAAACAGAAGTCACCACAGGTGCAGATGGGATACACAACTAAAAAGCTGCCTCGTAAGTGAGGACTCACAAACACTCTGCAGAAGTTTGCAGCTCTGCCCTCAGGGCTGCTCAGGAGTCCAACGTTGAAGTGGTTGTGATGTCCACATAAATGACAATTTTCTGACATACTAATGTTTCCAATACATATTAAACCAAACTCAGCAAATTATAAATCAGGATAGGTTAGTGTTGCATGTTAACTATAAACGGCAAAAACAAAGTACACTAAGTAGGCCTTGAGAAGATGTAGGCAAACAGAAGTATCCTCTCATCAAAACCATAATAATAAATCCATACATTAACTGTTATAGTAAATCTAAGACTGCTGCTGTTACACAAACCTACTTACTGAGCAAATAGCAGGTTTTTATCACTTTAACTGACATTTTACTGATACTGGTCATTGTTTTTTGAAAGACTTACTCATTGAAGAGCAATAAATCAAACAACACATTGCTCTCTAAGCCTTTTATCGATTGCTACTGCTGTTTTTCATTAGTCACAACCATTTCTTAGGTAGGGATGCATGAAATAAAATACGGAGTAGAAATTATTTTAAAAAACATGTAAGTGTTTGCTTTATCAGCTATGCATACTGCTATAGGCTGGCTCTGGTAAAAATGTCACATTTGTTAGTGTTCAGCATACCACAGAGTATAAATAACACTCTAGTCTGACATTAGGTTTAATGTCTATGATGTCATTTGAAGCTCTAATGTTAAAGGAACACATAGATTAGGATATATCCAAATTCAACAATGAACCTCGAGGTTATTTGTAACAGTTAAAATAGCTTTTTTAACCTGGCTAACTGAAAGGTCTGAGGTTGTTTATCTTGAACCATTTTTTTTTCAAATGACCTTCAAAATGTCCTCCCAATTTTAAGAACTCACAAAGTCGTAAAATTCAGACAAGAAAAGTCCATTAAAGTTTAAACACAGTGTACCACCCATCTTCAATTCACCGCACCCCATCTGTCAAACTCTGTTGTTGTCATTGTGTTGGATACTTAAGCATGACAGCAACAAACTAGGATGAAGTGTGGTGTGCTGAAGAGCAGTTTTGCAACACGTCCAAACCTTTGAATGGAACCAGAATTTACCCTTAAAAAAGATTATCTTCGCTGCAGTACCAAAGCATTCAATAAACCTTCACTTGGACCTTCACATCAGAAATGTATGTCATTCTCATTCTTGTGCCTATCCATCAAAACGTGATTGAAGTTGACTTGTTATCTACTGTAATTCAAACTTTAAGTGGAGTTAGGAGGTAGACACAATAACATCACAAATACAGTCCGGCTGAGGCAACAGAGAATCAGAGACCAGAAAAAATCTGACTTTTGTTAACCTTCTCATTTTCAGTTTCTGTTGAACACCATGTAACAGAGATGTCATTTCAGTATTAAAGTAGGCGACAAGGTCACTGATTGTGTTTTTGTTTTTTGTAACGGAGCTGTTATTGTGTCCCCTGCATTCCATTTTTCAAAGCTGAGTAGGGAAATTAAAAATAGTTTTCAAGATGTTTTCTCTCTTTTTGAATGAAATTAAAATTTATTTGACAAGTTCACCTCTTATTTTTCGGTTCTACGGTATTCTCACTAAATTGACTGTAGGTTTAGGACCTTGTAAGCAATTCTTACACCCTTTAAAATAATTTCAAATACACACGGTGTTTAAGTTTGGTAGGAGGGCACTGTTTGTCCATTTAGTGAATTACATGGCAACATACAAACACTCAAGAACCATACTAGTGTAACCCCAAAATGCAGAACACACAGCATGCAATAGTTACTGACATACAGCAGATTGTTTTTTTTTTTTTTTTAACATCACTTGAACTTTGTGTGTTCTGATTTTTTTCAGGATGCTCCACGAACAACTATCATGACCAGATAGTCCTCTTCACTTTTAGCAAGAGCTTTAGCAGAAGAATCCAGGAACTGCTGGGAGAAATCACAGGGAGGGAAAGCGTGAAGAACCCCTGTGTTGTCTTTATCTCTGCTCCCCCCCACAGGTAGACTGATGACTCCTGCTGCTTGTTTTTGGTTGAGGTAGGACACCAGGTTGCGGAGAGGACGCTGAGTTGAGGCCGCTGGGTCTGACGAAGATGTATCCTCTGTGGTCCCGGGAACTGCCAGCAGGATAGCGTAGCCGCTGGGACCCGCCACTTTGATGCGCCGGGACACCTCGTCCAACTTGGGTTGGTCTAGACGGAGACGCTGGGTGATCTTGAGCTCGCTCACTTGCTTCCCTGTTGAGCCATCGATAAGCAGGTCACTGGCAACACTGTGATCCCCCTCCAGCAGGTGCATGTTGGCTGGGAAGTTGCTGTTCTTGAGCAAGAGCATGCCATGCCAGGCCAGACCGAGCTTGGTACTGTCTGCTTTAGATGTCTGGCCTCCTTTAGAACTGCTCTCAGAGCGCTCTCTCTTGGCTGGCACTTTGCCACCATCTCCTGCTTTACGCTTACGCTCTCCAACTGCAGAAACGCTGCTGCCTGAAGGTCCCTTATCAGAGAGACTCTGGCTTTTTAGCCTCCGCTCAGCCCCGCCTCTTTCAAGGCTACTGTGATATTCTCTTGGAGGGGAGGGCTTCTCTCCCCGTTGAGGCCGCTCTGAGTCACTGAAGCGCCCTCCATCTCTGCTGCTACCTCCAGGACTAGCATCTGGGGAGGCACGCCGACGCCTTACTGTCCTGTCAGTGCTGTCAGGGGAATGATCTATATGGCGTCCATCTTCCATGATTCGCCGCTTGCGTGCAGGTTCTCGCCCCTGAAGTTCTCGTTCTAAAGACCAAGGTTCCCGTGCCCGTCGTTCCCGTTCTAAGTGTTCCAGTGGCTCAAAGGGCGCAGCACGCACTCGATCTCGCATAGCTGGGTTAGGCCACTCGGTTCCAGGAAAAAGTTCTCTCTCTCGAAAGTGAAGAGGCGGTGGAGTCCGTTCCCTGACCCTAAGAGGTTCAGGAGTGGCACGGTGCACAAAAGATTCAGCCACCATGTCAAATGGTGGTATTGGGAGAGGCTGCAAGAACTGCTGCTGATAACGGTGCTCAGTGTCTGCAAAGTCCACCCTGAGTCTCCTTTCTGGACCCCCCAAAGGAAAGCCCCTCATGTGAGTGCATGCCGCTTGTGCAGCGTCCAAGCTTTCATACTGAATGTAGGCCCACGTATCTCCTTTTCTATAGTCAATGGTCCTTATGGTGCCAAAACGATCAAACTCTCTTGCCAAGGCAGCAACGGGAACCCAGGGTCCAAGACCACCCACCCACAAGCGTGTGGTGGGAGTCGCTTTCCCATAGCCAATCTTTATTTGGTTAAGGCCTACTACCTTGCCAGACATACTAAGTTTAGCACGGTGAGCCATGTCAAGGTTCTCAAATTTCAGAAATCCATATGTGCTGGTTTGTCCTCGTGAAGGTCTTTTGATGTCCACCTCTGTTATGACCCCAAACCTGTCAAAAGCTCTCCTGAGGTCGGCTTCTGTAACAGTTATGTCAAGATTCCCTAAAAACAACGTCCTATTTGCTCTTTGGTCATCTTCTGGAGATATAAAATCCTCCTCACGAAAGGCTGCTCTCTCGGCAATAAACGCCGGACGTGTCCTCGCTTCAAACAGGGCAAACTCCCGGTCCCGCTCCAGCTCTCTAGGTAAAGGGGGAGGCGGAGGAGGGGGAAGTCTACCCAGGGCCAGCTGCTGCAGGCGGTAGTCTCTGTATCCAAGCCCGGTGGGCGAGAGAGGTCTCTGCAAATGTCTATGGCTTGGAGCAGCTCCATACAAGTCTCTTTCCACCGGAGAGCGGCTTCTCCTCCTGTTAATATACACCGCTTCAATCTTCAGCGGACGGTCATACAGCACCAACCGCCCTCTCGCGTGCTTTGCAGCTCGAGCGTCCTCCGGCTTCCTGAAGTTAACAAACGCGATCCGCTCGTCGTTGCTCCGGCTCATCTTTACACTCACATCTCCAAATTTTTTAAATTCGTGAAAGAGTCCGTCCTCTATGTCTTCGTCGCTCAGCTGAGTGCCAAGGTCGCTTATTTTCAGGGTTTTGTACTCACTCTCGGCGCTGGGCGGCTGAACCCGCTGCTCCCCGCGTGAGGTGGTCCTCGCTGAGGCTAAGTCCAGGGTAAGGCTCAGGTTGTGGTTTTTACCAACGGAGCTAGCGGCTGCAGACTGCAGGCTGCTGTGATTATTTCCAGTCCGACTGTGTCCCTCGAAATCCCTGTCTCTTTTCTCACCGAGCAGGCTTCTTCTCGTCGAGCCACCGTCGCCTTTGGACGAGCTATTCCCATTATTACTCCCACTGGAGACCGACAGAGCCCCCATTTTCTTGCTGGTCGGGTGGCATCCTCCCCTGTCTCGGATATCGTCCAAGGCCCGGGAGCGTTTTTTAATCGGGGACCGCTCTTTACCTTTCATTTCAGTCCACACGTAGCCGACCCTAGGGACGCCTATCGTATTTTAATGGCAATTTCTGCAAAATATTGCAGAAAATTGTTAAAAGAATAAACGGAGTTATTCACTGACCCTGCCGCAAAACAACAACAGTCGCCATTTTGTAAAGATTAGCGGGAAGGCCCGCCCACAGCGTCTGATTGGTCGGGAAAATGGGTGGACACTGTCGAGTACATGTCAATCATCCGCTCACTATTTTAAACATAAAAGAACACCGACCAGCTACAACATTACGAACACTATGGCAATCTAATGCAACTTTAGACAAGAGCATGACCATTTTGACAATTTTTGTATTTGGTGACGTCTACTGTTGAAGTTGCATTTGGAGTTATTGGTGGACAGGAGTGCAGAACACTGACAATAACACTGATAGTTACCCCCTTCGTGTTTATTAATTAAGTGGACAATGTAAGAGGCACAGATGCAACAAATTCAAGTAAGCTACACCATCACAAACTATGTCTCCAAGAATAGATATAAAGTAGGCCTACTGTTAACAAAAAATGAAAATTTAGAAGCTTTTTGAAGCACAGGGGGTCATAATGTGGCTGGTTGGTGAAGCCTTTTTTTTAAACCTATTTCAACTAAGAAATGGGGAGTAAAGCAACCATATTACACTTCAGGGTATTGCGTTTCTTGTAAACAATGACACACCTGTAATCTCGGCATACTTTTGATACTAATCAAAATACTTAAGATTATCTATCACTTCCATGGACAACACTGCAATTTAATCTAATGTGCCAGAATTCCCCTGGAGCTTATATTCACCTGTGGCTCTTTTGCAAGCCATTTAGTCTGATGTTGGTGAGGAATGCTACTAATGACCATTTTTTATCTTACCTCAGTCAAGTTTTTGTGAAGTTTCTGAAATGATTAATATTACCAGATGTTGTCCCCGCTAAAAACATTAAAATTTACCATGGGCAGTGATTTAGGAGCCTTTGAAACAAGTCAGCTTACAACCAGAGGGTGGCAGCATTTGAACAGCAGCTTAAAAAGAGGCACCCTCAACAGGGTACAGTAGCCCTTGAAGCCTTAAGTAATCCCCCATTATGTTGGGAGTTTGTCTTGGTCTTAAATTAACCAGGATGTATAACATATGGAAAATAAACATAAATCATAACTGACAGTTGTCCAAAGTCCAAACTATAGGTTACTTCTCAACACTTTTATGTTCAGTAGTTTCCTATGCAGTTAATTTGAGACCAAAAGAAAATAGACTTCTCTCATTGGACCGCTCATAGTCCTTTTACAATTGTTTCCTCTTTATATCTGAGTCTAACTGGGATTACATTGAGCTGGAGTCAATCTTCCAAAGTATTTTAACTTCATTGTGGGCAACGATTGAATCAAGATGGTAGAATTGGTATAAGGCTTATTAACCTGAAGTTGTTTTCTTTCCTACAGATAAAGAAAAAATACAGGAAATGCAGTCAAATGTGTGGAAGCAGCCCAATTCTTCCTGACAGACTGTGCTTAACTCCTCTGTCTGTGTAACTGTGTATGCCAAACTGAGCGACCACATTGTTTAGCTTAGCGAGAAATGAAATGTTGTTCCATGACTTCAAATACAAGGATCTCTGTGTGTCACAATAGCTGCACTTCAAGGCCAAGATAAATCTTGTTAAGATCAAAGCTCCGAACAGTGGCCAGCAGGAAGCTTTGCGGATTTTAATGAGCATTCAATCATATTTTTGTTCATTAATGAGGCTCAGGGTATAGTAATTTCCAGACTTTAGTGACAGTTTTCACCCAGTGACCCTTAAACACAAGAGTGATGTTCGGTTAATAATGGCCTTCTGCACTGTCAAGGCTTGATTCAAACATTTTCATTTATTTTGTAACTGTAGCCTGATAAATGGAGTCAATATGGATCAAAGCTGGGCCAAACCACTACAGCTTAAACTGTGATTCAATCAAAAGTTATGTACTCTTTATTTCTGGTCCTCTAAAGTATATGACATTTATACTAATGCAAGTTACCCTATAGCAACTATCTGAACAGTGTGCAAAAGTTAACATATCAAATTCATGAAGCCACTGAGTTTCCTCTTTTGTTTATAGACACATAGATTTGATTAACCTGCTCCCTTTCTAAAAATAAATATTAAAACTGAACCCTGATCCGCCATCTGTTACTTCTTGAGCTTCCCTAAAGATCGCCATCACCTTAGTCCCTTATCCCCACTGACAGGTCTTCTTATCTCCTTCTCTTAATCTGGGATTTAATCAAAGGGGGGCGGCTCTGTGACTGCAGTAAGAGCTGCTGTCTCCCAGGGCCTGGCTGGAATTTGAAGCTGTGGGTGTGGAAAGTGTTTCTGATGGGTTTGTGCATTCCTCTATTGGAAACACATGTTAGCGGCTCACACAAAACCCCGGCACAGACTAAAAGGGAATGGCAGTTAATCCGCTCCAGCACGGCTGTCATGGTGAAGCAAGCAAAGAAAGGGAGCCAATATATTACCCCCTAAGCCATATACACTCCTGGGGAGTAAGTGCAGCTTCAGAGGGCTTTGTCCACCACTGGAGCTCTCTTTCTTTCCCCCAATTCAAGTTGCATTTTCACTCGCACACAGATTGAAATGTTTGCACATCTGACATGAATATGTTGGTATTTAGTAATTTACACCAGATGAGATGGTACCATGCTATTCAGTGTTTCCTTGACAATAAAGTAAATTGTTTGGGGTAAGCACAACAAGGAGATATCCTGAAAACAATTATTAGGAATGCATTCGGCATACACGAGACAACAACATGTTTATGTAATTTTCTTCTTCGAAAAGCCAAGAAATGAATAAAATATTTAGAAGCTAAGGGCAACTGAACTGGCTTCAATGAATATCACTAAACAGAATGTGCACCGGGCCGTGGTAACCCCAATTTCTCCTGTTAAACTGTAACTCATCACCCAGTTGGTCTGATTTATCACTGATGCCAGATGTGAAGGCGATATCCCTGCTTCCCCTGTGGCTCTCTACTATATCATCGAAAGTGAAGCGTGGTCGCTTAGTTAGCTTTACATTATGAGCCTGCCACTCACCCCTGATGCATGAGGTGCCACCTGAAAGCCTCTTGAAGAGAAGCAAAGAAGGCTGCACATGTAAGCTCTCTAACACTGAAAAACTTACATCCTGCGCAGCAGATATCTTCCTTTATGGCGACCAGATTGTGAAGCTTTTTTGTCTCACAACCACATCACAGTCAAGTTTGTCACAAAGACTTTTGCACAGATTTCTTGGTTTGTCTTTTTTTTAATCTTGTAAAATCACTTTGAGGGGATGACTTTTGTCCCATATTTAAATGTCTTTTCCCAAAACTACTTTTCCTACTGAACAAGACAGATGATTTTGATAGGGGCCTTTATTACTGCTCACACTAGAAAAGCACATCAGACAATAAAAAAAAACAACAATGATTAATATGATAATTACAATTTTTACATGCTTAAATAGTTTTCCTCTTTGGTCTCAGCACTGGGATATCTGACTGACACTTGAAACAAAAAGGTCTATTAATACACGGGGGTTTTCGTGCAAGAGGCTCTCAAGACGCTCCAAATGAAATTCTTTCTCTATTAAGTTCTGAATGACGAAAAGTCTCCGTGGTGGTTTACGTATTTGCTGAGAGGAATATCTGAGTCAACGCTGAGCTGGGTGCGTACTTCAGGGTTTGCATATGAATTGGGAATGTAATATGCTTTGGCTCAGTCAGTGCATAGTGGGGATCTGGCACTGTTGTGGTCATGTAGGCCAGGAGAGGAGGCTGCCCGGTTCTTTTGCTTTCATGCGCAGTGCAACCAGGCCCGTTGGCTTGTAGTCAGTCTCAGGCCCCTCGATGGAAGGGGGCCCGAGGCCTCCTGGGAAGCTGTGGAGTGAGTAGAGGCCATTGATGCCAGGATGGTGAGGAGGGTGGTGGTGGTGGGGGTGACCAGGGGACGTGGGCATGCCCATAAAGCCCTGCAGGTTGCTGTGGGGGTGAGGGTACGGGCTCATGCAAGATGAGGGGATGGAGTCAGCACCCAGGACACAACCCGCACCTGAACCACCGCCTCCTCCTGAAGCTGCTCCTGGCCACAGGTTACTCTGCATCTGGAACAAAAGCAGTTGGCAACAGAGAAGAGTTTGATTGATTACTCTGCTCCAGATGTTAGAGTCAGCAAGAAAAATGAAAGTTATGAAAGCAGCATTATTACTTTTTTTCAATCATTAAACCTATTGCCATTGTTTTCATTATAGATCTGCCAAGACTGACCTGGTATGTGTCATGGCGAGGAAGAAGAGAGATATCGTATGTAGCAGCAAAGTGGTTGCGGACCTCTTGGATCTTCCCATAGCGTTCTCGTTTCCTCCACTTGGCTCTACGATTCTGGAACCAAACCTTCAGAAAACAAAAAGGGAAACGGTAAAGTTCACTAACAAAAACAGATCCCGATCTGATCATGCATTTTGTCTGTTTGATCTGTCTTTTTGAAATTTTTATAAAATCAAATATTAGGCATTTGCCCTATAGCTAACCTGAACCCGCGCCTCAGTGAGCTCGGTCCTCAGGGCCAGCTGCTCCCGCGCATACACATCAGGATAGTGCGTCTTCTGAAACACTTTCTCCAGCTCCTCCAGCTGGAAGGTGCTGAAGGTGGTGCGATTGCGCCTTTTCTTGTTTTTGCCAGATAAGTCGATGGAGTCAGCGATGGAGTCTCCATGTAAACTGCTGCCTGGCTCTTTCAGCTTTCCACAGCAGTCTGTGCCGATACCAGGGTAGCCCATAGTCTTTGGAGCTCCTTTCTCTCTGACTGAGACAGATGGATGAGGGAAAACAGGAAAACTGAAGCAGATATTTCATATTCCTCTAAAGCCACATGAACATTTAAACTTTTTTACTGACTAATCATCTTCCATGTTTTTTTTTTTTTGTTAAATGGTAATAGAGTGTGTAAATCATCTTGAAGGATATTCATTTAAAGGTTCTGATATTACTTTTTTCAATTTGGCATATTAATCAAAAATTTAATTCATATGATCTCAATCTGATCCTCCATTCTGATTTGTTGTTATGCTTGTTTTTATGCTTTCTAACTTTACAGGTCCTGGAGAAAAAAAAAGAGTCGAAAAATATTAAAATATATAAAGCTTTTTCAGTTGAAGAGAATTTATCTAAAACAGTTTCACCAAAGATGTATATCTTTATGCATGTGAGGTTATTTTTCTTGTGTGAATTTGCAGGAAGTTTGAAGGACACAGAAAAATACCATGAGCATTTTTTGCATTACCTAGTAAGTAACACAGACAGACATGTAAACTGATGAAAAAATCAAATAAACATAAGCCCTCACAGGGTGCTTCTGTGAGGACACATTTTTGAATCAAGTCTCTGGGCATGTGACACACCAGTAAAAAAAATAATAACTTAATGATCAACCATGTTTTTTTTTTTGATGAGAACAACTTCATCTGGAACACAGTGATTAGATTTTACAATCTGAAGCATTATGATTTACTACACTGTCCCTAAACTGACTGTGACAGACTATCACATCAAACATTTAGCATGTGACGTATCACTGCAAGAAATTAGTCTTGTGCTTGTTTTTTACGCTGCTTAATTTGATTCCCAAACTCAGTCTGCAGAAAGAGGCTTAAAACTGAGACGCCTGAGAAAAACAACAAACAACAGATATTAAACCAAACAGCCTCTTAATTGAATTTACTCACAAATCTCATAATAAGGCAGTTAACTCTCTGAGTTGGTTTGATTTTTAATCCACAAGGCAAATTAAAAAAAAGAAGTTTGATCAGTTTTATCTGGAAATGTTAAAGGTGGCTTCCCACACATAATTTTTTCAGTGCGTTGTTGTTGCCACATCTTTGTGAAAAATTAACATTAGAAGTTAAACAACAAAGATTTAGTTGGGTCTCTAAAAAAAAAAGTTCAGACAATCACAGAGCTGATCTATATGTAACGTGTCAAAGATAACTTGTTGTGATTTTGTGCTATATGCATAAAAATTGATTAACTGATAGAAACACAACGCTGGATTATATGAGAAATCCATTTCTGGTAAAGCACAGATTTTTTTTCAGTTATTAAACGCACTCTGCCCTAAACGTTTAGCAGTGATGGGAAATGTGAAAGCACTATTTTCCTTCCTGTTAACAGACCGTGGAAAGGGCCGTTCCCTCCTGCGGTGTTTGGATGTTGTTGTCCATTTTCATTAAGTTTAGCCCTGAGCGCCCAAACAAAATCACTCCACGTCTTTCTGCAGGCACTCACACACTGGGGGCAGCCGAGACATTACTTTGCTATTCTCTTAATTCAATATGGGGGCCCAACAGAGAGCACTTTTCATTGCAACATTAATTTCCTTGTGTCCATTAGATCCCAACTCACACCGCAGTTCATGCTGAAAATATTCTCCTTTAAGATTGCAAATGGGGGCCGCAGGACATTGTGTAGCTTTTACCATGTCAAGGAGCCACATCCGCTCTGCCTCCATCTCAGTGTAACCAGAGATATATGAGAAAAGCAGGAAAAGACAAGTAGAGGATAAATTCAAAACCTAAAGGAATATCATGCTGTGTGTCAGTGGACTGTTTCTGTTACACTACAATCCAGGCGGTAGTAATTTGTTTCTGTTTCAGACACATTTCGCTGAACATTTAAGGTTGTTAACCGCAGAGAAATAATTCATCAGCATTTGTTTTATTCAGTTACAAAAAGGAGATCTGAAATTCACATTATGAATTGGTTTGAAATATATCATCTCTCATATTAAAAGGGCGCATTAAAATACTACAAACAAAATAACAAGGCGCGATTGAACCCATGAAGCTTTGGGAGCAGTCAACTTCTTCTCATATAGAATTTACCATCATATAAAATTACCCATCATAAAGAATTTATGATGGGTAATTTATTTTATTTGTGCAAAAAAAAAAATAAGTTGCAATTTTTCTGAATACCATATTTCTGCTTCAGAAAACAAAAAAATATAAATTTTATTTAGACTGATTTTCTGTCATATTAATATATATGTGAATTGGTCTGCAATATGGTGGATAGGGCGTGCTATATTGTTGAAAAGAAATCTAAAAATGTTTTTTTTGAGTTGAATATAAAAAAAGTTATAAATGTATACATATATATATATATATATATATATATATATATATATATATATATATTTACACTACATCAAACCTAACTACTTTAGAAAATCTGCTTTAAGAAGTGACTGTGTCAATGAAAGTTTCAAATTCAAGAAGATCTTCAAAGTGTGACGATGATTGGAGTTGGTTTAAATGTGCTGACCTGCCCCACCATCACTAAACCTCTTCCAACTGTAGACAAAACAGGAAGCCATGTCTCCTTTTGAAGGTGCAAGATCCCAACTCAAAAAAGCAAATAAAGAATACACACACACTCACACACACACACAATCACACACACTCACACACACACTTGCACACAAGTACAAATGATCTTCGAGTATTTTTCCTACTACTTTACAAAGGAAAATTTACTTCAAGTTCTTAGCACACAAGCATGAATGTGTGTGTAGGGGCGTACATGGTGTGCGTAAAAGGGAAACCATACATGCTTCCCTTCACATGTTTAAACTGAATTAAAAAGAAAAGTAATAAACGTCTCCTCTCGCCCGCACAGCTGATTTCATTATCCAAACTAATTGTAAAAAAAGCCGACTGGCTTTCTTTGGCAGTGACATGAATCAGGCTGCTGTATATTATTCTGGACATAGATATCTCAAAGACCTTATCAGCGCTCATATCCTCTGCTGCTTTGCACAGTCATCAACACCAATAAATAAAGAGAAACAGCACATCATTTCTCCAGGCTTTAGTTCAACATATACAGATGATCCTTTTCTTCCCAAGATGGCCACTTTTACAGGCCTGAATGTCTGATCGCCTTTTAACGTACAGCTGTGGACAGAAGTCGACTCTATTCCATTTTCAATGATAAAATATAATAGATGGACAGAATTCAAGAAATTAAAGAAGAGTATTAGAGTATTAGATAAAATAAAATATTATGAAGGTGAAAGTAGGTCATGAGATGCCAAATGATACACCCAACTTGCTGCCAGACTGACCTTTAACCTCTCATAATTTCCAAAAAGGGTTGTTGAATGAAGAAAAACCTGACACTTTTTTTCACAGCAGGGCTTCATTTGCACAGGCAGTTAAAAACCATGTCACACTTCTGTGTAGTTATCAGACTGTATTAGGAATTTTCTCAAATGCAAAATGCATCAAACTGCCAAAAAAAACGGGGCAGAATTGATCTGATCAAATACAAAATAAGAAAAAGAAAGAGAGAGAGAGAGAGAAAAAAATCCCCATATAGTCTTGTATTTAATTTGGACACACTTGTCCTGCACATGGTGAGTTTTTTATTTTGTGAAATCAATTCACTAGTTTGGATTCAGTCTTGACAGAAGGATATCTTGAGTTTTTGTCTGCACTTCACAGGAGCTTAAAAACAAATCCCACTTAAAACACCAAGAAAGAACAGTTTCAACAAAAGTGAAAAGAAGTAGCTTGTAGTTGATTGAAATTATCAGTAGATGCAAATGTTTTATTATTACTTTAAAGGTTGCTTTTTGCCACAAATTGATTCTTATTTCAGGACTCTAGAGTTGAAAGTTGTCCCTCAAATGTGGAATACGTAAAACTTGAGGAAGATTAGAAGGTGATGGAGTGAAAAGTTTTGATATCATCGTACTTACCTTCAGAGTTACTGTCGTAAAACGCAGGCTTTCCGCTGATCGCTGGTCCTTTCTGATCCTGGTTTATATTCTCCATGAACTTGCTGTGTTTGGACGGAGAAACGGGCGGGTTGGCCGGGGCAGCGCCGTGCGTAAAGTCCGCCGTAGCATCTCCAAACCTTCCCATGGCGGCGTACAGATCCCCGCGCAGACCGAGGCGGTGAGGTAGAGGAGGAGGTGGCGGAGGAAGGTGCGAGGGTTTCTGCAGCTCATCGCAGGGGAGAAAGGAGCCGGAGCCGCGGTGCTCCAGTCCAGGAGAGGTCTCTGGCGTCCTCCTGCTGCTCTGCGAAGAGAAGGGCAAACAACTGTCCGAGTCCATCTTTTACAGATCCGGCAGCAGTTTAGACAACAGCGACTGCGCGCTGATAGAGTGGACGCCTGACTGAGAGACTTTTTTTCTCTACTGTGTTCATGTCAAGTGGGTGGGATTTAACAGATCAGAAACAAAGACCCGTGAAACCGGGAAAGGACTCTGTCTGTGCGTGCGTGTGTGAGTGAGTGAGTGAGAGAGAGAGAGAGAGAGAGAGAGAGAGAGAGAGAGAGAGAGGTGTGTGTGTGTGTGTGTGTGGTGTGTGTTACAGCATCCTCAAGTCTGATATAATCCGCCAAAAATTCAATCACGTGTGGTTTCTGTCCCTCCAATTAACCATTTAATTCCTATTTCATATATTGTTAGAGGCCTTTCCCGTAAATCGGGCAGGACAGGAGAAGCTGACAGCGGGAACACCGCAGCTTTTACGCACGAAAATACACACGCATAAAGACACAGTTTAAACCGAAAGACAGTCTTTTACTGACATCTGAGTATTTTATTTCACCTTTTTATCGAGTAGGACTCAAGCTATTTTTACCTCTAGACTTACATGTTTTAATCAACTCTACTGTGCCTCTGATGTTATCAGACGAAGCCTTTGGAAGTTTGCTCGATCATTTAGCGCTTTAAAATCAACCACATAAAGCTCAGTGTCTTTGAGTATTCGTCTTTATTTCATACTATTATATTTTAAAGCATAATAAGTAGACAGGGCGCGTGCGCTCAGTAGCCTATTTGGACCATAAGGAGGACTGACATTCATCCATTGAGTCAATGGCCTACATCTCACTGAAAAAAAAACACGGATTAAAACTGTTTTACGCTTATTTTTAACTTTAGCAACTGTCAGTGAAAAAAAAAAATTAACATGTGTATTGCAAATGTAAAGCAAACTGAGATCAAAATAAAGAAATGAAAATCAATTGTTAAAAGTGTGTTACCGATGAAGAAATCAAGACTTCCCCATACATTATAAGAGGTAACATCAGCCTTTATTATAAGGCAGGCTCTAGCCAATTATTAAAAAAATATACCGCGACATACAACTCCTAATTTTAATAGCGCGTTTTTATTGCTTTTCTTTTCTACCACAAAAAGATAAAACGATATTTTACCTTAGTTAGCCTTAAAAAATTAGTCGACTTTGATCCTGGGCGCAGATTTCAAGAAAACAGGCTGCATAAAGAAGATAACCCACTCTTGTAATAACCTACTTCAGAGAAAAAGCAGCTAATTTGGGTCATTAGGGAGTTCAGAGACCCACATTCATCTAGGATAAATCTGGACCTGTCATTTTTGGATAAAAAGAAACGCTGCTCACCTTCCGAGTAAATTAACATCTTTGAAAGCAAATTTTGTTTAAAATTGCACCTCGAGGTTATCGCGCAGAATTTTAATGATATTGTCCGTCTGCCCGTCTAAAAACAAAGTACCTCTTAACTATAGGCCTGTGCAGTAATTACCGGTTCGTTCAGCTATAAATTTTGCTCCTGAGTTTACCTGGTGTTTAATAGAAATGGTGGAGAAAAAAATCAAAAACAATTGCTTTAAAGGCCATGATATTTCCATCCTTACAGTGATTGCAAAACAAAGTAATTAGTGAAATATTTACAAATCTGTCTTTGATTTTTAATTGCATTAAACTAAAGAGTGAATAAAAAGTAAATTAATGCAGAAAACTTATGTTTGTATGTTTTGCCCATGGCACAGAAACTACTTGTGATGATAATTATGACCACACAGCTCAAAACTGACTAAATGTCCTCAGACAGAGTCAGACTCAGCAGTAATGAGATAAAAGGCATTTGGTACTGACATGTTATCTCTGATCTGGACAAACCCGTCTAAACACAGAGCACTCACCAAGTTCAGACACGGTACCGCTGGCTTTGAGGACATCTCACCATCTCTCCGGATACCTGAGGCCGCAAGCTGCTCAGCTGATGGACAAGTGTGTAAACATGAAATCCATTTAGGCTGAGAAGCTTCACAAGCCCCATTTGAGTCCATTTCTGCCTCTGAAATATTAAAGTGCTCACCAAACACATTAAGATATCCAAATGTGGAAAAGGAGAAATGTGAAGGTTAGATGGCACGGGAGTGTCTCCAGGTTCGCTCCAACGTTTGCTAGTATTGTTCAGAGTCGTACCTGTATCTATGACTGAATAAAATAAAGTGAAACCTCACAACTGCTCTTGTCAAAAAAAAAAAAAAAAAACACAAAAAAGACTTTGCTTTTAATAGTGCCGACAATCTTATTCATGCTCCTCTGTGCTTCAAGTACTATCAAACTACATCTTCCCTCTCCTGAGAGACTCATAAAATTACAGTCATGAGCAAAACAGAAAGTCCAGTCTTGATGTGGACACAAATTGGAAAGGCATTCCTGACTGCACAGAGAGGAAGACCTCCTATTCAATTGAAAATGATTGGTGACCTCAAATATAAGCTCTAATGACATTTATGTGTAACATGACTTAGATTAACATGTTCAGGTCAGTAGAGCACAGAGGCTTCAAGACAAGGCTGTCATGTTAATCACAACCACAGTGCTGCTTTTTACCCTCCCACACTCCACTGTGTATTTATCTCCATAAACTTCAGTCTAGGTGTAGTGGCTTGCATATATCAAACTGTCTGGCTGACCACCATTAAAAAAGCTCATAATTCTGTTAGAGGGGAGTTTTAAGATGTACACACAGGGGGATATGTTTCCCAAATCTCGTGACAAGCATGTCCTCTTTAGCCCGAGGCAGCAGAGCACTCCTCGATTCATGGACCCAGCTGAGTAAATGCATTCCAGAAATGTGGGCAAAAGGAAAAACGTCTACACTGTGATCTCAGAGCCGCCGCAGGTAACACTGTTTATATGAATACTGCATTAAGATGTAGGGGATTATGGGTATGTTATGCACAGAGGAATCAAAGTCTCCAATGTGGAGGTCTGTGTGCTGTGGCTTGCTGAGGGGTCTATTGATTCATGCACTAAAAAGTCCATCCAGCAAGATAGACATTAAAATCCCAGCCACATAAAATAAAATAAAAAGACTTACTTTATATAAAAAGCACTTTATGGTGAAACTGTGACCAACCTCAGAGATGTGTGCATTTTTGGAAAGAAGCGAAGCTGAAAAAAAGAGGAAAAAACAGCAGACTTGTTGTCCATACCATGACCATGCTCCCCGCAGTCCTAAACCCTTGTCCTCCAAGCCTGTCCTGGGCATGACCCTGCACAGGAAATCAGTTCAGCCTGTCAGGAGTCCCAGATCTCCCCCTTTCCCCTCCGCCTCCGCCTCCCAGCTATGGGCACAGACAGCATGGATAAAGGTGACCCCGCACTCTCACCATGCACCCTGCGGCCCTCAAGCTAGTGAGCCACTTCCACTCCTCATTCGCTCCTCTACATCCTCTCTACAGGGCTTTCACACCCTGTTACACCTTACATCCCCTCTCCTTCACACAGAATGTAACGGCATAGGTTTGTGTATTTGTTCATGAAAAAAGTGAAAACAAGCTAAGAAAGTCATCAGGCACCTATATTTTTATCAGATCAAATAAAAACGTATTTTTGCTAGCCATGTATCGCTGCAATGAAAATCAATAATGAAATGGTTTTGTGTCAAAAGAGTGAGCAAAGATCTGACCTTTTCCTTGACACCAGCAAGAGAAAGAAGAAGCTGTAGAGATCAACCTGCCAGATGACCACCAGCACAAGCAGCCAGTTAGAATAAAGTACAACTCTGTATTTCATAAAAGCTGGCTGTCTTTGTCTGGCTATCACTGCCTGAGGCTTTTCCTCTCACGTACAGGGTGGCGATTCAACCTGAGGTTTGCATTAGAATAGGAGAAGGATAGCTAATTTAATTACCCGCCATGAATGCACAGAGATGATCCCATATGCAGAGCCAGGGCTCCTCTCAGAGGCCTCCCTCACATCCTCCAGTCCATGTCCAGAAGCTGCACAGCCAGCTGAGGATGTGATTGACAGCTGCCGACCCCAGGGTCAGCTGGCTGAAGAGGTGCATTCTGGGAAGCTGAAGCTCTACTGTGGCGATGGGGGCTGAGGTTTTGAGAGAAATGGGAAGTGGAGTCGCTGTCCTCTGTCTGACCTTTTATGAGGCGTCATGGAGCACACTGAAGCCCAGTGAGGGTTAGCAGCGAGTCAGAGTCCACAGCCACAATACACGGATGATGAGCCGCACACTTATCTGAGAGGAGGACAGAGCACAGTTGCTCAAAATAGATGATGTTATTTCTTTCATAGGTTTTGACACTGTTTTCAACACTCCAGCGCAAAAACATGAAGCATTATTAACTTTTTAAAATTATTTCATGGGTGGTAAGACGAATCGAGCTATTTAACTAGCCCTCTTGTAGTCTTCAAACTAGAGGACTTTGATGTTTAGATGTTGATATTGCTAACAGAGTCAGGTCCTGCCCTTAAAATTTGACATAAATACCACATAGCTAAGTAGAGCAGTTTCTGCAGCAAGACCTCTGTGAGTTAATTTCCTTCTGTAGTTTTAAAATTTAAGAAAAGTAGGTTCATATCCACAGCAAAAGGTTCACAAAGCCAATGATGGACAGTCTACAGCTGCTATACAAAAATGAAATATAGTCATTTTCTTAATTTATATTTGCACATTTTGTAGCATTTTGTAGCATAGACACACTTGCAGTTCTCCTGTAAGAAACCTTTGCAACAGTTTTCGTAAAGAAAAACTGTCTGTCTAATCGTGGCTCAACAGTAGCCTACTGTCATGACTAGTGTTGTCTGATAAGCTAGCTCTGAGACTGGGGCTGCAAACCCAAATTCAGTTTGTTACAAGGAAGCTAAAACTATAAATTCATCCTAATACTTAAGGGAAATACATATCAATATTTTAACATAAAGCTATGTTATCTTGTTTTCTCCCAAGTCATGATAGTGTATATAACAATATATATTTTGCAAATGTTTTCCAACATATGGCATATTTTTCATTATTTTTTAGCATGTTGAGGACTTCTTGAGGAGCTCGTCTAATGCAGTTTGATATTAGCACCTCTGTTGTTTTTACCTCCGTTTTCCAATGGTCACGGAAGCTAAATGAGGAGGTTTTTCCAGCACAGTAGCTCAATGTGCACTACTACGTCCTAGCTCTATGTGTACGAGTGTGTGTGTGTGTGTGTGTGACGAGAACACGGGTTATGAAAGCTCAGTCTGTCGTGATAAACGCTTCTCTCCTCTGACTGGGCCTTAATGAAGGACAGACCCACAGAACCTCGCTCCTTACAGGCCTACTCACAATCTCCAGGAATCCGTAAACACGCACCTTAACAAAACCATCTGGATGTATCAGCTCAGCTAGGTCTCGATCCTACGGACACACGCCACAGCCAAAAATAAATAATCGCTAAATGTGTTTTACAGCGGACGGGAGACCGTTGACGCCGAGGCCATGACGCGGTGACGCATGCGTAATGGAGAAGTCCATAAAGAAATTACCTGAAATTTCAACTCGTAATTTCCGTCAACATAAATTTAAGTCATTAGTCTTCTTAACCTCCAACCGGTACGCATAAATATTTATGCTATTATTATAATGGTCGTTATTTTGTAATTTACTGCTGCACGGCTCTTAAAAATGCTTTTTATCTTCTGTCTTCTCTGCCCCGTAAAAGACTAAAGAGCTCCATAATTCAAGGAAATGCAGGGCAGTAATCAACCTTGTTGTTACAGGTGGTAAAAGAAGCTTACATAGAATATAAAAGAAATCCCCGATTCCTTGTCTGAAGAGTATTCTGCGGAACTATCCTCCGTTAGTCTATTTATTCCCTCGGTTATAATTTGCCAAGCTTAAATCCAAGGTAATGCGTCGGTCTTTTTCTGACAGATTTTATTTCCGCCGTAACATGGAGGGGAAAATAAGTTAATGTAACATGTTCAACGCGGGACAAATTGAGGCACTTGCGATGACGACTCGAGCTCTAATGCTGATGTTGTTTCTTGCCCATGACTCAGGCTCGGGGATTGAATTAGAGGTGGTCGAGCAGCGATAAACAGCGCAGACTGACAATCATGGGAATTTCATTATCCTGAGCCAAAGGACAAGAACCTCCTCGGGTCCTGTCCTGCCGTGTCCTGGCTGTCCTGCGGGTTTTCGGTGAGTAAATCTAATGTGTCCGTGGGTTCGGTACAAGATACACCTGTTTTCATCTTGGAGTTAAGTCAACATGAAGCTTATATGCCCTCTTGAATTTAATAGTAAAATAAACACCCGACCAAAGCATTTTGAAAAAGTATGTTTAATAAAATAATTATAATACGAGAGATAGTAACTCGATGGAAGAGGCCAAAGAAACTTTGATTCAGTGTTGTAGCATTCATTTAGCATATGCATGGACACGCTTGTTTAAAATTAGATGAAAAGATGAGGCTATAGCTTCATTCAGATTTTTTTTTTCCTGAAGTCAAATACGTCTGTTCAAAATCACATTAGAAAACCTGGACCATATTTACCCCTTTTAATATATAAATAAATAACAATACTATAATACACGGACATGACTAATAATCGTTTTTGGAAACTGTGCGTAAAACTCAAACAGTGAAAAAAGTTTAAACTTATGCTAATAAGCCTGAATGATTTTTTTATTTTTAAATACATAACATGAAAACATAATAGCCTATTAGACAACAATCATTTTTTTTTATCGTATTTTCAACCTTATTATAAAACTTTATAAAATAACTATGGTGTGAGGTCCTTCAGTATTTGGAAGATTATTATCATTATTATTTTAATGGGTAAAAGTTAAAGGTAAATTCTTCCTCTCGTATTAGACTGTAAAAAAAACTTCATTATACTTTAGTGTTTCACTTAGAAAATGTTTTCATTATATAGTATGAAAGATTAAGAAAACATTCATATTAGCCCAGTAGAAAATTGGTTCATTAGTTCATTTTATAGTGGCCTTTTTAAAGTAAGCGACATTGACTTGGCCTGTTGTTTCGTTTTAATTCCGTCTGTGATAGAGATGATAAAATATTAACGAGCAACTACAGGCCACAGGTCCTTTGACCAAAAATAAGTTGGATTTTTCTGATTTGCATGTAGTAAAACCCTCGTGTTTTACTCTGTGATAATCGAGACTACAACATGTGCACGCAGATGCCGACTCTATTTTTGACATGGGAGTATAAAGCTGTTTTAGTTCCCATTTAAAACAAACAGATTACTCATTGAACTGGTTATGATTTTTTTTATCTTTTAACTGGAATATTAAGGATTGAGAATCTGCTTCATACACTGCAAACACGATCGTCGATTGGGATAAAAATCACATTTTTTTGCAGGAAAGATAAAATTTTGTTGATATACGAGGATTGGGTGTTTTTTTTCTGTAGGTTTAAATGTGACAGTATGGTCACGATTTCTCTCTCTCGCTCTCTCTCTCTCTCTTCCTTCTCTCTCTCATACACACACACACACACACACACACACACACACACACACACACACACACACACACACACACACACACACACGGGTCCAGACAGGACCTGCGGCTTTGGCAGCGGCCTCCGTCTCCAGCGCGTCAGATGAGAAAACTCCTGAAACTTTATAGATCTCCGGTTGCCTTCCACCTTTTTCCAACTGTTTTTTTGGAAGAAGCCTGCTGGGTAAATTCTGGACAAATACTTAAAAAGTTCGCTGAAGCACAACACTGTTTTATTTTATTTTAGCACTGTGCATTAAATCAGTTTAAATAAGCTGCTGTGTGCGAGGTTAGCTGAGGAAAGATAGACGCAAAAACAAAATGGAGTTAATGAGATCATTTTTCTGACTTATCAGTGATGTGGAGGGTTTGTTTTTATAGGTGATATCTGATGGGTTTTACAAATGTGTGAAGACAGACAGACAGACAGACAGACAGACAGACAGACAGACAGATAGATAGATAGATAGATAGATAGATAGATAGATAGATAGATAGATAGATAGATAGATAGATAGATTTCCCTTTTATGGACTGTAAATTGTAATGATGTAAGGCTCATCAAATGTTGCTTTGATTAGACTTTGCATTTAGAGACACTTAAGCAAACCATGACAAGCAGGACCCAAATTTTCAACACACTGATCAGGACCAGCTCTCTGACAGTGTTTTGTATTTACTCAATTGAACAATACAAGGACCCAGTCCAAAAATATGGTCTCATTTTCACATTCTGCTCACAGAGCTGAAATACAAAAAGTACAAACCACAAGCATGAGAAGTAAGTTTGAAAATGTGCATCAACTTTTTTTTTAATCTAACCTTGCAGGAGAAAAAAGTCCTAGATTAAAAATTATTCTTCAAGAGTGTCCTGTCAAAGAAAGTCTGACATTTATTTCAAACTGTCAAGGTTGGCAATCATTTTACCAGTCAGGATGTCTCCCTTGCAGAAACACAAATAAGTAGCCATGGTCTACATATTAAAACCATTTTTTTCCTATCAGTGTTGAAGTACTGATCAACACAATCTTTAAGTATATATGACATATAAGAGCAGTGATCCTCGTCCGAGAAGATCACTTCTATCTGCTGAATGCCAAACCCCCTAGTGCAGCGCAGCCCTTTGTTCCTGTCCGATCAGATACAGCTGTATAAGCCAAACTCTGCAGAGATAGCCGGGGTCATCCTCTCAGCGGATGCTCAGGCCCATCCTGCTACTGGTGCCCTCAGGGCTTGCATGGGCACAAAGCACGACCCCCCAGACAACCAGTCAGGCCCCAGCCATAATGCCTTCCGTCACCCTTGGCTCAATGAAGGTGGAACGATGGCTCAAGAGCTTTGAGTCTTTCTCCGCTTTTTAAGTTATCTTGTGCTGCGGAAAAAAAGTTGTATTTGTGTAAACACCAAATACATTTAGTCAAGGATGGCTTTCCTCTATTCCTTACAAAGCTACTTCTTACTAAGATTTTTCTAGAGTTCAAGAATTATGTCTTCTTAAATCTCAAGAAAGGCAACATGCAAAAGAAAGTGATATAAGAGGATCTCAGGCAGAAGATGAGGTCTGAAAACAAAAGAGACTCTGACACATCTGAGTGAGGCTGTCGCAGCTTCGCTGGGGAAGAAACAGAGCACCAGAACGAATCGGACTGAGTGGAGTTCCACCAAGAAGGGACATGTGAGATTTCTGCCTGTTTAGAAAGAGAAAGAGCAAACGACCTTGGGGGCTGAAGTGGCTGGATAGAAAATAAACTGTTTGGAATTACTCTGCACATTGAGGAATAGAAAGCAGCTGCAAAAATGTGAACTTACTCCATTGATTTCTGTGTGACTTGGAAAAGCTTTCAGCAGGCACATCACACCAACCTCTGGGCTCAGAAAGTGTAATGTTTTCAACATGTCTGAGCTTTTAAAAAGAGATAAATTGCATTGCCGGAGGTGGGATTTATATTGGTATTTTTTATTTTTTCAATACACTTGCAAGGAGCAACCCCTGCAGCAGACAGAGCTGATTGAGACGATTGGGGGTGTGTGACAATTGATCAGCCAAGTTTAGGAATTAAGATAATGATTATATAAAAACTGCAGCAGGCCAACGAGATTTGAGCCCTCCAGAAAACGGCACGCTTGAGACCCCGTCTGCACCAAGTTTCAGAAAATCTAATTTATGGCCACTTTGCGGCAGCTGGATTTGCACTTCCGACCAGGGGATACCATTACCAAACAGCATGGAGAAGACTGATGGATATGCAGCAGACAGGACCATCTTAAGCTTGCTCTCTTGTCTTTTTACTACACACAATAATACATTATATTTAATAAAGAGACATGCACACATACATGCACAGCAGAGTAACCGTGTACCGGACCCAAAGATGTGATTCAGCTCTTTTCTTCTCAGTATGTTTCCCCCCTTTTTTGTTCCAGCCGTATATCATACCTTCCCTGTACCACCTGACATGTGTGGTATCCATCAATAATGAGTATAATAAAGGCTTAATGAGCCAGACAGCAAATGCCGTAAGCTGTGATTGCACTTCGATCTGGTGCTGTGAGCTGACCATAAATTGGAAATTAAGTTGGAGGTTTTTAATGACCCAGAAAGTGCTTTGGTTCTGTGAAGAAGAAGAAGAAAAAAAAAAAATCCTGGAATCTGTTTTTTTTTTCTTTTTTTTTTTTTTTCTTGTCCAGACTTGAAGAAGCTGAAAAGTGACATCTAAGACAACTCCCCTGTTGTGTCATGACAGAAAATGTCCCTCCGATGTAGACTGTGTTTCTCCTGGAACAGGAAAATCAGTTTTGACACTTAAAATTTAGTGGTGTATCTCACTTTGGTTTTCCAGCCCTGTCGTGGAAAGACTGCTCTGCTGCAACCAGGATTTGTTCCCCAAGAGCAACAATTCACAGACTTGGCGTGAAGTATGATCTTGCAG